AAGTCTTTTTTTTTAAATACTATAAAACTATAAATTATTAAATTATTAAAAAAATAAGCTTATTTTTTAAGTTTAAAAGATTTAAAGCTTTAAAAAATATTTAATTACTTAATTAGTTAGTTTTATAATTTTTTAAAGTTCAAATAATACTAGCCTTTTATTCAATATTTTAATTTAAAATCTTTTTTTTAATAGCTTTTTTTTCGATTTAATAAGGCCGGTTGTGCGGGTATGAGTGGCCCTTGTTAAACTAAACGCAAGTGTATTGCAATACCTTTTGTTTACGTCGCTGACACTCCCTGCAGGAGATTATAGAGCGCTTGCGTCTCGGGGGTGGGCCACTGCTGCTATAGCTCATGAGCATTGGAATTTAACCGCCGTTAATAATTACTAGAGCTTTGATGTAACGCAAAATAATAAGTAGAGCATGTTTGTGTATAAATGGGGCAGCTAACTTAGCGCCACAACCCCGCTACAGTATGACGAAATGCTGTGGCGCAATGCATAGCGAGAAACATAAAGCCTAGGAAGACGCCACTCTGCTCCTAAATCCTGAGCATAAACTTATGCACCAGTTTCAGACTCAGTCGCCGATTAATCAGTCCAACGGCGGTAATTCCGTAGTGGATATGACCTCAAGTCCTGATTGGCGCTGTACCATTCACCACCGCAGAGCCAGGTCAGTCTAGACTCATTTCTGCAAGGTACAGCCAAAACGGCCCGCTATAAGGATCAATAGTTGTCAATAGTGTCAGCTCGCTAAGCTGAATACTGACCTTGGTCCCTGAAAAGAGTAAATTTCGACCGTGATGCTGTCAATAGTCTGGTAAAGCTGAGTCGAGTAAAGACTTGGCAGAGCAAGGGTCCATACATAATAAACTACTTGTGACCGCACGATTTTATGTGCAGAGCTAAGTAAGCTCTCATTCACTCGTTTCTTGACCAAGCTTGTGGTCGCTCATTGAGACTTGGTTCAATATGAAGTCCATACTTGCTCTCGCGGGCCTGGCCCTGGCTAATATGGCAGCTGCTGGACCTTGTAAACCCAGCGGTCCATCGTCGGCATCTGGTCTTGCACTTACGTCCTCCATTCCGACCGACATTCCCGAAACATCCGAGGTTCCTAGTCTAACAGTTCCCCAATCGATAACTACAACCCAAGAAGTCGATATCATCATCACCAACGCCATTGATGGAGGAAGTTTCGCTGCTCGTAATGCGAATAATCCCCCAAGTGGACTTACAAACTTCGGGGCAACCGGAAATGCTGAGTTTCATGAGGGAGGCTGCTACAAGGTTGACGGTAGTCCCGATGATGGCTGCGCTGCGTTGACTGCTTCTGGGAACCCAGCTGGAAAGCGAGATACAGGATCGTTTGCTAGTATTTGGCAGACTCTCAGCTCGCTCAGCACTGGTTCTCAGAGTAGGTACACTGTTCAGTTCTACTACCTCGTCCTTTCTGCTGGTAGCCAAGATTGCACCGTCACTGCTGCTCTGGGCGACAGGCAGTTCTACTCGCAATCTCTGTCATCTATCGGAACAAGCGTGTCTTGGACACATGTTCTTCAGCAGGTCGACGCTGAGTCTGCTTCCGCTACCTTTGCCATCTCCATGACCTGCTCTGGCAATGGTATTTCCGTCATCTTGGTCGACTCAATCTTCATCTCCAACCAAGTCACCCCCGCCAACATTGGCAACTTCGTCCTTGACTTTGGTCTGCCCGCCACAAACCCAGTTACGACATCCGAGTCTCTACCAACAACCACCGAGCGAACCACCCAGCCCGCGACGTCCTCCGCTAGTCTTTCATCCCAAGCCGACACTACACGTCCCGCTCAGCCCACCGACACAGCGTGCAAGCAAACGTGCGACCTCCGCAGCGGCTTTTCCAATAATCCCGCGTGGAACTGTAGAGTGTACGGCCTCTATAGCGGCTTGACATACCAGCTGAACAGCCAAAATGAAGACGACGAGACACGGCCTTGGTACGATGGCCCTGATGACTGTGCCGAGATCTGTAAGACACTACCTGGCTGCACGTCAGCGGGTTACATGTTTGCGCCCAGAAAGTGCTTCTTCTCAAACAATCTCGTCACTCAATCCGAAGTTCGGAATATGATGGATGATGGTATTGATGTTGATTGGTATTCCATGGATTGCTTCACATGCTCTGCTTGTGAGTAGGAGTGGTGGACATTTTGGCCGTATGATAATTACTAGAATCCTTCTCCAAGCGTCTGAGCTTATTTAATGGTGACGGTGTAGATGGTCTCATACTGAGTCAGTACTATAATGGTACAAGGTTACGAGCCTCATGTTGTTCTTTCATTCTGTATGGAGAAAGGTCATTCTTCGTTATTGTACTCCCTCGAGCTCTTCGTCGGCGTCTCACCACGCCTCAACTGAGCAAAGCTACCAGCAAAAGCTCGACAGAATCCACGCCACGCAATCTGCGAAACCAGCGTCCTCTCCAAATCTCGGAGGAAACGAACGCAACGGTCAGAACCATCCAGTATTCCAACGCCAGTCAAGTGAACGACGTTGTCGCCGCCATTTTCTATCCATCGTTCAATAGCTTTTCTGTCTTGCAGTTGATCAAGTCGTGTAATCACCGGGCGCGATGGAGTTGATGACAACGATGCGCGCGTTTCGCTGTAGCAGTATATATAACCCATCGCCACCGTGAGACTCAGTGCATCATAGCACGCAAGTCGTCGCGAACTCCGTGTCGTTTTGAAGATGCAGGTAGCGTGCCATAAGCATTTGCGAGCCTTTACACCGTTATTCTTGAAGAAGTCATTGAGATGCATCTTGGACTTGAACATCTGCTCTTTGTTCGTCTCCCAGCCCGTAGCAGAGTGTAGAGTCTCGAGCGGAATGAGCCGCAGAATCGCAATGACATCGAAAATCGTTTCCGCACAGTCTCCAGGGTTTGACATGTTTTTCAAGGCCAGTTGATCGATCGTCGTATCTAGAAGAACATTTTCATTCCTACTAGTGTCCGGTCTGTGAATTACGTGCTGAGTATCACTATTTGTTGAAGAGTTCAGGTATGAGGCAAAAGAAGACTGTAGGAGCTGCGAAGTGCGGAGCTGGCGGTAGTAATTCCTGTCGTCGATGTATAGTTCGAGAAGAATAATCTTGGCGACAAACGGGTCGGGCTTGGGTTGGTCTCCTGGACGATCATCAATTATATAATCAACCTCGACACCAATGACAGTTACAATACCTGTAAAGCTTTCTTGTTGTGACTTCCACTCTTGAGCATCCTGAGACCGCCATAGTCGTTCAGAACATGGCAGTTGTCGCGTCGCCTCACGGAGGTTAAAGACCAGAGTAGTACCTAAAAAGACATGGCTCAAGCTCTCCAATACACGCACGCAAGTGACCAGACGTAATTCACTCTCCTCAATGATCCAAGCTTGCCATACTTCTTCAGTATCAGACTCAGTGCGAGTTGACTTTCTCCGTTTGTCAGCCTTGCCAATGAGGTCCCAACACATCGTCGCTAGGCTACTTCTTTTATGTTGTAGAACGATCTTATCTCTGTGTGAGCCTGAGAATAGCCACAGTACATGCAAGAGAAAGACACATTGTACTGTTGTTGAGTCGACATTCACGATCTTATCGTGTACCTAAGAGAGTTAGATAGCTCGTGATACAGTACGTGGCCATATGTGACTCTACTTACAGTTAATTCAACAGCTCGGGCTAGTAGGCCGCATAACGCAGTGTTATAGTCTTCTGCACCTTGGATCTCAGAATAATGACTTCCGACTGCTGCTACGGCTAATAGTAAGATCCATGGAAGATCTAGGTCCTCCAAACGGGAAGAATGCAGAACGGGAAACTGAGAGTCAAAGTACTCAAAGTACAGTTCGACGAATGCGTGTAGGATATCCCTCGGAATGGCTGTTGGTGTTGGTTCTTGCCGCTGGGTCTTGTAGAAGTTGTTCAACCCATCTACAGCGTGTCGCGGTATCTCATGGATATGTCCAAAGACTTCAGCCCCAGCCATTTGTAGACCATTAGTGTCTAACTCTGGGAATGGGTGGCATGGCTGTGTGTAAGTGGAGCATATGTTTCCCGGACTCAAATAAGCCGAGTCTTCTACCATTGTTTGGTTCGAGGCTGCGTGATGTGCTACGTCTTCGTCAGGATGCGCCATATCCGGTAGCTCAAGTGGCATCCCCAATTCGTCCATAAACCATGGAAAGGAGAAATGGGTCATTGAATAGCTCCAAGGCATCCATGGGTCACCCATCGTGGTCCCAAGACTGCCAACATCTCCGCTGAAAGCAAAGGTATCGGGCAAGGGTGGTACATGAGGCCAGCTGGAGGTAGTATCTGGAACAGTTGTGTATATGGTGCTTGATGCTATCGTCGGCATTCCGCTTGTATCAGAGGGAATAGAAGGAGGATTTTCCCATTCCTCTGAAGCAGGGTGAAGGACATTTGGTATAAAAGCCTCCTCCTGAAAGTCTGATCCTTGCGCTGTGGCGGGCGATGAAGGAGCGATGTCTTGGTCTTGCGATAAATCTCCCACCATTATCGTGTCACTATCATCTCGCCGTGCGCTTGATACCCTATCAGGATAAACGCACTGTGAACTGCGATTCTCACATCGCGAACATGGATGGCCTCCATCACAGCTCTGCTTCAACCTGGAGCAAGCTCCACAAGCCTGGCCCTGCCGACGACGACGTGTTCTGGTCGACCCAGGCTGAGTACCATGCAATGCTCGGTGACGTACAAGAGTGTCACTGCGCCGTGTCAGTAGCTAGTCTATGTTAACGAGTATTGCAAGTTACTGGCCTGCGCGAGAATGACTTGGAGCAGATGTTGCACTGGAACGGCTTGAGGCCCGCGTGTCGTAGGACGTGTCGATCGCGATGCTCACGGCGCTGGAAAGTCTCCCCGCAATGATCACAGGACAATGGGTTTTGCCCCATAGCGAATTACCCCGTTGCGGTACGGGGCTAATTCGCCGGTATGTTTGCTTGGGAGGAGAAGTGGGATTATGTTGAGAACCGACGGGACGGAATGTCTCGATGATGTTTGGATGGTGTACCCCGCCGGCCCCGCTTTAGGGTAATGGTCGTGAAGCGGCAGGCTGATACTATTAAATGGATGGACACAATACAGTTTATATACCTAGAAAAATAGCATTCCTCAGACTGACTCTTACTAGCTCATTAGCTACGTATCAAAATACATAGACTTAACTTCCACGTTATAACGAGGCGAAGGTGGCGTGGGTTTGCAAGCAATGGCTCAAATTTGAGACCGTTAACATACGAAGAGAATCTTGCGACGAAAATGACGACCAAAGCTTCCACGCTTGAATGGTTCGGTGCGTTAATTTTCCTTTGTCCAGAGATTCTCTATCACTAACTCAATAGGTGCCACGACTTTCCGTCTCCGTACACGAGGTGTCACGATCTTCCTCGATACCTGGCTGGACAGGCCCTCGATCTTGACAACTTATCTGCCAATTGATGACGTCCATGAGGCAGACTATATCTTCATATCACATGCTCATTTCGACCAGTAAGTCCTATAAACTTCTTGAAGGCGCTGTCCTAATCTGGAGGAACAGCCTCCCCGGCGCAGATCGCATCGCCATCAGGACAGGCGCCATCGTCATAGCCAACAATGAAGCTATCAACCTCTTAAGAGAAGCTGGCGTTCCAGAGCACCAACTCCTTCCTGTTCAAGGCGGCGAGCGAATACCGTTATTTACTCGCGATACCTGGAATAAAGCTAATGTTGACCCATCATTGCTCTGTCCTGGTCCCCCCGGTGCACCTCGACGTCCACTAGACAAACTCGCAGCATTCTCTGTTGATGTCTGGCCTTCACTACACTGCATGATGCCTGCTGATCACCCTGAAATCATTGATACAGCGACAGTATACAAAGGCTCCGCGAGTCCTTATAGCTGCACTCTGGACACTACCATCGGAATGAAGTATGGTTTGCTCAAGATCGGAGAACTCATGCCACCTGAGAAACTCACCCCTGGTCATCGCTCTTTTATCGAGTATGTCGCTGACCGAAAGCGAAACGTGTTTTCACACAGTGACGGCGGGCAATTGATGTTCAACTTTGTCATTGGTGAGAAGGCTTTGCTCTGGAGTGCACATCTGGGAGGGTACGAGGGTATTCTACGAGATTTACAACCAAAGCCTGATATTGCGATAATGGCTATCGCTGGAAGAGCGAATCTGAATGGTCGACCCTTTGATGGTTCTGCGGCTGAGTTTGCGGCGTTGAAGGTTGGTTGGTTGGGGAATCCGTCTCAGGTGATCTGGTGTCTACATGATGAAGCGTGAGTACTCTCTACCAACCACAACAAAGTGAAGTAGTCACTATAGAAGAAAAGCTTACTTGCATATACAGGTGCATTCCACCTTGGAGGATCAAGACTGAAGCAGCTACAAAGGCAGTTGAGGCGAATGGCAAGACTAAGGTTTTGACGATGGACTTTGCTAAGCCTGTGACGTTAGATATATAAAGCAGTGTTAGCTAGAGATCTTGCAGAGGTCACAGATGTACGAGATGTGTATCCTGAGAGTATGTAAGCTAGAATAAAGTTGCTTTCATACGCGGCTGTTCTTATTGCTACATCGTCCAAGACATAATAACATGCCATTGCATTCATGTCCCATCGATAAAGTAAGTGTAATAAACGATGAATATGGGCTTCCTGATATACTCGAACATTTTACACAGTACATCTCCATTCCTCTGTTTAATGCAGATCATGCTCGCTTCGGGGAAAACCTCGTTTTGCTACTATAACTTACCAGCCAGTCTTATACAGAAACCCGATATCGTAAGCTACCGGGCTAACGATGTGTTCTCGCAGGTACAGAACACTCGAGCTTCCCCAGCAAGCATTGGGATAGGAATAATTAATCTGCCGAGGCTCAGCTGACGTCCCCCTCTCCGCTCTCCTCATGAGGATCTATACCGTACCCCGCGCGGTCCCGTCGGCTGCTGATCAGAACTCGACTCTGCTGTATGGAGAACACATTGAACCGAAACATCCCCGCCGGTAAACAACTTGAATCGTCTTCTGTCGCGTATTTTCTCTAAACGTAGTTACAATGTCCCGCCATGTAACGTCTTGGTATATGCTCTGTCGGCTCGGCTCGGATCCCCATTCCGAGTTATGCTAGCGTTCAAAAGGAAATTCATCACAGACTGACATTACTGTGTATCCATCATTTCGCCTGATAACCTACATCTAAAGTGCCAAATATAGCTCCATACGGACTGAGCAAAGCACTAAATCGCCATGGCACAAACTGAGAGTTCTCCGTCAAGCTCTACCAGACCAGACATGGACCTCAAGATATCTGAGAAGCATCCTCATATAGAGGCAGTGCCACCGTCTCAAACAGCATCTCCCATCAGCGAGGCTGAGTATCCCGAAGGAGGCAGGGAAGCATGGCTTGTTGTTGTCGGAGGCTGGTTCGGTCTCTTCTGCACCTTCGGCCTTGTAACCTGCGTCGGTGTATTTCTCGAGTATTACCAGACCAAACCTTTGGCGGACTTTAGTCCCAGCACCATTAGCTGGATCACGAGTTTACAGGTTTTCTTCCAGGTCGGCGGTTCAGCTCTCGTAAGTCGTGGCCCTTCAACCCTGTCAACAGTTCAGATCATCAATCTAACACCGCGTTTCGTAGTGGGGTCGTGTTTACGATTCATACGGCCCTCGATGGCTTCTCCTCATCGGGGCACCAGTATACGTCTTCGGCATAATGATGCTTTCTTTATCGACGCAATACTATGAGATACTCCTCTCCCAGGCATTGCTAAGCTCCATGGGCTCTGGCGCCGTCTTCACAGCCTCGCTTACATCGACAACGTCATGGTTCAGAAAGAAGCGTGGAACCGTATTTGGCATCGTCAACTCGGGATCCTCAGCCGGTGGTATAGTACTCCCAATCATGCTATCTCGTCTTTTCAAGAGTATCGGCTTTGGCTGGACCTTGAGAGCTGTCGGACTCATGTTTTTGGCTTTCATGGCAATTTCGTGCGTGTTGATCAAATCGCGAACACCGCCGAAGCCTCGTCCTTTCGCTTTATCGGATTATCAGCGCTGTTTCAAAGAGCCGACCATGTTGTTGACCATGCTTGGCGGCTTTCTCTTCTTTTGGGGAATGTTTCTGCCATTGAACTACATCATCATCCAGGCAAAGGCGAGCGGCGTTTCGTCTGACCTTGTCCCTTATCTTTTGCCCCTCATCAACGGTATAAGCCTGATCGGTCGTCTTACAGCAGGTGCACTAGCGGATGTCATCGGTCAGTTCAACTGTATGTTAATAATCACCGCATTCACGGGCATCTTGACTCTCGTGCTTTGGATCCCGGGCAGCCAAAGCACAGCAGCTATTATGGCGTATGCTGTTGCCTTTGGTTACGGCTCAGGTGGCTACGTGTCCATATTCCCTGGTTGTGTCGGACAGATCAGCCCAATCGAAGAGATTGGTACACGGATCGGACTTGCGTCACTTGTAAATGCATTCGGGGCCTTGACGGGTAGTCCACTTGGTGGTGCGTTGATCTCGGATAAGAGTGGAAGTGGTAATAGCTTCATGGGCTTGCAATTATTTTGCGGCTGTACTATGATTGCCTCGGTATTTGCCTATGGAACTGCACGGTATCTCCAGGCTGGTTTCAAATGGACCAAGGTTTAGATTTGTATTAACAGTTTCTCAGATAGGGCATATAGTTATTAGCTTCATATCCTTTGGTCAAAGACATCATTGCTATTCTTACATCCTATTACTCAGTATCTTATTCCCTGACTATAAAGCTCTCATGGCTCTGCTGTCTGCGGGTTCAACACCCTTTTGTAGCGTTTCATAGACAGGCAGTAGTACATGGGATAGCCTTCACTTTGAAAAGCCTTTATTGGCTAACACGAGTCGCTCGACAATGGCTGTTGTAGAGTTGTTGCAATACATTCAGTGTCAGCAAGTAGAACAACAAGACTGATACCCAAGATGAAGTAGGCTTTATTAGGGAACCATTCTCCGATCGATTGTGAATCGCATATATGGCAAGCCCCCAGGCAGAAGTATTGTAGATGAAATAGAAATGAAAAGGTAGTGCTAAAGGAACAAATACAACTCCCACTCGCCCAGACTGTTTGTACACATTAAGGAAGCTCAGGAGCATCGTCCTTGGGCTCCCAGCCAAACATCCTGAGACATCCCACAACGCCGCTAACAACAAAAAGCATCACTCGCAGACCAATAATTATCCCACGTCCAGTCAAACTATCCAAGTCCGGTAACTATAGAATCGTCAGCCCAACTCATCACTATACGAAAGGGTTTCATACCTGCTGATTGCTGCTCTTCTTAACCCACTCAAAAGCCCTCGGCATCATAGCATTCTCATATACCGCCAACTGGTCACCAACTTGCTCATCAGTCACACTTCCATTTGCATTCTTCAACTTCGCAAGTTCGAGTAATGGACCAAGTGCATCAGCTGTATCGTGAATCGCGTTATTAGCTCCCATTCCTCGAGACGGAAGCATGGGGTGTATGGAATCTCCGATCAGCCAAACTCGCGGATTGGCAATGCTTGAGTCTGAATTGCTCTCACTCTTAGACAAGAGCTGTCGTCTCCAGTCAATGGGCGTGTCGTTGTTCGCATATCGCCAAGGTGTCGTCATGATAGCCTCGTCATCGACAGCGTCAACCAGTTTGTGAAAGTCAGGATGGAAGCCAGCCTCTGTGAGCTTCTTCTTCATTAACCCTTTCTTGTCTTTGACTTGGGGTAGCTCGGCTGCTTCAGGTCCTGTCGTCCATGCCACCCCAATGAACAGAGAAGCTTCATCCTCGTCGTAGTTCTTGGGTTTGAGGATATCCGTGTGATCGGCTTTGGAGGACGATAAGGCTTCTGGTAGATATACAGCAGCAAATACCATGGCTTTGGAGTTTCCGGTATAGATCGTGCCTTTCTCCAAAAGCTGTCGCGGTAATGTCTGTAGTACAGACCATGGTAAATGGCATTTGCCCAAGTAGCCACCATGTCCAGGCGTCACCTCGGTGATGATGTTGTTCAGTCCAATCTGCTTGTTGATACGACTTCCGCTTCCCTCTGCAGATATGAGTACATCGCAGTCGTGATGAGTATCGTCACTGAAGTAAACCCTGATGCTGCTTTGCCCAGCCACCTTGGCTTGGAGTACTTCATACCTAACATACTTCTTGCCAAACTGGATACAATCATTCTCCTGTAGTGGCTTCTGGAGAAAGTTTCGAAGTCTCGTTCGTGCAATCGGAGCGCTCTTCTCATAAATTGGAGCTTTGCTCAAGTCAATCAAGACCTTCAAGTCAGATGGACTGAAGATGCAGGGGGCAGACGACACAACTCCTCCTGACTTGCCAAAGCAGAGGAGGAGGTTTTTGTATTGTTCTTCGGTCAAACAGGCTTTAAAGCCAATAAGCGCGTGAGACCCAAGCCGGATTTGGTAGCCTCCCCGTTCTGAACCAGCTTCATCGCGTTCGAAGACGGTTACGTCGATTTGACCGTCGGCTTTGTTGATAAGGCCATTTGCTAGACATGCGCCGGCGAGGCCGCCGCCAATTATCACGACTTTGAGAGGAGCCATTAAGGAACTACCGGTCTTGTGCTACTGTTGGTCCAGTGAGATAGTTTGTGGAGTAACAATGGTCTGGGGATCCGTATGGTGTCAAGGTCAGCTTATATGAGCCTCTGCAAAGTTAACGAGTCAACAAGAAGATATCCTCTAATATTGATCAATACTGTCCATGGATGTTCGAGGTCAAACCTAGACCCTATTAGGGGATCTCCGGGCTACAGTATCCGTCCTCTGCAACACGATGCCGTCGGGGAGGCTCCATTGCTACTTGTGTGTCCAAATTTGGTTAGTACCCCGCCGGCCCCGTCGGCACAGGTATTCCGTTCACAGTAATTCGTCAATCCAAATATCTTAGCGCCTAACTCGAGGTTATTTCAGTCACACCGCACCTACGCCTGCCTCACGTAAGGATAGAGACCCAAGCAACTGACAAGTCTTAGGCTGATGCCTTCTAGGGCTAACGGTCTTATTTTTATCACGACGGTACTTGTCCTCTACACTTTATGACAGAGCGCCCCGGCGGAAAGAGACAAGACTATTTTTATAGACTAGCATATTTAACTCCACCAGGCACGACATGCAACTTATTTACTCAGTGTTCTTTAATCGCTTATTACGGCACAGGGCTTCTTTAATCCTAGATTGATCAGTTACAAAGAGTGGTGGGGGCAGAAAGGTTCCTTCAATGAAAATGTTGCCCTAAAAGACCAAATACATCAGCTTCATTTGCCCTGACCTGTATCGGCCAAGCAAGTTCTTATGTTCGGGCGTCGCAAATCAGTTCTTGCTGAAATCCAGCTTGCAGTGTAAGATTTCTGCAGTGCAACTAGATCAACGTCGTGCATTTGTCGTTGACCTCCTCCTCCAAAATGCTGAGCGTTGATCTGGAGCAAAAGCTTCGAGGTAGAACCCTCTTTCGCCTCTGCCAACTTTGGAAAAGCTTGGTCAAACTTGGCGGTGATTTCTTCAGGCGTAAAGGTATCCCTTAGTTTCGACTCGATCTCATTCTGGAAGAAGCGAACGTATGCTCGTGTATGCTCCATGTCTTGATTTCCATTGAAATTATGTTGGTCGCTAAGTGCATGTCCTGTAATGATTCTCCGCACCGAGAGATTCGATCAGTCGCAGAGAGTCGAGCCATGCTTCCGTCATGATCGGCGAGCCACATGTGCATCCCGCGGCCGTATACGACATCGCCGGCAATCAATGTTTTGATGGAGGGATCCAGAACATAGTCTGCTCAGGGCTGTCTCCGTTGACAGGCCCAAGAAGATGGACGATGTCGTCCCCCGGAAGCGAAAGGAAGGTTGACGGAAAAGGCTTAGGGATTTTTGGCGAGCTGGCAATGTTTTCGTCGCCTAGTGCCGACTTCCAGAATGCAGTCTATTTGTATGTTAGCTAGCTGTTCAATTGTTTGGTTTGAGCAATTACACACTTTGCCCTCGATGATGTCATTGATCAAAGCCACTGTCTTCTCGGTAGCATATAAGTTGGCGTTAGGAAAGCTCTCCAAGATGAAGTGAGCAGCGAAATAATGATCGGGATGGAAATGTGTGGCAAATATTGCCACCAATGGCACATTGGTGTTGGAGCGGATCCATGGGACAAGCTCTTTTGCTTGAGGAGGCACATCGACGAGAGCAGCTGCCTGACTACCCACAATCAAAGACAATACCATGTCTTGAGCAATGCCATGGTTAATGCGGGTTTCGACTCGAAGCCGTGTAGACGCCATTGTTTCTTTATTCGAATTGTACTGTTGTGAAGCGGAAGGAAGCTAGGTGGAATTGTCGAAGTTACCCCATAGTTATGCTGTGAGAAAGTTTTATTTTCCCCATCTATCCCACTCGGTTATTTTGAGCCATCTTAGTCAGAAACCTTGTAAACGGACTGGCTACTCAACATCTACATCCTACGGAGCACTAGAGAAAATCATAGTTGTATTTACTTACTTGGAATCAATAAAGGCTAATCCATTGTTGATTAGAGCTAGGGGTTATATTCACTACGGAATTGTTACTACTAGTATTATTTGTCCTCAAGTGCAGTAAGAAACAATACATAAGTGTATAATAAACTTAACTAGCTAACCGATCCTGGAGTCATAATTTAAAGTTGACTAAAGAAAGAGGCGAGCTTATTGATAGCCTGACTTACATATTCTGGTTTGTCGTAGAGAGCGATATGTGTTGCGTCTTTCACAACAAACAATTCCTTCGGCCCCTCACAGAGAGCATAAGCTTCATCACTGTAGATCTTTGTGTCTGCCTCATTGCCAGCAATAAGAAGAAGGGGTTGTGTAAAAAGGGTCGGAAGCAGTTGAAAGGTCGAAAAGGCCAGCATTTTATCCATACTGGTCATTAGGAAGCGCCCCTTGGAATTGGGGTGCTGGCCCCGCGGCGTCCTGTAATAGTCATACCCATCTCTGAGCATAGTGGGCGTGCTATCGTTGATATCTTCTGGCCTCTCGGGAACGAAAGGAATATAGACAGGGTCGGCCCCATTGGCTGTCGCCGTTCTTGCCGCCGCAGCTGCTTCGAGGGACTTGATCTGCTCGGCAGGAGGGATTGGGTTTCCAAAGAACCTTCTGGCCGCCTCGCCCATTGGTGTCGCGCTGACGCCGGCGACGGCCTTGAACCGGCGTTCGGTCTGGGCGACAGCAAGCGCATACCCGCCACCGGCACAGACACCGAAGACGCCCATGCGCTCAGTATCGACGAAGGACTGGGTGGTGAGAAAACCAGCCGCGCAACGAGCGTCCTCCACCCTCGTCGTCGGGTCCTCTAGGAGACGTGGCTCTCCCCCGCTAGCGCCTTGGTAGGAAGAGTCATAAACGAGGACCACAAAATCATGCGCGGCGAGCTGCTGTGCATAAAGACCGATGGTTTGCTCTTTGACGCCCCCCGCGGGATGAATCCCCACGAGTGCAGGGTATTTCCGATCTTCCTGGAAGGTATTCGGAAGATAGAGATGGGCGGCGATTTGCACACCTCTGTTTTGAAAGGTGACGTCTTTGGGCATGATATCAGCCTTTCTGATGCAATACCAGTAAATCAGAGCAAGCGGTGTTTAGGCGTAGATTGCAGATGAGAGGTAGTGGCCCTTGGGCGTCGGAAGCAGTGGTTTTATGTCAAGTTTGCGCCTTGGCTCAAGGGGGAAGACAAAGTGGATATCAGTTTCTGCAAGGTGATACTCGCGGTGTGAACAAGACTTACTGTTCGAATGCAACTGGGTTACAGTAAATATAATGCTCAAGTCCGGGACCAACACGGATGGATTGCCAGATTCAGTCGAGCAGTACAAGATATGATAGACTGGTTCAACGGCGATAATGCAGTGTGCTGACCAATCTACCGCTCATGTCCGCGTCCCGAATGGTCCATGGAGACATGAAAGTAGCAGCGGCCTTATATCGGCGGAAAAAAGCGACGTGGTGACGACTGACCCCTGGTGGCTTCCACTCCCACTTCCTGCGCATGCACGTCAGTGGTCAAGTAGGTTGAAAGCGATAATCTGGACTTCGGGAGGCTCCCTGACGTTGCATCCTGGAGTTAATCTCCTTATTTTAAGTTTGCGCAATAGATCAATGGGGGCAGGGCCAGGATAGTATTATAGAGGGACTCTACTCGGAGCTAAGAGCTATCTCCTTGAGAGAACATAGTGATAGGTCCACGCTAAAATCCAAGACAGGGCAAAGTTTCAGCGGAGCCAACATCGGGGAGCTCCGCCGACGGGAGTCTAAAAACCCTCATCGATCCTGTCCCTTGCATTTTGAAGGCGGCTAACGGGTTGTCCAACGGTCTATATGCTCCACCGCTTTCAAGTGTCATCATCGTTGTCTTGCGCATGAGGCACTGTATCTACCTCTAGCAGACCTTGGAAAGGATTTCCCGTATTTTCATTCGTTAGCCCCACCCGAAACCAGCATTCTTTCGAAAAATCGACCTGCCGAGTTCTCCTAAGACCTTTTCTACAAGTGCCTCATGCGTCCACTCCGGCCGCTCAATGAACAATGCCACGCCACGCCCCATTGTGAAGTGCTTATCAGTGACTCGTGTTCTGCCTGCCTTGGATTGCCTAATAACATGTGCTCTCGTATTTTTTAAGTTCTGACGACAATATCTCATACACATCTCGGTACCTTCTCGTCCTTGGCTTACCCTGGATATATCTTGTCCATACTCCGCATCCGTGACAGTTAATCACCGAGAAAATGGCTTCTTCAAAAGCTGTAGTTCTCAATACGGGCGCCAATCAAGGCATTGGCTACTCTATCGCCCTACAGCTCGCCGCCTCAGGCAGATACCACGTACTCGTCGGCGCGCGGTCAGCCACCAAAGCCGAAGCCGCCATTCGTGAGCTACAGGCCGAGGGAATTGAAAGAATGAACCTGACGCCGATTACTCTCGATGTCGTGGATGACAGCTCCATCACGGCTGCTGTTATGGCTGTGTCAAGTCAATTCGGCCATCTGGACATTCTGATAAACAACGCTGGGCTAGGCGAATCTTCTGCCGCCACCGTTCGCGATCAGTATCGAGAGATTTTCGAAGTCAATGTCTTCGGCGTCGCAGCCGTGACGGATGCGTTTCTGCCGCTTATACAGGCTTCGTCTTACAAAGACCGCAGAATTGTGAACGTCCCCTCTGGCGTCGGACTGATAACGATGGCAAACGAGCAAGGTTATGAATACAATGCTCAAGAATACTACGTACCTGACTACCGAAGCAGCAAGGCCGCAGTCAACATGATAACTGTGGCCCAGTCTGTGAATTTCGCCAAACACGACATCGCTGTCGTTGCGGCCGCCCCTGGCATATGCCGCACAAGGTTCACCGGTGGGCACGGTGCGAAGGATCCGAGCGAGGGTGCCGCGGCCATCGTACGAGCTGCCACGGAGGGAGAACCCAAGAAGCTCACTGGCACCTTTATTGCTGATGAGCCTCATACGGGCTGGTAAGATAGTCTCGAGGTGCAAAGTCGGAGGGAGCAGTTACTATAAGACCATAGAATACCTGCTTGGCACAGAATTGTCGATGGTCCAATCGTAAAATCTACAGAACTTACCTCTTTCTGTTATATTCTTGAAAACATTAACCAATATACTCTTTATAAGTAATACATTTCCTTTTTACTTGGTGATCCTTACTATTGATAAAAGTATAAAAACTAGCCGGGATGCGTTAGCAACTCTCAGGGCAAGGCGACTCGGTTGTCGAGGGATCGTTGAAAGCGAGACCGTACGGGGCCAAATTTGTTACGCGGTAGATCTTTATCAATTCCTAGGTACATAAACATAGTCCTTTTACAGTTCCCAATTTGCCATCCTTACCCTGCAGTAACTTACTAGCTTCAGTCGTGACATTAAGAACGCCAACGACATTGTCCACCACACTCTCAACCTCCGCATCAGGAAACAACCAGGACATCAGTGCATGCACGAGGAACTGTACACTCACATTGGTCATGGCCTTGAACAAAATGAGATACCAAGCCAAGACCCAGGTGCCCCCAGAAATCCACTTGTAAAGCACGTGTCCTGCTGGAGCAAACCCGTAAAGGATGCACTTAATGGCTAGCACCGCAAGAAAAGCCGACGACATTCCTTTCCACCCATAGGCATCAGCAGAGCCGACAACTGCAGCGTACGCAAGGTTTACCATAAGCCCCACCCAATGCCAAGGCAGTATCGTGTGTACCGTCAAAGTCCACAGTTCGATGACAACGTCACTTACAGCGAAGACGAAGTTCTTTGTTGGAAGGCTGAGCTTCAGCCAAGTGTTTCCCCTGGACGGGACAGTCTCTGCACGGCACCATGTCCAAGATTTACCGTTCAGGATCAAGATGTCGATAGGACGGCTGTAGCCGTAGTTGACGTCGTCGAAGTAACTCCTACGTAGCTGCCGCGCGGCCTGTTCCACCTCGCGAACGTACAGACTGAAGCGGCGGATTAGCTGGTGTTGCTGGATATCAAAGCTCGATCTCGCGGTCCAGACCTTGCATCACATCAATAGCAGCAGAGCCGCCCCGAAAAGGTTGGTGGAGACTGCAACGGCAATTATAGTGGCACAACCCCAATCCAAAGCAAGCGACATACCATATACAAGGGCGTTTGTATAGACCAGATTGTTACACATTGTCCACATATGCTTGCGGTCTAGGCTGTGGAGAATTTCGTTGCAAACGGCGTCTTCGGTACAGGATCTGTGGCCGCAACCTCTCCCCGTCATCGGGATTGCGATAGCATTGGGCCCGTATATGACAAGTAGCTGAGGCTCCGATATGGTCGTCTCGTCATCCGAGCTCGCAGCTAAAAGCTCTGACTCCGCCAGCGGCATCTTCGGGTCCTCTAGGCGGCGGTAGGGAGTATACCGTCTTGGAGTTGGAGGCTGAATCTGGCCATCGTCTACCGTAGGTACAGGGCCAAGCCCAACGGATTGGAGGCACCATCTTATAGGCCTACAAGGCCGGCTAAAGAGTCATAATCTAGGTTTTCCTCTTATCAGCCTTGAGGTGTAGTAATTAGTTAGTCATTTGGTATAATGTCTAAGTTATAAGCTAGATATGTTATTTGCAGTTGAGACTTGTGGCTGTGAGCTTAAATCAGCGGACAGAACTTAGTACAGGGCCAAGCCAGAACTTCTTGGACCTGTACAAGTCCGAGACGAACCGTGCGAGCCCATGGTGGTAGCGACACCATAGCCTGGCTTGGATCGAGGTTCGGGCTGTGCTCCCGTATCCAAGAGCTTGGTTGTCCACGTCGAGGCCGTTTGGAGGACACTGCCACCACTGAGAATCCCAAGCCCGGGGGAACTCGAAGGCGTGGATGAGAACAGGAATGATACCGGATCTGTGGCCATAGACAATGTTGTTCGCGTTCATATAGCCTCTAGAAACGACCAAGATGATCAACCAGATCAGAGTTTTGCCCGTATGCTCGCTCGGCGGCATGGGTACGAAGTCAGATAGAACATTCTGGAGAATACAACCATTAGAAGTAATCGGATTTTGCCAAAGCAGAGAAGGGGAAAAGATGATGTAATACTTACTGCCATGATGTGAATGGCCCTTTCCCCGGGGATATCTAGAATGACGTTTCTCTGGTCCAGAGCCTTGATCTACCACGCTTTCATCCTGGGGTGGAGGACAATCATCTAGCCTATACTATTTTAGTCTTAGATAAATAAATATACCTAAACTTAATTAGCTACTATTTTCCAGGCTAGAGAGTAATTTGCTTTATTATTTTTAATATATAATTATTATTAATAGTAAATAGATAAAATAAGTTATATAATATTATAATAAAAAAGTAAAGATAATTTAAGAATTAATAAAAATACCAGTATTTACTTAGTATTTATATCCAGAAACTGTATTTATAGTCTTAGAAATTGCTAGCCTTTCTATCGATACCTGAACACATTGCGGCGATACCGTCGAACCTCCCGTACCAAGTCGAAGAACGCCTCATCAACTTCATCGCGAGACTTGGCATCTACTTCGACAAATATGGAACCGAGCTCTCTCGCCAAGGTTTCACCTTCCTGTGTTGTCACTTCTCTCAACGACTATTGGAAGCACTGATGGCCTACTAATACCATTGGGAAGTGATCCTTGTCCTTCTCCCTCCGAATCGCATGATAGAAGGCGGTAATTTCTTCGAAGCTCTGACGACTTGAGACACTGTAAACCAGCATAAAGCCTGTTGCTCTTATTCCAAACTGATGTATCCTTGCAGGATAAGAATACTCTTCTTGCCCCGTCGTGTCAGTCACGTCGATTAAAGCGACTTCGTTGTCGATGGCGCATGATCTACAACACGTGTTATTCTCGCAGTAGTCATATTGATCGTGAAAGAAGGGCTTCGTGAACTTGAACAAGTATTAGCTGTAGTCCAAACGGAAGCCAAAGTTCATAGGAGACTTTCTTGGATAGTGAGAGCACTTTGTTGAGACTTGTATGCACCCAACAACCTCAATGGGTATTCTCTCACGACGATCCGCGAGAAGTTGTAAGAAGGAACGTCGAGTCGGCTTTGATCTTTGACTCTTGTGACTTGATACATCCATTCGAGGCTCCGTGTTTTAGAACTGAGGGTAAAGGACATGCTGCGTTCTTTACCATCGTCCAACCACTTGATTTGGCAACCATTTAATTCTTTTACATGTTAGCTCATGAATCAAAAGTCATTATCATGCCTCGTACCTTGTCTAGATGATAGAAGTACTCGCCGTACTTGCTGTATATCCTTTCATCACGAAGCAGACCTAGTACAAACTAAACGACAATTTCATTTCGTGAACTCAAATAAGGGCAACGGTGCTCGGCGACAGTCTAGCTGCATGGAGTATGGCTAGGGTCTGATCTTATCCAACCTTAACTCTGTATGAAGGGCCTATATTTCCTTTTTATTTCTTTTCTTCTTTTTTGTCAAGTCCGCTTTGCAGTCCTATGGCTTTGCAGGAGGGCCTCGGCGTATGTCTGAAGGATGCTCTGCCACGCGTTTCGATTGTCAGGTTAACCTCGCATGATATGGTGTCATGAGCGCGTGTTTTCAAAACCGACCGAGGTGGACGAAGCTTTTCTTCTTTTCGGCCTTGTGTCCTTGAGACCTTAGAGACCCCTACTTGGCGATCGGTAGTGATACCACTAAGCAACATTCACCTGGCACGTAAAGTGCACCAAGAGAATTGTCAGACTATCACTCAAGGGCTATGGTAGCATATGGTAGTGTAAGTGAGTATCCTGCAAATGACAGGATGGGACAGAATCAAATGCACCAATTGGAGTGAAAATCCAAACACCAGACTCAGCCCAACACTTATCCCTCTTCTCAATTATCTGTAAATTGTGATATACCAATCCCATCTTCAAAATTTCGAAAAGAATGATTCAAGAGAGACTTGAAGTCAGTCACAAGACTCCTCAGATGACCTCCACCCTTACAAGGGCATTTTGCTGAAGGATCGAACTTGTCGATGGCTTGTCTTAAGGCATCGAGACTGAACCCATGATATGGATGGCTTGGTAGTGGCTTCAGGCCATTTTCAAATAGATTTTGGTCGATGTACCCGAGTTGATTGTACTGACACTGTCGGCTGTACGCCATGGTACTCGGGTTGGTGACACGGTTCAAATTGCGCCAATATTTTTGGATGCCTTCAATCAAAATACGGATCGAAGAAACTCTCAACTGTTCAATGGAAGCTGTTGTACCTCGTCAGATCTTCAATATATCTCGTATACGCATGCTCTTCACTAACCAACAACTTGATAGGGTATGGGCAACCCTAGCGTGGGTATCGGGCCTCGACTCGTACGGATTGCAACCTCGGTGAGGGAACGGAAATTCCTCCTGTCAGAAAATATCCAAGAAATCGTCAGTTTGAGTAGTAGCTCCCTCGAGTAAAAGGACTCCCTCATGTCCGAGGCAAGATTTGAGATCCACGTTTCTGCCCATAGCTCCACTGCCTCGTGACAACCATAGTAGTCCACTAGCACAGCGATCTTTGCCAGTTTCTCAAGTCCTATTGTACGAGGGACTTCCCGTATCTTGTGATGTAGTATTCTCATGAGCAAAAGAAAAGCTTCGCCGTCCCAGTCGTTAGCTGTGAGTGTCCATTTGTAGCCAGGATCAGATTCCGTTTCTTCCCAATCGCCAGATAAAGACTTTTTAAAATAGGCCGATGTATTTATCAGAATTCCTGAAGAGACCCTAAATCGCAGTTGTAAGACCTCTGCCTTGTCTTGAGTGAGCGACGTGTCATCAACCAACGTGTCGTGTGGATTACTGTGAGACTTCTTTTGGATTATGGAAGATTCGTGGCGTTTTGACAATTCTGTCTGATGTTCAGGTAGGGCATTGGGCCATTCGTCTTCGGTATTGTGCGTCGCAAATGCTGCGCCAGGATTGCGCAGTATTAAAAGCGTGTCACCACCTTCTTGGACCTCGTATACTTCAGACATAGCCATAATGTGCAGTGCTATATATATAGCTAACCTCTCTGTGAGAAACGAAATGCACCTCAAATTTATTGTTGCAGAGAAGAAAAGGTATACTGATCCAGCAGACAGTGTTATTACCCCGCACAACTAACCGCGAGAGCACGTGCCTTGAAGTGAAGAAGGCAGCTGCAATTCTTACCAATACATTTCATTCCCGGACGGGCTCATCAATGAGAATGAAACTGCTAATGATAGCGCGTAATCAAGAGACCGTATGCGTTACATTTTATCCCATACAGTCCTAAGGTGTAGTGTGGCAATAATCTGGAGCTAAACAAGAGCGCCGAATTCGATGAAATGCTCGATGAGCGCACTAATGGAAATAAAATCCCCAACGGCACCAAATATCACCTCTATCGAATGACATTAATAGTAGCCTGATGTATCTTACTTAAGGTCATTCCTCCTGGAAATGATAGAGAGGGTGAGAAGTAGCAGGAAGTATAAGGCCAATTGAATAAAAAGGTTGGGTCACTAAAGATACGGCGGCACGGTGACTGCTAGTCTGCCCTAAAGGCCGCTCGGATTATAGAAGTAGAGGCCGATCGTGATCCACGCAAGCGGCAACTATGTGGTTAAAGGGCGCAAATCGGAGGGAACACTTCGTAACCTTATCCAGTAGTTTCCTACCGATATAGCCGTTTTCTGATCCGGAATGCATGTTCCGAGTGACTATTAAAGCGACAAGTCTCTCCAGCCTCTCAATAAATCAGCCCTACTCATCACAAAAGGCCAGCAACAGTCTTTACAATGGGCGCAGTACAGTCAACTGATAAGCCGATCGTGCATACTACGAGCAAGGGAAAGCTCAAAGGCATCCAAAGGATTGACAATGTAACACAGAAGCCATCTTATCATCGGTTTACTCGTGTTCCATACGCTCTGCCACCTGTTGGTGACCGGAGGTGGCGTCGTCCAGAAAAGCTCCCCACAGACTTTTCATACGATGATGCAAACGGTGTCGCCGGTGATTATACGACATTTCCCTCCGTCTGCCCCCAACCTCACTACGCGCATGGGGCGGCGGAGGTGGCGAACCCAGATCGCGAGCCAGAGCCGGAAACCGTCTTTGACGAGGATTGCCTATACGTTAACATTTGGGTCCCTGCTCAAAGCCCACCGCCTGACGGCTGGCCAGTCCAGTTCTACATTCGTAAGTTTACGTGTACACTACCGTGATTGATTCCTTTGCTGACTGTTTGGGGCAGATGGTGGCTGGCTTCAAATGGGTGAGGCGAATCACATGAACAAGCATGATCCATTCCATCTCATGCAGGAATTTCCCCGTATTATCGTAGCCCCTGCGTATCGACTCAATCTATTTGGCTTTATGTCTTTTTCCGGTCTCCAAGAAGACTGCGCGGCCTACGCCCCAGGAAACTACGGCTTTTGGGACCAGCGTGCTGCACTTGAATGGACGTATGCGAACATCGCGGAGTTTGGCGGCAACCCTGAGAATATCTCTCTGGGAGGTCTATCTGCAGGCGCATATTCGTCTGTCTTCCAACTGAATTACGACGTCAGACTTCCGAACAAGGCCGATCGATTGATCAAAAGAGTCTACTTATACTCGAATGCAGTCGGAGTTCAGCCGAACCCTGTGTCTTCCCCTGCACTCGAAGCCCAAGTTGATGAGCTTCTGACAGAGTGCGGAATCTCAACAGGCCTTTTTCCTCAAGAAAAAGTTGATGCGCTGCGAAAAGTGCCGTCGAAGACGCTTATCGAGGCCGTTCATCGTATGAAGCAACATACCTTCCGAGCTATCACAGACGACGACTTTGTTAACGCCAGCTTCTTGGCTGATGTCAACTCTGGGGAGTTTGGGAGACTTTTGGCGAGTCAAGGCGTCGATATCATGCTGGGAGAGGTTGCCGATGAAGCAACTCTTTACCGCATGATCAACCCAGCTTCCGATTACGATAGCCTCGTGGTGCAACTGAACAACTACTACCCAGAGAAAGTAACCAAGGCCCTTCTGCAGCACTATACTCTTCCCACTGCAGGGTCCAGCAAGGACGAGTGGGCCGATATTGGGTCAATCATTATCGGCGACTGTCAAGTCCACGCTACGATCCGTGGCTTCACCGCGTCATTGCTCAAGACCATGCCTGAAGAACGCGTCTTGAGGTACAGAATCTCATGGCGTGCGAAGGCGCTCGACAACTGGCTCCAGCCCAGTATTGGCATGTGTCATGCCTCTGACATCCCTATTTGGTGGGCCTGTGGACGCCGGGCTGGATATGAGCAGGCTGATCTTGGCCTTGTAAGCGAGTGGCTGAAGCCATTCTATCAGTATTTGTGCGGTGATAAGCCAACTTGGGGCGCTACTGGCTTGAATACGGTCAGAGAATTGAAAGCGGAAGGCAAGATTGAGAGTGTGGAGGATGTAAATCTGGATAAGGGCCTGGAAGTATGGAACGTGATGGTAAAAGCGCAATTGAACCTAGCCTAGATATGTCCTCAGTGGGCATAAGTAAAAAATATTACTGTATTACAGCTTTAATCTCGGCTCGGTTGCGCTCTTCAATTTGCATTCGTCTGTGAATTCCTTCCAAAGGGGAGACAACCTACCTTGAAAGACAATATTCCTTGTATTACTTCCTAGCTTCATGCTCTTTACTGTTAGACTTGAGGCTATAACGAGTTTAGTAGAGCAAGCAGACAGTTTCTCAATAAATTACCAGATGTGGATGTCCCATTTCCTGTGTAGTTATCGTCACCAATAGGGTTATCTCCTCAGCCCCACTATTAGCTGAAGGCACGATAGCTGTATTCCGAGTACCGCAAGAAACCTTAACTTGGAGGGAGGAGATATGTCGGTCCTTACATCTAGAATCCGATCATCTTGAGCCGAGACTAGGAAGCTACTTTATTGATCCGAGACGACAGTTGCATTCGTAGTGCATAAGGATGTTATCAGTACGGTTGGACATGCCTCTTTAGTAGTTCGGCCAGCATTCTCCACCCAATCATCGTTACAAGTTGGGCATGGATATCCACTCACACAATCTGGACCTGGACATCACTGGATTGAGATAAGGGCGTTCGTTGGTCTTGTTCCCGCCTGGTGAGTGTACGATTACCCCAGGTTATCTCGGAATCATCAAAATGTCGTTTCCGCCTTGAGAACACCAGGCCTTCACAACTTAGATATAAAGCATCCTTTTGGAGCTCTCACCGTCGACCTCGCCAAGCTACAGCCCCATCCTCCCAGACCAACACCTGCCTCGGGCGGCATTTTTTATACTTACGTCAACCTTCAGACATATCTTTCCTCCAGCTATGGCCGAAAAGACCTCAAAGCCAGTAGAAGCTGGTATCAACCTATCTCCCGTCCCTAGTATTATGGGCAAGGAAGAGAATGGCGGCGGGAGCATCACTGCTGGTGAAAATTCCAGTACTGATGAGTCCGAGCTATTCCTCCAGCAACATGGATTCACAACCGAGTATCTCAACGAGCTCGTATCAGACAAAGAAAAGAACAAGCGGCTGGTGAAGAAAGTCGATATGCTGCTTTTGCCATTGATGGCCGGCACCTACGTCCTCCAGTTCATCGATAAACAAGCTCTCTCCTACAGCGCTGTATTCGACCTCCTTGAGAATACCGGCACTACTCTTGAGCAGTACAGCTGGTTTGGCAGCATCTTCTACTTTGCCTATCTAGTTGCTGAATACCCATGGTCTTTCCTTGCACAGAAGACGCTCATGGGCAAGGTCGTTGCTGGTTGCATCCTCGCTTGGGGAAGCATACTGATGATCACTGCTGCTAGCAGTAACTTCGCCGGCCTCGCAGTATGCAGATTCTTCCTTGGCACATTCGAAGCTCCTATTACTCCAGTTTTTATGATGATCGTGGGCATGTGGTATACCCGTGAAGAGCAGCCTTTCCGCGCTGGTGTCTTTTATAGTTGCAACGGCATCGGCCTCATGCTTGGTGGACTTCTCAGCTTTGCCATTGGTCAGATCCAAGGTTTCGAGGTCTGGAAGGCCATTTTCATTATTTGTGGTGGCATCACAGTACTCTTTGGAGGTGTTGTGCTTTGGAGACTGCCCGATAATATCCTGCGGGCCAAGGGCTTCAGCCTGGAGGAAAAAGCTTTGCTTATCGGTCGCGCCAGGCTAGCAAAGACTGGTGTGCTGAATCGCACTATCAAGTGGAGTCAGGTCTGGGAGTGTCTGATGGACCCTCAAATCTGGCTTCTGTTCATCTTCGTCTTGGTCAACGAGGTCATCAACGGAGGTATTGGCAATTTCGGCTCTTTGATTATCAAGGGTCTGGTGGACAACGCCCTTCTCAGCGTCGTTTTAGGCATTCCACAAGGTGCTTTCCAAGTCTTCTGGATCCTTTCTGGTACTTGGCTAGCATCAAGGTACCGGAATATGCGAACTGTCATTATGGCTGTCTATAACATCCCGACAATTCTTGGCCTTTGTTTGATCTGGAAGCTTGACCGCAAGACCCAGAAAATTGGCTTGCTCTTTGGATACTATATGGTCACAGCATATGTGACTTCACTTGTGCTGGCCCTTCAAATGCCGTCTTCTAATCTTGGAGGTTACACAAAGCGTGTTACTGGTACGGCAGTGGTATTTGCTGCTTACTGTGCTGGAAATGTTATTGGTCCACATGCATTTCTTGCCCGTGAGGCGCCCGTCTACCAGACTGGTGTTATTGTCATGCTAGCTTGTGGTGTGGCCCAGGTGGTGTTGGCTGGCATGTTGCGATACCTCCTGATCCTGAGGAACAGGAAGCGTGATCAGGCCGCGGCCGAGTCTATCCAGGCACCAGAAGATACCAGCGCTGATGTGACTGACTTCAACGTAAGTACGCCAAAAGCTATAACTCATGAATGATTAATCTAACCAAAACAGAACCCGCATTTCAGATACGTTCTGTAAACGAGGTAAGGCCAATACGACTCACAGGCTGGATGGGGCTAGTGAATATCGCAACTGGGAATGCTTTGTACAGCTTTTAAGCACATGGATATAGTTCGCCATACTTAAAACCCTCCAGCAATTAGCGCTCTCATCTCTGTGTCTTTTGTATTCGTAAGCTGTGTTTCTAGGACGTGAGGTATGCCTACCTGCAATTACGCTCAGAACTGGTGGTATGCAGGGGTTTGATGCTAGGGATAGTCGGATAAATAACCTATCCTTTCATGGAACCTTCCTGGTTATTATGATAGCCTCTCTAGTCCTCAACCAATTCTGTCATGAGATTGTGAGCTTGACATCAAGATGCAAAGTGACCTGCTTTCGGATCCCATGGATGGAGAGCGTATTTGTGTTTTGACATAGGTCTCAAATGTCGTTTATTCAAGGCCAATACCTCCAAATTTGCACGACAGGATAGCTGCGTTGTTGAACCCCGTTCGCGATTCTAGTTCAAAGAAGAGAGATCTTTCATCATATCGCCATCGAGGGCTAGTGCTTGTCTGATTTGGCGATACATTACTAAAACCCTTTTCGCTCAGCCAGTCAGTCGCAGTCGTCGAAACAGGAATAATAAGAGTGATAAACGATGAGAAAGGCTTCAACCGCATAGGCAAAGAACACTTGTCGCAGCCAATCAATAATGTACACAAATTCTTCTTTATGGAAAGGAAAAAGAGCTTTAATTCCTACTTTTAATGGAGTCTTATTAGCTACACAAGCTCAATCTAGGGTATCCGCCCCGCACGATTGATTGCTACTTATGTGGCTGATTGATATGAGCCTCGACATAGACATAAGTCAGCCATGAATTGTCCCGAACGTGGTCCAACCGACCGAGGCTATCGTGATGTTCACATGCCAATATGATTGGCTAGCCATCAAAACAAAACAACAGCTGCCGAAGTCCGGATTCACGAGACCCGGGGACCCCAGATTCTCCAGAACCTTGCGACGCGCTCCAATCAGACCGAACCTCGCTAGTCAATGTAAGGGGAGCGCCCCGGACCTAGAGCCTAGCGCGTGGAGCTTCCGCCGGCACATGACGCGGGGAAAGACTCTTGCGCGGGCTGACAATTGGTGCGCTACATTATGACCCAGGAACATGACTATTTAGGTGAATCGGACGAGGTTCTGAGAAGTTAATTGGCGCGTCAAGATGAAGGCCCAGAAACTAGCTTTCTTGTTCAGGTTGGGCTGAACGGTGACCCAGGAATAGCTTAGAGTTTAGAGCTCTTTTGGAAATGTAACATCAAATCGGCCAGGGTTACGTTGTCATGATGCCAAGATATTTAAACAGACATTCGTCCGTCTTTTTGATGTTCAGTCCATCACTTCATCCATACATTTCACACCATTCTCTTTCATCATGCTTGGCAGCAAGGCTTCCCTGTTATTATCATGCTTGGCTCTCCTCAGCCCTGCATCATGCAGAGCCATTGAGGAACGGGCCGTCGCGGATCATGCCGTGACGTTCCAGACCATCTACAAGCCTCCCTCCAACTACAACACTCCCAAGACATTGTACGGGCGAAATGTCCAACTTGCTGATGGAACTATCCTAGCTACTTGGTCAGTCATCCGGACCATCCGGCATCGTGCTTACTAACGTAGAACAGGGAGAACTATAGTCCTGAACCACCAAAGGTGTACTTCCCCATCTACCAGAGCAAAGATAAGGGCTCAACCTGGGCGCCTTTGTCCAATGTGACTGATACCAAGAACGGCTGGGGTCTTCGCTACCAGCCTTTCCTATACGTCTTGCCCCAGGCCATCGGCAATCTCGCCAAGGGCACTATCCTCCTTGCTGGAAATAGTATCCCTACCGATCTCAGCAAGACCAAGATCGACCTCTACGCTTCAACTGACAGCGGCAAGACCTGGAAGTACATTTCCAACATCGCTACCGGAGGAAAGGCCGTTCCCAACAATGGCGAAACTCCTGTTTGGGAGCCCTTCCTGATGGTGTACAACAACAAGCTCGTGTGCTACTACTCCGATCAGCGTGATCCCTCGTACGGCCAGAAGTTGGTGCATCAGACTTCCAGCGATGGTGTCACCTGGGATGCTGTCGTCAACGACGTCCGCGGAACTGCTTACTCTCAACGCCCCGGCATGACAACCGTTGCTAAGCTTCCTAACGGAAAGTGGATGATGACCTTTGAGTACGGCGGCGGAGCTTCGCCTAATAACGCTGCTTTCCCTGTTTACTACCGTATCTCCGACTCTCCTCTCACCTTCGACAGTGCGTCCAATCAGATTCTCACCGCTGGTAGCCGTGCGCCTAGCTCTTCGCCTTATCTTACCTGGTCCCCTTCCGGAGGATCTAGTGGATCTCTGATTGTTACTGCCAACAGCGATAACGGCATTTACATTAACACTAACCTTGGCGCTGCGGGCTCTTGGGTTTACTATGACATTCCCCAGCCTGGTGCTTATTCCCGACAGGCTATGGTCATGGATAACCCTGATTGGCTGTATGTCATGAGCGCTGGATATCTTGGTGGTGATAACTGGGTCACCGACAGTGTCTTTAAGCTTCCCAACCTGTCTTAGATATGATGGCTCTGTTGATTATCCCCGGGAGGCCAGCCCGCGTGAGATAGCTACCAGAGTAGTTAATCAATGAAGATAAGAATGTCCCTCACCGCGCCTATTGAAGTTCCTAATTACTCGCAATTCCATTGCATTCTCTTGTTTTGAAGACAGGGTCTCGGCATTAGCCAATCTGTGGCCTGACTTGACAACCAACAGCATGAATAAAATTGTGTTTCACATACAAATTGAGGACCCTCTCAAATGAACTATGCAACTGGGAGTCAAAAGACCTGCAGGTTCTGAATCAGCGGATGTGGAAGCGCTGGCAACTCTGAGCAGTTTATACCCCACAACGAGCCGTTATTCCAAGACATAGCAGTGGCATTACTAGATCTCTCTGCCGGCGCAGCAAGAGCCTTGGAGATAACGTGTCGGCCCGATCCTGCATGATCCTTCGGACAAAGCGTTCGTATAATTCGTAGAGTACAGGGATAAGAATGTTACTATTGGCCCGCTTGATAATAGTGTTTCCTGGTGAGACACGCTACTATAAGGATTTGAGTTTGCCATGATGATGCCACCCAGGATACGACAATGAGCTCGGATAGAACTTTTGCAGCCGAAAGCTTAGCTTAACCTTATATATAAACGGCAGTTAATTGATTTGAAGTCATTAACTTTCTCGCCATTCAGTGAGATAGAACTATCTAGACGACTCGGTGAAAATAACACATTAACCTTTCTTTGTCCCCTTGATTACCGCCCTCTCTATATTATCATTACGAGCTGAATGCCGAGTGTTCCGAGAGCTACAACCAGTATAACCAATTACTCTATATAAGGACTTGATCTCCCTCTTCAATGCTGCGACTCATCAAGTCTTCTAATTCTTAAGTTAACTACATCCCCTCTCTTTTCTTTTGCTACATAAATCCAATTTATCTATATCCCTACAGCGTGTTCTGCCTGTAACACATCTCATCACCATGCCGTCTTTTCAACTCCGCCAACTTCTGGCAGTCTTCTGGCTACTTTTTGCCTTTGGCTTAGCCTCGCCCCTTGGAGAAAAGGGCTCACTTCAGTCTCGGCAAACCGTTTGTCGCACTGGATTCGGCTGCTTAGGTTTTGGTGTTTCTGGCTGGAATTCCTTCTTGGTGGACATTCCCGCTGCCAATGATCCTATCGTCCATGACGCTACCTCCACGGGACGAGTGACGAATGCAAGCATTTGGAACAAGTCAGATGGCTCGTGTTTCTTCACTATCGGCGTGGTTCCGGGCTACAGACCACCACCTGGCCAAAATATTGAAGTGCGAGCATATGTTGGGTCAACCCAGGTCACTCTTAACACCGACGAGGTGCATGAACTGCTCAATGCATTTGGAACTATTCCTGCTGCCGTCATCAATAGGGCGAGATCTTCAATGTCTAGAGCTGCGGTTAAGGTTGAATGGAGGATTGTTTAATCCTGGCCCGAGTTGTAGTGCCCTAGCTCTATGCCTATCAGATTATCAATAGCTGGGTGGCATTCCCTTGGCCCAGCGGCTGGCTGAATAGGTCTTTGTTTGGACAGATGGGTGTCGGAGAGGTCATTATGTTTGCTGTATTGGTTACGAAGGACATAGGAGCTAGCTTGGGAGGAGGAATACGGGGTGGATATACGGACGGGTGTGTCATAGGGCTATTAGGCTATAGAGGTAGTCTTTTGTCCAATCACAAGGCTGCCAAGAGGTGAGGTTTGCTTTCGTTAGACGATTTTTCCTTGCACTTCGGTAAAAATTAAAAGCTGTTGGACCTATTTCTCCCTCCTTACAATAAATTACCTATTTTTATCTTAAAAACAATTGAAATCTCTACATACAATCGGGATATAGCGCCTTGGCATTAGTCATTTCGTGGCCTGATTTCACGACCAACAACCAAAAATAAAATTAATTTATCGCTACCGTTGCCCAAAAGGCTTCATCAACTATCCACTTTGCGGAGAACTCGGCGATATTCTAGGCAGCATCCGACAACATACAACAGAACCAACAGCCGTAAAGCCTGGTGAAATTGGTTTAAAAGGAGATTTTGCTCCATCCAACTCTCTATTTGTCCCCTTCACCTTTGTGGTCTTCTTTTTCACCTTTATTCATGCTCAATATGAATGCCTTTCGTTCCATCGCCCATTATATATGGTGTGTTTGGGTAATGTTCAAATTACTATGCAAGATAGTGCTGTGGATGATGCTTCCATTCTATGGCCTCACGGCATTATCCGGACTCATCCAAGGCGCTATGTTCGTCCACTGGTACACAGGAACCCTAAATGAGATTGCTCGTCTCCTTATCACAAACCTCATTGATATCAAGACGCTCAAGTTTGTCAGCGACGCATCAGGATATAGCTTTCTTGATGGGTTAAGTCCTGTGTATGAGATACCGCAGATTCAGAGCCCACTCGACTGGACTTCTCAACTCGGATTGACAAGACCCAGCGATTGGAGTAGTCAGAATGTTGAAAATATGGCAAATCTAGACAGCCTGTATCGAATAACGCCTCCCTATGATGAGGAGCCATGGCAGCATTGGGTTTATCTATCAGCGCAAATGGAGCCATGGAGACAGCCTGATGGCCCTATGCTTCACGATCCTTGGGACCAAACATTTGTCAAGCTTCTCGCGTATCGAGACACGCATGAGGCGCTGGGACGGTCGAATTTCCATTACGTATCCTGTCATAAGAGCTTTCTGTGCGCGTCATGGCGCGTCACAGCACCAGCGCTATTGCACTTTTCCATCAGCAACACGACGGAATCCCAGTACTACGAGGAGTTGCCAGATCATGAACTAGTATCCGTCCGAGTATTCGAGCTACCCCTGCGAGAAATGCCCATCCCTGGCGTATTCCCCAGCTACTTTGAGCAGATGCGTGCTCTGACAGCAAGCAACTTGACCTTTTGGACGACAAAAGATACATACTCTCATTTCTTCCAAATGTCCAATCAAGGGCTGCGAATCGCAGCGCAACTTGAGAAGGAATACCCCTGGACTTACGGCTTACTAGTGAAAGCGGAGATCAAATGGACAAGCCTATGGCCCATTGACGATACATGGTTGAGACTCACGGCTTATTTCATTCCTTTTCTATGCTCGGCTGTCCCAACGTACATATTCAAGCACGCCCAGGCACTCTTTACGGATCTGAAGTTCCCTGAGACCTCTGAGACAGTTCCTGAAGGGAAGGATCCCTCGGCTCATAGTCTGCAAAGGCTTCTTGATGGATTGAGCGACGAAGACAAAGCGAAGTGTAGGAAGTCATCGCGAGGTAAAAGGATGTTGAGAAATATTGAAGCAGAGCTTGTGAAAGATGATTGGGATACTCCTGAGGAGATTATTAAAGATCTCAATAGTGCGTTGGGTCTAGATAAGGATGGGAAGGTCAAGAGTCGGCGATGAAGTACTTAGCTTGACTTTTGCTTTAGAGTAGATCAGGCAGTAGGCATTCTCAAGACCACCATTACCAAGATGAACTAGCGTTATCTGATCGTTTTTCATGACTTGGGAATGAGGATACCTCGGAGACTTTGCATGTGTTTATCAGTGAGCTGTTATTAAATCTGGTATAATGCTCCATCACAGTTGTAGCATCCTTGAAGTCCCCCCCTATTTAAAGCTTCCCCACTACGTGGTTACCGTGTACATAGTTGACTACGAATTCCTCAAAGAGCCTTTCAACATTTGGATAGTCTTCCCGAGTGCCTACAAGTTATCCTGCTTCTCTTTGATCTCTTTTTCCATCTCTTTATACTTTTTCACCATCTCTGCAAGGAGATATTCGTCATTTGACCCTTCATCATCCCCAGCCCTTGGTCTCTTCTTCGTGACATTGGCTCTGATAGCTTCATCTGGTCCGACGTCTTGGCCATGCTGAATGCTAGGTGAGACTGAAGTTGATGTTGATAGTGACCTTGGACAAGATTGATCGTCGGCTCGTCTAAGGTCTTCTTGGCTGTGCTTACAGCTCTCAAGATGTCTATTCAAATGGAACCTACGCTTGAAAGGCTTTCCATTGGACCTGTTGCAGCCAGTATTGGGACATAGCAATGATTCCTCCAAGCTCGATGCATCTTTGTGTTTCTCTGTTCGATGTCGGCTTAAGGTAAATGGCCTTCCAAATGTCTGTTGGCAGTCTGGACACACAAAACGACCTTTTGTTTCTTCCGACCTACAGCATCTGTTTAGAACATATCCCCTTATCATGTGAGTATTGTACTCACTCATCCGAGTTACTCGTTCGCTGACCATAGCCGCTACTGTCGGCACTACCAGTGGCATTCCTCTCCCTGCTATTGTCGGCACTGATGCACACCGTATGAGTTGGGTCTTTCATGTTGGTCACTGGTAAAACTTCGGCCGTATCTTGCGCCGCCACTTCCAAGCTTTCCGAATCACCACTGGACGTCTTGAGCGAAATCAGAAAGTTTGGATCTGAAGGGGTGTTCTGGGCAAAAGCGAAGGGGTGAATCAGGTCATTCATCAACTGAGCGTCTCCCGGCCAGAACTCTTCCAGGGTATCCTGACTGAGATGTTCTCTATTGTCGAAGTCATCTGCAACCGAGCCTTGAAGTTCCTCTGTTATAAGTTAGATAAGCTTCCACAAGATAAGATCAGGGATGACATTACCCCCAATTCCGATACCATGGAAGTCGGTGTAAAAGTCATAAGCGGCCGGTACGGGCGAGATCATGGGGTCAACAGCATTGTGCCATTCGTGGTCGGGTTGGCTAGAGCCGATGATGAACATCCAACAGACACCCCAGAGTACCAATAGTGATGGGAAAATTGTCCACGGCATTGTTGTACATGTGTGTCTGATATTGTTGGGAAACTCAAAGATGGGCTCAGCAAGACCTTGCTCCTTCGTCACATCTTTCTTCCGGCCGAGGTCCTCGTATTTGCGCCTAAACCATATTTTCAATCTACCCAATATGGCTTCACTCTCTTCGACCGTTTCCATAAGGGCCATTTCTTCGTGAGTGAAGAGTAAGTCATTGTTCCCAAGTATTTCGATGAGTGAAGAAGATAATTTCATGATCTCCAGCCATTGCCTTGCTGATTCTAAGTCTTGCTCGCGCTTCAGGAGAGGAAGTAGACAGTCGCTGAACCGCCGCAGACTCCGTGACTGGAGGGAGTGATCATGCGCAATCCTTCTGAAGTGGCGCAGTTGCGGACTGAGTGAGGAGAAAGCGATAGGGAGCTCCTGACGTTCGCGCAAGAGCATACGGTGGATAGCATGGAGGGCCTCCCACTGCTCATGCTCGTTGTTGAGATCTGGGTTTCTTTTACTGTTTTTGGATAGGCCTTGTTCGATGTGAGTGCACGTTTCTTCCACCTTTACCAGGCGTACATAAACAGCTTTGCCTTCAGACACGAGTGTCACACGAGAGAAGGACGACTGCCTGCCGGCGGCGCGGGTACTCGTGGGAAAGGTTCTATGCGCTTTGGGCGATAGTTGTCTCCGTCCTCTAGCTTTGAGCGACGTTTGGAAGAATATGAGGGATGTTCACAAGCCGCGACGGACTCCAATCTCTCTTTCTCTAGGCGATCACGGTTCCGAAAGTGACGAACCCATTTGACACTAATAAAATTTGCCATGAAGGTTGCCATCAAGGCAAAACGTGAGGGCGAATGAGCCTGCAATTAGAAGAACCAAAATAGGTGTAATCCTGGGAGGTATAGAAGTATGCGGTGGTAGAAAATAGATTGAAGTTTTGTTTGGGATGAGTCTGAAATGAGCTGTAGTGCAGAATATAAGCTGCACTCTTGGGGTGCAGCGGCAATTTGGCTTTCATTTTGTTGGATTCATCCGGGGAGCACTTGGGGTGAATGCCAAGTTCAAAATGTAATATCTTCCAAGGGCACACTTGTATCTTGACACCAATCCTCATTTTGGCAACCACCACTGTGGTCAAATCACCACAGAACCACGTTCAAGCCTAAAGCCTTTCGCAAGTCTTTGTCATATGCTTTCTCTAAAAATACACATCTGACAAATAACTAAGAGAATTAAGTCGGAAAATTATGTCTAATAGCCAAACCACTCCGATGCTTGCAGCCTTTCTATACAACTGTAACAATTGGTCCGACTGACTCTTGCACCTTCAAAACGACAGGACACAAGCTCTGCCAGTTGTAAGAGAACAAATAGAAAAGGGCTCTAAGCTTTGATCGTGCCGCTTTCTTCAATTTGGCTAGTCTCATTAGAAAGGACTTACGCTGCGGACTTTTAACAAGTTAATACCACTGATCTTTGTTTTTGTGGTTAGCCTCAAGCGCTTAGGCGGCCAAGAACAGACACTTGTTTAGCTGTTAAAGTCGCTTAGTGATAAAAGCAGCAAGCGTGTAAGTTCTCCTCTCCCATAATGGAGATCATGTTTATGATTGGCAAGCATTAGAAGCGATATCTGGTTGTCGTTATCTAAAAGATTGAAACAACATCGGGGACAGCGATCCAGGGCCTCGTGGCGAGACTATTTAAGAGCCCAATAGTATATTAGGGTTAAATCTGAATAGGTAGCTCGAGGGTCGGTCACAAAGTACTTAATTAAACCTATTCAAAGATTTAGAGTACATAAAGCACTACTAAAAAAGTAAAGAAGGAATCTACGTCATAAGCTTTAGGCATCAATCGAATCTAATTGCTACTCTTACTACTATAGGTTAACTGTTCCATGTTTCCTTTTTAGATGTTGTGATGGGAAGTCCCATATAAAGCTGAAACTATACCCCTCTAGGAAATTATTAAGAGACATCTCGTTTCAACTTCTCAATTAGGCTACTCATGTGAGAAAGCCTAAGCTTAGCAACTAGACTACAAGTAAGTATTAAAAGGCATATCACTTGCAACCGCAATTCTTGAAATCTTTCTCCCAATCGTAAATCATTGACCCTCGTCTATCAATTTTTCACTGGCCGCAAACATGTGCTCTTCCTCAACCTATCCCACAGAGGCTGGAACCGCAATCTCCACATTGTACGCCAATGACCCCGGGACAACTGCAAACGCGATTATCAACGCCCTTGAGAAAGATGGTGCATTGATTGTCAAAGGCATAGCGTCCAAGTCTCTATGCGAACAGATAAGAAGTGACCTGAAACCACTTTTTGACTCAGACGTCAAAGATGACTCTGGCTTCTTTCCTCCTACCACCAAGCGAGCAACCGGTTTCTTTGCTACCTCAGACGCATGTGTCGAACTAGCCATAAACCCTCTCTTCCAATCCGTTGCAGAAAGAGTCCTGGGTAGTAAGTACACGTACTGGGAAGGTCAAGAACAGTTGACAGTCTTTGGAAAGCCGTATATTGCTAGTGCTGTTGGATTTCGCGTTGAGCCCGGTGGGAAGCAACAGGCTCTTCATAGAGATGACTCAGATTATCATCCTAGGAACTGCGACATGCCCGTCATGCTCGGTTGTGTAACGGCAGGTCCATCCTCTTTTCCATGAACGGCTGAATTATCTAACGTCACTAGGCTTTGACTAAGACAACGAAGGAGAATGGCGCGACTATTGTCATCCCAAAGAGCCATCTTTGGGGTCCTGATCGATGTCCACTAGATGAGGAGGCAATCCCTGGAGAACTGGAAATTGGGGATGCTATGCTCTTCCTGGGCAACGTCTATCATGCAGGCGGAGCCAACACCACCAAGTATGTTTATTGTACCTTTGTTAGTATCATGCAAGCTAACATGGAAAGGGATGACGCTCGAGAAACTATCGGCATCTTCATGTGCAAGGGAACCCTGAGGCAGGAAGAAAACCAGTTCCTAAGCATCCCCCCAGAGGTTGCAAAAGGCCGGAATCTTCCCCCGAAGATGCTCAGATTATTAGGGTATGGCATTTGTCCACCGGCCTTAGGCTTCTACAAATATCGGGATCCGATGAAGGTCATCTTTGGAATCGAGGACGAAGAGACTGTCAAGAAGTAGATAGTTTGTTCCTCAAACTGCTAGGATTCTTCTACCAAGACTTTCCCATTGCTTTGCTAGTATGCGCCAGTCTGTATCTCCGCTGGACCAGAAACTCTCGAGAAAGGTAAGAACATCCCCATGGTGCTTAAATCCCGTGACATCAGATAAGCTCTGGTAGAGATCCTTTATTATGACTCGCCTATCGTCATCTCCGTAGCATTCCGTCCCGGCAATGAAGATTGGCCATGCGAGGTTATGAATCGACCCATGTAGATTCTCCATACTAGTCAGTAGTCGAAACAATTCGTCCAGGCTGACGGTCTCTTCCGGGCCATATTGATGACCAAGGCATCGTGTAGTGTATAACAGAGCAGCATTATGGTAGGTGTCAACTAGACGTATAAAGTCTCCACGATCAGCAGTTGAGCATACCCCGCTGCTGCCAACTTCCATCAACGTTTCCCCTCGCGCCTGAACAAACTCACCCCTCCAATTCCGAGTTGAGTCCTGAGCTGAGCCCCCTCGGGATATGAGCGTCACATCATGAAGAAGGAGTAGAAACGCAGAGAATGACTTGTCATCCCGATACTCAACTGGTCTAATCGCATCTTGTACATCTGTCGCATCGAGGATAGTAGTACATGCAAAAATATCGTACATGGAAAGCTGGTTCTGCAAGAAGCCGAAAAGGCTACTTTTAGGAAAGTCAAGCGTGGATAAAGTGTTGACGAGGGCACGAGCTGCTTTGCGATGGAAATCAGCGGCATCTGCACCGCCAGTATGAGCTAGCTCGTAGGATGACAGGACCATCATCGACGACAGCATCCATTCTGCTGTATCGGCAGTCACTGTAAGCTGGGGATGGGCGGTCATGTCGTCAACACCACGCATGATCATTGACAAGACATGATCTCTGTCTTTCTCATAAACACTTGATGGTGTAAAGTCTCTTGCTGCATGCTGGGCTGAGACTGCGCATATCGCGAGACGCACTGCCTCATTCGTCTGAGCCAAAGGTAGAACCTTCTTACGGTAATAGTTCTTTTCTGAATCGATCCAGACCATTAGCCCGGCGATATTCTTGTCATAGTAGTCCAAGAGTTGCTGAGTGTTGCTGTCAAGACTTGGCGAAGAGGTGGATGCAGTAGATCCAGGTATAGGGAATTGGACACCTCGAAGATGGCCACGAAGAGCCACGCCCTGAACCCATCGGAGTCTCGGAGCGTACCCAGGACAGGTAAATCCCCGGCCAAGACATTTCTGGCAGCTTGGTTGACCAAGATCGCAGATGATTCTACGCTTCGAGCAAATCGAGCAGCCTAGGATGCAATAAGTGAGTGAATAGTTATATTTTCACTGGTCCTCAACTTACCTTTGCCCTTCGACCGTGGCATTATGCCTTTCTATGGCTTCATGCTGCCATCGAGAGGCGGGGCATTCGCTCAGATCCTTGTACCCCGCAGTTACGTCACGTGCTCCGGTTTTGTAAATGACAGTAAATTCTTGCTAATACAAAAGCGAGGATTTATTATTACAGAAGATCAATGTACTTCATTATGCCTCTATATAACAGTACTTAGATGACTCTTGTTTCATTCAAAACTTGTCTAAATATGCTAGGCCGAACTTGGGATACCTGCCACGATGGCGCGTAATCCAGAGGTTCTATTCGCTACATCTTGTCTTACACAGCCTCGAGGCGGAGTGCGGGGCTGACAGTGGCCGTACCGCAAGTTTCCCATGTCTGACAAGACATCCTCATTCGATTTACCTTACCCTTTCTCCATCTCCTCCTCATTCTCTTAAGGAACCGCCCTGAGTAAGGTGCACCGGGTCGCCATCATTTCCACGCCATGGAGGTGACGTTTGGCGCCGTTGGGGACTTTATCTCCATTGGTGTGCTTATCAAGGATTTCATCGAAGTGCTCGATGACAGTCGAGGATCGGCTTGGGAATACAATTCGCTAAAGCAACAACTCATCTTCCTTCGCCCCAGTTCCAGGATATCCGGAACACGCTCGAGAGTGTCGTGGATGAGGCGGAGAGAAGACTGGAGGACATTGCAGTCAAGGTGCAAAAATACACGTCAACTCTTTGTCAAGGCTCGACTGAGAGACGGATAAAAAAGGTCGCAAGAAAAGTGCAATGGAGTCTCGAAAAGAAGGAGACAGAAAAGTTCTTGTTGGACCTCAATCGTTACACATCCATAATACAATCATTACAGTTTGATGGTTTTGCGTAAGTGTCGTTTATAGAAAGTTCGTCCTTCGACCCATGGCTGACCTATCTTTCAAGTCGTTTGATGGAACGCAACTTTGATAGTAGCAAGAAAGACCAAAGCGATACCCAAGAACTTGTGAGCAAACTTCATAAGGACTTTAACGATCGATTCACTAGTCTAGAAGATGATCTGAGAGCTGTCAGAACCAACTCGGCTAATACGCAACAATACCTTATTGACATTGGTATGGTCGTCACTAGGCGACTTGATATGGTCACACAAACAGTCAACTCTCTAGGTGGTGTTGTATTGCGAAGTGCTTCGGGCATATCATTTATTGGGACATCTGTGCTGTCTTTATTATCGACCATGCACAACACCATTATAAATCGTCTCGAGCGCCCTCCCCGAATGGGCCCTTATTTCACCTTCGAAGACTACCTGGGGGTCGATTCGATCATACTGCTTAATTTTGTGGACTCTTGGAACGCCTTTGAGGGATCTTTACATGGCAAGTTCAAAGGTCGAAAAGGCGGCAGACGGGTGGCTCAGAATCGATTCCTCCTGCAGGATCATCAAACAGGAGACGAGATTGATCGAGATATTCATTGGACCTTGGCTATCACGCCAGGCTCTCGGATCAACATGAGTCTGCTATTTGAAGTTAAGGAGGATGAAGATGAAGCACAATCCCTGAGGTGCCCGTTTCCGTCATGCGGAGCAATATGTGAAGGAGTTATAGGGACTGTGATTCAATGGTAGGCCGACCCGATACGCTCCACTACTCATGAACTCTCAGCTGAAACAGTTCTAGCCCTTCATGTCAGCAACTGTTTAGAAAGCTGCCAGGCATGTCTGACGATGAAGAGCTACCCATAGCACCCAATGCTCCTGATTCGGGAATCCATGATCCAAACTCGAAGCCGGGAAGTCATTCCTCTGGCCTTGATAAATCTCGCAAGAGAAAGGGAGCCCCTCTGGACAAGAGACGATCGCTACGCGCCAAAAGGAAACCGACAGATACCCGCGATAGTGGTTCTGACTCGGACGACGCCGACTTAACAGGGATTAAGCGAGTGACTATATTACCAATCTTACGGCTCGCTATACGGCCAATTCCACCAGACTCCGAGACAGATGGAAAGCTCGGAGCTTCAGAACAAGAAAGTGTTTTGGAAGATCAGAAAAAGAGTCGCGGCTTAGATAGCACTACCGAGGGAGGCAGCGTTGAAACACCTTCGAATACGATCAAGTCACCACCAAGGGTCAAGAATAAAAGATTGTCGGAGCTACAATCTCAGTCTTCTGACGCGCAACTTGCGTTCGGAAGGCCCTTTGAGAGCGGCAGGTCGTACCAAGCGAGGGGTGGTCACAACGAGCATCCGTACGATAAGATTCCAGGCCCAGGCGCATATGCTTTTGAGAGTGCGTTGCCCGGTGGTCTTGAATCTAAAGATCCCCGACGCAAGTACGCAACTACACGAACCGCACGTGTCTCACATAGGGCATCAAACTCCCGAGACACAGGATCCAGTGGGAAGGCGAAACACGCGAAATGGGATAGAGGAAAGGTCAGGAAGGCGACAGAAGCAGATGCAAAGCGTCATAAAATACCCGCTGATTATTCTTTGAAACACTGGGACCCAGACGAGGAACCCATCATGCTGCTTAGTAGCGTTTTCGACGCGAATACCTTGGGGAAATGGATTTACGACTGGTCTATATACGCTCATGGGCCTTCGACATCAGTATCGGACATGGCGGGAGAACTGTGGCTGCTACTCATCCAGCTGGCTGACAAATTGAAGAGGGCTGAAGAAACAATAGGAAGGGTCAGGTCGGTGGACTGTAGGGACACGGTAGGGCAATTCATTGAATCAGGGGAGAGGCTATGGGAAAAACTGGTGTCGCTGCTCAAGAGATGCGAGTATCCTATGTTACAAGCATACAAGCTCAAAGGAAGGAAACAAAAAACCGCTGTTCACAAGCAGGGCGGTTCCGAAGATAACAACAAGAAGTCTTCACAGGAGACCAAGACCGAAGCAGGCAGTTTGAACAAGGGACTTGAAGAAACGTCAGCGTCGAGCGAGAGAGGAAATGGGGAAGAGACAGGAGAACAAAAGCAAGATGCCGAGAAAAGCGCTGGTGTTGCTTTCATTGAGACGATCTTTGGCCGAGATAAGGAGCTGGAACGAACTGAGAAGTGGATGCGGAACATGCGGCTTTACAATCTGAGGTTCGATGCCAATTGCGAGGATATATTAAGAAACCCTAAAAGGGAGGTTTAGTAGGATGTAAATATGAATCGGATATAATTCATTCCTTAATATATGAAAAGAATCAATTGTCTTTAACCATTGATCTATATCTTAACTTTTTACCTATTGGAGCTTCCCTATTTGCCCCCTCCCTGACTTGAGTTAGTGTGTAATCCTAGATGCAGGCATGCCTGATTTATGCCTAATATCTGAATCAGGCTGTCTGAGCACTTGCATCATGGATCTTGCTTAAATGTGCTTGTTACCCCTCTTTCTCTCCTTCCTGCCAGAATCATATCTGTGCACTTTATCTTTCCCACCGCCAAGTTCTTCATTGTGACAAAGGCTTTTAGCCTCTCGTCTTAACTCCATATAACACATCTCTAATTCCACCGTTTCGCACCGAGTCTCAATCATGGCCGACTTCAATTTTGAAGCTATTTCTCACATAGCCAAGGAGTACAATCTTCATTCATGTATCCATTGCCAGGCGTTTATCATCGACATAACCCAGATGGGTATCCGCAAGTCAGAGGTGTCATCGAAAGAGGTTAAAGCGGCTTGTGAGAACGGCTGCATTTTCCTCCAAGCATGCTCCCGTAAGGCCGGTGTAGGATACAAATTCATTTTTATGAGGGTCGAAAACGATCGTAATGGGAAGTTCATATACAGTAGCAATTGCTGGGAATCCCGGATCCGCATGGAAATAAAAAACGTTGGTTTAGAAAACGACGAGCCCGGGTTTGATTCAAAACCAATACAGGGTACGTCTAGCGAACACCATCTTTTGCATACTGCAGTGATGTGTTTTCGATGCGCTGTTATCTAACCTCGGTTTTGGCAATTGCTTACTATCTAAAGGCGATCGCCATTTGGCAATACATCCGTGTATAAATGACGATTCATGTTTTTTAAACATACGAAATATGCTGCAGGAGTGCCAAAACCATCATAAAGGATGCCAGCGCAGATCTCATGGACTTCCTCCCCTCCGTCTTATCGACGTCTGGCACAAGACGGATGATTCAATTCGAGTCGTTGACACCGAGTCCATTAAGAATCTGAGTTGGGCCGCCTTGTCATATTGCTGGGGGGAAGGTGAGCAGAGTGGGAGAACTACAAACAAAAATATCAAGGAACGGCAAATCCATCTTGCGCTTTGCGAGCTCCCACTAACCATCCGGGATGCTATTCATGTTTGCCGTCAACTCAATATTCAGTATCTTTGGGTAGATTCTCTTTGTATACTTCAGGATAATGCAACAGACAAGTTCAAAGAGATTGCCAAGATGACCGGTATATACCAAGACGCCATCATTACCATATCAGCATCATGCGCTTCATCGGCCGACAGAGGATTTCTAGAGGTTCGAACACCCTACTCACCAGGTGTTGCTTTACCGCTTCGAACAAGCAAAGGATATGCTGTGGCACAATTAATTGAGGAGGGATACCCTCTACGGCCAGAGCCAATAGACACACGTGCTTGGGCGTTTCAGGAACGCATGCTTTCGACTAGATTCCTCAGTTTCAAGACAAATGGAGTTGAATGGAAGTGTTCTCAATCACACTGCAATTTCGATAAGCACGGCCGGTATTCCACTCCCGAGGCTTACTCTTTGAGTCAACGCTTTTATGGAATCAATCGTTGGAGAATTCTTGTCGGCGATTACTCTGGCCGTCGCCTAAGCTATTTAAAAGACAGGCCTGTTGCTTTTGCAGGTGTGGCTGAAGCGTACTGTCAAACCAATTCCCTTGAGCCAGGCGACTACCTAGCAGGATTATGGAGACGAACATTGCTAAAAGATCTCCTGTGGGTATCGAATAGATTCCATGAGTTACATCCCTCGAGATGTTGCCTACCCGCGTTAGGCAACAGTACCGAGGACCCGTATATCGCGCCGTCGTGGTCATGGGTTTCCGCCTTATACCCTGTTCGCTGGTTTCTAAAGGACTTGGTGGAAACTGCCGAAGTTATTAGCGTGCAAATTGAGCTAGTGCAACCAGACTTGAGGTTTGGTGCACTGAAGAGTGGAAGTATTCGTTTGCGAGGGCGTTTATATCATGGCAAGTTTTGGAGGGATTGGATTAGAACCCGTGAATATAGGCACAAATCTGGCCCTTACTATCACGAGCTACATATCATTACCTCGGACTTGAACGGTCTTGATGCTGAACACGTTTGGTTCTTTGAAATTGGTTTTTTGAAAGAGAGAGAGATCCGGGAGAAAGACCCCTTGCATGAGAAAGACCCCTTCCATGAGGAAGACTCCTCTAAAGAAGAAGAATCCCTTCCGCATACAACCCTTTATGGAGAGTCAGCTGGTTTAATGCTTCTGTCAACCGCGAAGGAAAAGGAGTTTACGCGGGTTGGAGTATATAGGGAGGAACTGGAGGGAACATTTTATGATGATTCCTTTGATGATCCATGCCAGTGGTGTGTGCTTAAGAAGCATAAGGAATTGACGGAGATAGAGATTATTTAATAATAACAAGTGGATGGTATTGCTTATAAAGCCTTATAATAATACGCTGTACTAAAGCCTTAACCGCACTGCGCTCTGAAGCTCGCCACGCCAGTGACTTCAAGCTGAGGCTGCAAACAACCATCCGGATCCGCACTCGTCAAGATATCAATGATACCCCCGTCATCACAGTTATCATTGTTGTAGATATATACCGCGCACTTGTCGTTAATCTCGCCAGTCGTGTAAGAACCAAAGGAACCATTGCGGATTCCTTGAGTACATTTTTGGGTTCCGTCGCCGCTGTAGGTGTCACGGGCACCGGTGCATCTCTCGCTGCTTTGATAGACGCTGAAAGACCATGCTGGGTCTTGGCGGGTTGAGAGAGACGAGGAGGGGTTGCGGCTCATGTGGATGGCGGCGGATTGGCTGAGGCCGAGGAGGGAAGTGATGGAGAGGATGGCTGTGAACTTCATATTGAATTGTTGGTGACTTGATACAAGTAATGTTGATGAGCTTATAGCTGTCCTGTTTGCTTTGGTGTTGTATGATTGTGTGCAGTAGGATGTATATGATGTAAAAGCTATGAGATTTCTGTCTCTGAAGTTATGAGGGTAAGGTGCTGGGTGTATTTATGCTGTTCTCATCTTTAATAGTTGGAGATGACCTGGCCTCCATGCCCTACCTAATTACATATATCGCCCTTATTGTTTCCCTTTGTATATTCATCAGATGATGCAATTGATCAACATGCAAACGCCTGGTTAGAGAGGCATCACAGCCCAGTTTCTGTACAAAACACAATGATGACTCGTCAGATTCATCCAATGCGTTAATCGAGACATTCATTATCAGCCATGATCGTCAATAACACAACAGTAAAGGCTCAAGGCAGGCCGTTGGCCCCCAATGTCCACTCACATGTCTTTACAAAACGGCTTACAAGAAGGACCACCTGTGACGTTTAGACGTCTGATCAGCACGTGGGGTCTAGCGTAGTTCAAAAGTTCATCGGCTGAGCCCCGCGGGGTTAAAGTTTAGTCGTATTGGAGATGGATCGGCCCGCTATAGTGAGCGTAACAAATACTTCCGTGTAATCCTTTGGCGGGTAAGACGACGATCGTCTGCATGTGTGGTGGGCTGTGGCCGCTGTGCCAATGGAACGCTGGTGCCTTGTCTCCACCAGTGGCCGTATAAATAGCCTCATTCAGATTTGGGTATGAGCATCATAGGAAGGACTTTTGCGGGGAGTGGGATTTTGGTACGTTTCTTTCCAGACTTGAATCTCGATTCCTCGGGGCTACTGAATCATGAATATATTGGGGCGTGAATCATTTGAGACCTGCATGTCGTAGTACGAGCGTGAATGGATCAGATGTTTGCTTGGCGATTAGAGCTGAAAACCATCAGGCTGTGCAGACATCAGTATGACGTTTGTCACATCTCCAGATTAGAGGTTGAATGAGGCAATTCCAACTAATTGTAGGTATTGGACTATATGTTCATTCTGTATCATGTCCGTATTTCTGACTAGTCCATTGATGCCTGAACGTCCTATTTGCCCTCCAGAGCCTCCACCATCTCTGCTGTAACTTTACCCTCCTGCTGCAACTGCTTAGCAAGCTCGATAGCTGAAGTGTGAGTACCGTCAGCTGCATTGGGATCAGCTCCACGTTGCATCATGATTCTAACTACGCCAACATGTCCAGCGCTGACAGCCACGCAAAGAGGCGATGCACCGGTTCCGACAGAAGTAGTGTCGCTTTCAGGCCGAGCCCCCTTCTCCAGTAGATATTGCATCATAAGCTCATTACCCCGCCTCGCCGCAGCACCAAGTGCACCTGAATGCTCAATCTTAGCCCCGTATTTCAACAGCAGGTCTACCGCAGCAGTATCCTTGTACAGCCCTGCAACCAATGCAAGCGGATATGCAGCTGCATCAGGCTCCTGGTTAGGATCCGCCCCTGCCTCAAGAAGAAAGCGTAGAAAGTCAACGTGTTGTCGACCCATGCATGCAACGATGAGAGGTGTTCCCCGCATGTCGAACTGCATGTTGATCACAGATGGATCCTTGGTGAGCAGGGCCTGCATCAGCGGGATTGAGCCCGTATTGATACCTGCTCGGACGGTTTCCTCGTTAAGAGGAGTGGAGCCAGACCTTAGTAAGAGGAATCGTACAGCATTGTATTGGTAGTTCTTTACAGCTGTTGTGATCGCTTCTTGGAAAGTTTCTTGTGATGGGCGTTGTTCGCTGGTTGAGAGGAGGGTTTTTATCTTGTTGGTGTCTCCAGTTTCTGCCAGAGCGAGGAGCTGATCTTTGAGCGAGTCTGTCATTTTCGCGGCCTGAAATTATGAGTTCTTGGTTGTGAGTTGCAAGGTCAGAGTCCTTTCTCATCCTTCGGAACTCTTTATGATCGGCGAGTATTTTCGTTTGTCGTGATACGTGGCAACATCCCGTCCTGCATCACATGAGGCTGTGCGCTTCTTACGTGAGACTTCTGATCGGCAAGAATCGATTGCCTAGAAAAGACGTCATTCGCGGCGAGGCATCGAGGCTGTGACCCCACCATCTTGGGGGCGGCAGAGGAGAGATCGGCATAGCTGAGCTGACATCCATCCTTCGGAGGCTAAATTAGTCTTCCGTTTGGCTTGCTCCTTGCATCGGGGATTATTCCACCGACTTGGCATCGACTTCTTGAGATTCCGATTTGCTGACAGCAATGTTGATCTATACCTATCACGAAGGTGATAGTAATTGTGATTGCATCTGTCTCAAACCATGGACAAACCTTTGGGCAACGATCGCGATCTTGGGAGAGGAACTTTTGAGTACGTTATGGTCTGGCTGACACGGAGCCCGATGACAGACTGGGGACTTGAAAGGTTGCGAGAGAGCTCTGTATGATACATTGGTACGATACTCGAAGGCTTGACCAAATAAGAGTCCGTGTTGTCTACAAGGTATCCAGACGCGGTTTTCAACAATAGTATAAAGATGGTGTCAAGTCGCTTCATTCCAACTGCATCACATCAAGGCAGCACTCAAGCATTATCATAGCGTCTCGCTTCACTCCCTGCCATATCAAAGCACTCGACTTCTTTCTGCTTCAACTCCCAGCCTAGTCAAAATGAGACTCTCAAACATCATCTCCCTCACCCTCGCCCTCATCACCCCAGCCATCGTCCTCGCAGCCCCAGCAAACACCCTCCACCGTCGAGATTGTCCCTCTGTCGACACCCTCCGCCAATGGATCCGCGACAATGCCAAGGTCGGCGAAAACACAGTCTTCTACACCGCCAAGGCCACGCAGGACCAGGCCAAAGCCTTTGCCGAGCAAAAGGTCGCAGACGGCACCTACTGGGGCAAAGTCTTTGCCGACAACAAGTATCTCGACTGGATCGTGGAATGCGGCGAGGGGGCTGAGCAAGATAAGCTGTTTCCTCGTATGGGGGAGGCTCTTGCTAGGGAGTCTAGCGGAACGGCGTATGTGATTATGGTCGAAGGGAATGAGATTGAGAAATTTTGGAAGAATAATGAGTATCCTTATCTGAAGGAGAATAAAGTCAAGGTCATTGCTGTTAATTCTGTAGACTTTGATGATCAGAAGGATTACAATGGTAATCCATTCAAGCGGGCAATTGAGTTCTAGGTTACAGCCTTGGAATTATTTAGTCACAGAGCAGACGCATTAAAGGAGATATTGGTATGGAGTTGATGGCAGGGAGGATTGACAGAGGTATTGCTGAACGGTCATTTATCTATGGCAGGCATATATATTACGTATCAAGTATATATAGGAAGACTCAATCCCATCAATACTTGGAAGAGGGCAGTGATTTAACTAATAACAAGCCTTGCAAGCCCAATGATCAGTTTCTTCTGCGTCGATTAGCGAAATTGATAGGATCGTGAATCACCAGCATCAGACCACTCTATCGTGTTTTGACCTCGCCTGTTTTTATTCTCAAGATTGCAGCTGTTGGTCCTCCCCAGTCTCGCGGATGCAGGATTTCCATCCACGGGTTCCAAGGCGCTCAACTGGGGCATGTAACCTTGCAGAAAGGATCAGAGATCCACCACCCTGCCTGGCCCAGCCATTCACATTCATATGCCGAACGAGCTGTCACCTTCAGGTAGAACTTGACGGCGTACTTCAATCATGCGATTTAAAGACGCGAAATGCATTGTTCGGTCTTTGTAGGGGTTGCTGGCTAAATGAGACGCCTTTAAGGACTACTTTCAAGCAATTGGCGAATCGTAATATTTTGGATATGGAACTTGAACATGGACATTCCTCTGTGATATTGCGTAACGTAAACATGATACAGCGACATATGCTGCTCTCCAGCACAGCACTGGCCTGTAAATACCTCTTTCTTCCAGGGTTCATTCGCAAATCAGACCACGGACGGATAAAGTGCCAGGACTGAACCAACAGCCAACATGTCTCAAATACCAACGACCCCGCCCTTTTTCTCGACATTGAACTCGACCTCTCTGTCTACACGGCTGTCACCAACAGGACACCGAGGTGCACAAGATGGCGAATGACAAGTCCAAAAGTTCATCACCAGCTGCAGAGCAATCACCTCCACGTGATGCTGATAGCCCGGAAGAGGCTCGTCTCGTAAGTGCAAAGACAGGACGGCAGACTAACGCTAATGACGATGAAATAGGAAGCGGGTGATGACGACTCAGCACTTGGAGTTGTGAGTCCTGAGGTTCCATCATGGTAACAATTGTAACTAACTCAATGGCTGTTGAGACCGACGATGAGTTATCGACCGCATCTTTGCGCTCTAGTATTTACGAATACCATATGATCAATGGTCGCGGATATCATAAAGATGAGAGTGAGCAACGACTGACTACTTGTTTCATCACATACTAATTGGTATTACAGAATATTGGCTCCCTAGTGATCAAGTATATCTCCCCATTCTTCCCGATGCAAGTCTTCTCTAACATGCTCCCAGAATGAATCAGAGCGCCTAGGCAAATCTGTCCAGCGTCCTCTTGGAAACGCGAAACTGACGACCGAACAGATCTCCAGAACCATCAACTTCTCTTGACATTCGGCGGCAAGAGATATTTCTCGCCCGATGCTGACGCATCAAAGAGGGTTCTTGATGTCGGAACAGGCACTGGGATATGGGCAGTCGAGTTTGGTATGAGAAGTACTGGCTGAATTGTTTGCCTGAACTGACCTTGACCACGCAGCGGATGAGCATCCTCATGCCGAGGTAAAAATGATCGATCCGATTCTTTTTGCAACAGCTACTGAATGAGTCAGGTCTTTGGCATCGATATTGCTCCTATTCAGCCCGATTTGTAAGTATCCAGTCGGAAGAGGCTGGGGAATTAGCTGATGTCACGCAGTGTTCCTCCGAACTGTACTTTTGAGATCGACGACGCTGAGAAGGAATGGACGTGGACTAAGCCTTTCGACTATATCTTCGTTCGTCTCATGGTCGGCAGCATAGCAAATTGGGACAAGCTGATCCGCCAATGCTATGAGTATTCCACACCAAACTGCGAGGTCTTCGCTCCCCACTAACAACGTCCAGCAACTTGGAACCCGGAGGCTGGCTCGAAGTAATCGATCCGGTATTCCCCGCCAAATCCGAAGACGGAACCCTCAAACCCGACTCCCCCTTACATCGATGGGACGAACTAACCGCCAAAGGCGCCTTGGCCCTCGGCCGTCCCTTTGACGAAGGCGTGAACCACGAAAAGCGTCTCAAAGAAGCAGGCTTTGTCAACGTCACGCGCAAGGCGTTCAAGTGGCCTACTAACACTTGGCCCAAGGATCCAAAGTTCAAAGAGATTGGGCTATGGACGCTCGCTAATATTGAGAGGAATCTTGAAACGATTAGTAGCTTCTTGTTGAGGCAGGGACTTGGGATGAGTCAGGAGGAGATATTGGTTTTTATTGCGGAGGTTAGGGCTGAGATGAGGAATTTGAAGGTCCATGCTTATTGGGAGGTGTAAGTATTCTCAAATATGTGGGTTGATAGAACTGACTGGTCGTGTAGGTTTGTTGTTACGGGGCAGAAGCCAGAGGAGAAACCCTGAACGGAGGTGCATCGCTGTAAGCGTACAGAAACAGAAAGGCGGCCGTTATCATGGTTCAAAAGAGACTGACGAGCATGCAACATTCTTTTAACTAAACAAATCGCTTGATACATAATATCTGGCCGGAACAAACACCTAAAAATATTATCATTTCCATCATGTCGATAAGTAACAGTAACTCCGTGACCTCCAGATATAAAGTGAACGATACGTAGTAAATGCTTGACTCCACCTGAAAACACACTCTATGGCGTCACAGGCGTCGCAGCAGCCATCAAATTTGTCCTCTCATGCCTCTTCGCCTGCTTCAGCGTCCTCACCCGCTGAATACTCTGCCACTTCTTCTCGCGCTTCTTATCCCTGACGCACATACCCACCAAAACCGCCATACACCCGGCAATACACACCCCGAAGATTATCGCTACGACGATACCCTCTGTTCCGATGTCCTCATGCTTTCTCATACAGACTGTGGCGCCAGAGGCAGGGTGGATCTCGCAGAGGAGGCCTGGGGCGCAGGTGCTGGATGTCATGCGGTTGGTGATGCAGGATGCGCTTTCGGTGCGGCCGTCGGTTGTTATGGAGCAGACGACGGTGGTTGAGACTGTTGTGCTGTAGCAGGAGGCTCCGGGCTCGGTGGCGGTGATGCTGCTGCTTGATGTAGAGGTCAAGGAGGTAGAGGATTCGGTCGAGGTTGATTCTGTGGTGGATGAGGGTTCTTGGGTAGTTGTTTCTTGTGTTGTAGACTCTTCGGTCGTGGACGTGGGCTCGTCGGTCGTCGTAGGCTTATCCTCCGTTGTAGTGGCCTTTTCTTCCGTCGTGGCCGGCTCGTTCGTCGTTGACTCTTCGGTCTTTTGAGTCTCCGATTTTGTTTCCGTCGTTTCCGAGGATTCCGTATCTTGTCGCCGAACCCATTGTCGCCATCGCTTCACTAACGGTCCGTTCTCCCATGGATCCTGCTGCACCTTTTGCGCATTGAGAGGAGCTTCGTGGCCACGGTTAATGGCAGTCGGGGCATCGTAGTATGACGGATCGGGCGGTACGTCATTTGGCTGATGGCCTGCAACGGCAAATGCGGGCACGGCAAAGAACAGGGTTAGGGAAAGGAAGCGCATGCTGAAATTACAGGAATAAACGACAGAAGCAAAGGGAAATAATTAAAGTTTCACGTCCAAGGGCCTGTTGAGAGGGAAGAAGAAAGTTGCGGGAAGATAAAATGTTTTTCTTTGTTGCGTGATAGCGGAGATATTATCTCGTATTACCTACTATGTTACTATAAAAAGAACTGTGGCCGCGCGTAGCCAGCTCAGGTCGTTCCACACGGTGACGATCAGTAGCACAGCCGCAAATTCATTGGATCAACTCCCGTAAGCTGACATATGTATAGCAATAATACGAGCTATATCGCGGACAAAGAGTGACAGACTGTTCAATCAATTTTCTGTATATCCGATGGTTGTTTCGAGTTCTCTTTCCGGTCTAGTTCAGTGTCAAACGGGTTTAGCATGGTGATACCGTCAAGCGCTGTATTGTGGCTGGGGTTTCTTAAAATAGGCGAACGAATCATTGTCGTCCGAGCTCGAAGAATTGAGGCGCGACGTTGAGGCTTGCCATGCTTATGAAACGCGGGGATTAAACGCGTGTCAAACTCTCAACCAAACAAGAGCCAAATGCGTGGAGTATACAAATAATTTGAATAATGGGCTTGGCTTTAGACTTAATATCGGGAACACTCTATTTAATATTTCTTCTACTTTTTAACTGATTGATCTTTGCTGACCGACTGTAAGTTACTACTTTTAGATATTCTAGGGTAGTTACTACTGACAAAACGAGTAAATGATCTTAATAACAAGCCTTTCTATATATTGACAATTAATTGACTGCTTTCCTCGTCGACTATCAGCTCTGTTCCCAACTGCATTAGGTGAATAATTCTTCCCTTAAATTGCGCCGGTTTCTTACGCAGTTATCACGGTAGCAAAGGAATGTCTTGTGAGTTGATAGTAGTTATCCGATTTTCCACGGACGCTAGGAGAATTATTTGAACCAAGATGACACAATCCCATTACGCTTCAATTTAACCAGTCCGTTCCACTCCTTCATTGGCAATGCATGCTGACCCTTAGTCGCTTATGTTGCGGCTGCTGGAGTCAGAGTCAGAGTCTCCCGTCGAACAATTCCACTCTGAATCTGAATCTGATACAAGTTCGGCATGCGGATCAAGAGCATTGGTCCACAAGCCAAGAAGTCTGCCCAGGCCAATGCTGAATGTGTCCGGGTCAGGAGACCATGAGTCGGAAAGTCGAAGCAACTCCTCTATCTCGCTGTGGCATTGCTTCATAGTCAGAGAAGCACGAGAACGTGTCGACGAACTGTCAGAAGTAGTGGTGCTTGCAGGAGGACGTTTACCACCAGGTCCAACAGGTATCGTGGGCCGAGTCATAGTAGGCGGGAACATACCCGGACGATTGAACGTCGTTGGGCCACCGAATCCTGATGGTATAGGTGTGCCGACATTTTGAATCTTCAGAGTCATGCCCGGACGGCGTAGTGATTCCCATGCTTCAGGTAAAATGACAGTTCCGTCATCGGTGTAAAAGAAATACTTTCCATCTTTCAAGATCATTGTTGCGGGATATCCCAAGCTGAGACCAGAGAGTCTTTTACGCAGCAACTGCAGTAAACATAAATCAGCGGATGCTTCAAATCTTGATTATCTCCTTGACTTACTTTGAGATCCTTGCATGCAGCATACGGGAAGGTGAGCTTTTTCCCCGAGAGTGGTTCAAAAACGTGAATAGGCTCTATCTCTTCACCAAGCCGGAAGAAAAGAGAGATGGAAGCATCAGCCTGAACAACAGCCTCGGGTCTGTTCCTGACTGGAGGACTGGCGATTGACATGGCAATCCAAATTCGTTCCCTCGGGCTTGATTGTTTGGCCTCGTCGATAGCCTCGTCGATTCGTTGGCGGACTCGCTGATCGAGTGAGTCATACTGTTCTATGAGTTCTGGACGCTTTCTCCATCTGAACTTGGAGGTCGCCTTTGATAGCGCAGTCCTGACATGTTTATCGTCCAGTTCAAGCCGTTTGAACGTCTTAGTTGGCGTGCTGTTGGAATCGAAGTGCGCGCCAAGATTGATTTGCCAAACTTCAAGGTCTTGGTCCTTCCACTCCTCGTGTGGCATGAGATTCCGTTTGATCCAGTTTCTGGTAGCAGCCATAAGACTTGAGCCGTTTACGTTGGTCGGCTCTTGATCGACCGGTACTAGTTTGTTGGTGGTCTCCTCATTGGTATCAGCCGATACCTCAGTGTCCTTGGATTGTTCTAACGCCGGTGTTGGAGTGGGCATGATTTCAACAGGCTTGGCATCCTCTACCTTTGTATCAACCGCAATGGTAGGAGTACTTGAAACAGTGCAAGTGCTGTTAGCATCTGAGATGGAAACGTCGATAGAAAGTACTGGCGGAGCGACGATGGTCCATTTGGCGACCTTCTTGGACCAATATTTGTAGTGACCTGCTCGTTGGCTGGCCACTTGCCCTGCCAGGTGTCGGAATGTGAGCTCGGTCTCAAAGCTACCTGGGACTCGGGTCTGTGACCTAGTAGAATCATCAAGTCAGCAAAGATGGCGTAACAGGATGGCCCGAACTTACCGAATCTGGTACTGCGCAATACTGCCCAGAAGATACCGTAGCATGAGTTCAAACTTGATCTGCGTCAACCGGTGCCGAAAGTATTTGAGTTGAACCTCGAGCAACTTCCAAGACTCGTAACGCCAGACAGTGGTGTGAGCGATGCACTGCAGATACTTCCCCGTCTCCTCCCGCGGGATCTCATTGATGTACTTGTCGCCAACCATATTCTCTGTCTGCCGTACCAACATGATCAGAATGCCGACGTAGATCTTTTCGCACGTGACTGTGAGGCCCGTGATATCTTCCAAGCATGGCTTTGTGAAGACATCTGGATTTTCTTGAACCAGATCATCGACTTTTGTTAATGTCAAGGCAGTCGAGTTGATCAAATTGATCAGCTTCGGAAGCCTTTGTCGGGCTCTTCTGTTGGCTTCCGACTGTACTTGCAGGGAGCTTGCAAGACTGAGGCCTAGTTTGGCGACTGGCTCAATATCGTTGTGGGCCATGATTCAACAAGGATCAATATGGCAATAAGAAAGGAAGAAAGATGTAGAAATTAGTATAATGTCCTCTCTCACATTTTATTGAATCAGGCAGCGTGTCGAAAGCACGCCATTGTGTAATTTCTTATCATTACCCCTCAATACGTGCAGCACTGTAGCCAATCATCAAGTATTGTTGGTTACACTTCTGTCGTACGTGACTCTAGGACTATTGGACAACGTGTCATACATAAGCCACCATTGTAACGATTGGTATCTGGGTCAGCAATCTGCTGCCGTAAGACGCATTTGGAAGAAATCTTGACCGCTCCTTGCGGGGTTGAAACGGATCTTTACTATGATTGAGATGGGAATGAAACGGTTCTTTAGAGAAGGATGGTCTAAATTCTGAACTGCGCTTTTTGTATTCAGTAATGTTAGATGCCTCAACTGTAATGTAGCGGTGATGCAATTATATGTTGATCAGTCTCCACTCACTTGGCTTTAGGACCTTTGGGTTGTTATCGCACCCTGAAGCAATATGCCACCTGATTCCGTCCGAGACATGAGACGGTTTCTATTGGTACACTAAAGCAAGGACTAATCATCTTTCCCGGCCCCCAATATTGACATCTTGGAAGGGTACTTCGTTCAGGCTGTGGCTGTCCAGTGTACCTTGTTCTGTTTAACAAGACACTGACACCAATGAGGGGTAGGCCTTTATTATTTCTAGTATTCGCTGAATACTTCATGTGCCATTTTCCAGCTCCATATTGATCGGCAAGTTAATTACCTGACCATGGGGCTCACGCGACGGCCTTGACGCTCGCTGGGTCAACTTCGGGTCAGCTGTTAATCAGCCCCCTTCAGCTCCTCCTCATCAGCTCTCCTCAGCCTCCTTGGCCAATGACCAGTATACGTGATAGGACTTTATTCATGCCTCAGGCATCTTTAAACAGAAGCATTAGCAGTCTCAGCCTGAATATACTCAACTACCCCACCCGGCTCTAGTCAACAACCCAACCTCTCGTGGACTCAACGTCCTGTGTCCTGTTACGTGTACATAAAAGCGTATCTTAGTTTCAAACTGGTCTTACACACTCGACACAGCCAATGGATGCTCTCAGCATTGCCATAGAGGCTGCCGAGACGACAGTGGCAGCCCTCCCGCCAGGCCACGCTGATCGACCTATACTTTTGAACAACCTTGGAATCTGCCTCGTCGAGAGGTTTACCCTGAGCAGCTCGATGGAAGACCTCGATCGTGCCATTGAAGTTGCTGATGCGGCCATCAACTCTACGCCTCAACAGTATCCTGGTCGATTGCGCTATATGGATAATCTTGCGACAAGACTCGGTATGCGGTTTGGGTTGACCGGGTCGATTGATGATCTCAATCGTGCCATTGACCTTGTCGAAATGGCAGTGGAAGCTACACCGCCTAACCATATTTATCGCGGCCGTTTCTTAGGCAACCTTGCGATTTGGCTTTGTAAACGATTCGAGGGGATTAGTTCGACGGATGATCTGGATCGCGCTATCTGGGCTGCCGATATGGCTGTAGAGGCCTTATTGGACAACGCATCTCGGCGGGATAACTACTTGAGTATTCTGGGGAATTGCCTCGGCAGACGATATCAGCAGACGGGATCTCTAGATTACCTTGACCGTGCGATATCAGCTGCTGAGCTATCGCTAGAGGATCCAGACCAAGATGCCATCCATCGAGCCGCTTACTTGAACACTCTCGGTCTGTGGCTTGGTGAACGATCTGATCGAACCGGCTCCAAGGCCGATCTTGATCGTGCCGTCGAAGCTACCGAAATGGCAGTCGAGGCTTTACCGCCCGAGCATCCTGAGCGAGTCATGTGTCTGATCAATCTCGGCAAGATTCTCGGCAGACGATTTGAACTGACTGGGTCAATGAGTGATCTCGACCGCGCCATCGAGGTTTCTGATGCTGGGCGAGAACTCTTGTTGCCTAATAGCCCTTCTCAAACCGCATGTCTAAACAACCTTGCCATGTGGCTGAGCAGGCGATTTGATCGGGCAGGCTCGATGGACGACCTCAACCGGGCTATACAAGTTGCTGAACTAGCTCTAACTGTCACCCCCAGGGATCACCCCGAGCGTTCAGTCTGTTTAGGTACTCTTGGAGTTTGTCTTGGGAAGCGATTCGATAGAACAGCCTCGATGGACGATCTCAATCGCGCCGTTGAAGTGGAAAGCACGGGTGGAGAGTCTGTTCCTCCAGGCCATCCTTTCAAAGCGAGCCATTGGGATGCCCTCGGTGTATGGCTCGATAGACGATTCGACAGAACTAGTTCGATGGATGATCTCAACCACGCCATCGAGGTAGCTGAAAAGGCAGTGGAGGCAACTCCTCTCGAGCACATGGACCGAGCCAGCTATCTTAATAATCTCGGATGCTATCTTGACAAGCGATACGAGCGAACTGGTTCTCTGAATGATATCAACCGCTCTCTGTCGTGCTTCAAGGAGGGTTGGGATTGCCCAGGCACGCCCACGTCTATCCGTATTCGTCTGGCGCTGAGTGCCGCTGAAACCTATGCCTCGCAGTCAAACTGGGAAGAATCAAGCCAGCTGCTTGAAAAGGCCGTGGAACTGCTCCCTGCCGTCAGTCCGCGCTCGTCAGCGCATAACGACAAGGAGCACATGCTCGCAAACTTTGTAGGCCTCGCTTCCACAGCAGCGGCTGTCGCCTTGAACGCAGACAGAGATGCCTATCATGCCTTAAAGTTGCTTGAGCTGGGCCGTGGGATCATCACCAATTTTCTGATGGACATGAGGGGTGATATTTCCGACTTGAAGCAAAGACATGCTGATTTGGCGGATGAGTTCGTATCCCTCCGGGACGAGCTCGATTCCCCGGCGGATAGTCCATCTCTTTCAGTCCCAACCAATGGCGCGAGTTCCCTAGAATCGCAAGCGAAACGACGTCGCGAGGCAGACCAGAGATTCACAGAGCTCATTACCGAGATTCGTGCTCAGCCGGGCTTTGGGAGCTTTTTTCTTCCGCCGACTGCAGATGAGATGATGGCTGCTGGGAGCTTGGGCCCCATTATCGTTGTTAATCTGAGTTCGTATCGCTGCGATGCCTTTCTTGTCCAACTCGATCGCATTTCAGTGGTAGAACTTCCTGACCTCAAGTCGGAAGAGGCACAGAAGCGAGCTCAGGGCCTGCACTCATATGGTCCCTCAAGCTCTTTCAACATGGAATCACTAGTGGAATGGCTCTGGGATGTTATCTGCCGTCCGTGCCTAGACGCCCTTGGCTTTAGGGATCCGCCTTCTGATGATAATTGGCCTCGTGTGTGGTGGATTCCCACGAGGTATCTCAGCCGGCTTCCTCTTCACGCAGCTGGACACCATAGTGCAGCTTCATCATCCACCAATACCGTCATGGATAGAGTCATGTCGACGTACGCTTCATCCATCAAGGCACTGATACATGGACGGCGACATACCATTCGAGATCGTGACGCTACTGAACCGGACTCAGCCCTCCTGATTGCCATGCGCGAAACGCCCAATCTATCGGCGGGTGGACTCCTCCCATTCGCCGTTGATGAGTTGGATATGCTGGCAGCACTGTGCCCCTCACTCGGACTAGAACCCTCCTTGCCCCCGCGGCGCAGAGACGAGGTCCTCGAAGGTCTAAAGAAATGCAAGATATTTCACTTTGCCGGCCATGGGCAGTCTGATCCGGCGGACCCTTCGCAAAGCTGCTTGCTCCTCGAGGACTGGGAGACGAACCCACTGACGGCGGGTACACTTCGTGATCACAGGCTGCAAGATAACCCTCCCTTCTTCGCCTATCTCTCCGCCTGTTCCACGGGGGCCAACGAGTCCGACAGGTTCGCTGACGAGGGAGTCCATCTTGCCCACGCCTTCCAGCTCGCTGGGTTCCGGCATGTCGTTGGAACGCTCTGGAGAGTATCTGACAGGTATTCCGTCCAGGTGGCGAAGGTACTCTACGAGACGATGCAGCATGCAGGTGTGACAGACCAGGCCATCTGCTTGGGTCTCCATCGTGCTGTCAGGGCCCTGCGGGATGGTCGTATCGACATGGATGTTGATGTGCCGAAGCGAGCAGGCGAGATTAGGGATATTGTTGGTTGCGAAGAGGATACCAAGCCACTTTACTGGGTTCCCTACGTTCACTTTGGTGTATAGTGTTCCAGACACGCACTTCGCCCCTACAGGGCTTGTGAAGCACCGTTCGCGACAACGTGGTGGGAGGAGTGCGGTAGATTGCTAATGGCGACCGCGACGAAGACAACAAATTACAACCTCTGTCTCAGCCATCGGACAAGGATCGAGTAGGTAACGTTTCAAATAAGAAGTCGGAAGGTCACAGGCGACCACGCACAGATGCTAACAGCAAGTTACTTTAGTGCATGGTCATGGATGAGCACACATACTTGCCACATGTTCAGCCAGATGGACGGGCCTCGGAGGTTAAGGTTGGGATGTCCTGTATGAGGAATCTTTGCAAGGTATATAAGAGAGAGATAGTTCGTGAGTGCTGTTGGAGATGTGATTTATGGGCTCCTTTATGCTTTAGACATCTGGAGTATCACCGTGAGTTGGTCCTCAGTTGTGTCAATCAAGATCCTCGGACCCTTCTTAAGCTCGGCGGCATTTAAGGAACCCTCAGCACGCTTAGTCTGGATTTCCAGATCCGTCACGTATGGCTTGCAGTCGGAGAGCTTAATGCAGACCTCACAGTTAGTCTATTATGTTGTCATTAACCCGTCGCCATGCGTTATGATCCAGTAGGCCATTACAACTTAGGTTTTCAAGCCCATAACAAAAATTCCCCGTCGTGAATGGTTTGACTAGGTGCGGGGCCGGCGCGATCAAATCACCTACTCAGCCACATAACAATGCATGCGGTGACTCCATTTCTCGGCTTCGTTTGGAACTGCCGACTGGTTAGCCGACCATTCCTTGACAACTTTACCTCAGAGGGATCAAGTCTCCACTTTCCAGCCGGAAAGCCGACTTATCCTGCACGGCAGATTACGGATCAATCATCACGGAACAGTGCACGGCCATCTAAACAACCTTTCTCGGCTGTAACGGTTGTACCGGCTGTGGCTGGTGTTGTACTGAGACCATCGGGTAGCAGCATCTAGACTGTTCTCAATGTTAGCCTTAGCCAAGTAAAAGTATCTTGACCGTTCCTTCATAAGATACCTTTCATCATTATGGAACAGCCGTAAGGCGTCCACAACCCCGCCAACGCACGTGTCAAGGCATGAATAGCTGTACCAATGGGGTAATTGAAGTGAGTCACTACGCTTAAATTCGTGTAAACTAAAATACCAGAGTGAAAGTATATGTCGCGTGGCTTGTGGTAGTCAGCAATTAACGGATCTGGCGGCAGACAATAGGCTCAACTTGCCACTCCACCCGCCCCTAACAGCTGCACGATAGACTTAACTACAGGTGATTCCATTATAAAGGATGATACAACTGTATGCCGTGGTCTGAACCTTGGTACCGCTCACTGGGGTTATAGTACAACGCTTCTTTCATCAACAGCGAAGTCATTTAGCATCGATACGAAGCTAGTGTTTTAAATTTCTTCACCTGACTTATCTTGTACCACCACAACTCACCATGGCTCGCTGTCGAAGCTTACCGTCCCGCAGACCTGAAGAAGAACATACCGCTTCTGTCAGTACCTCAACGATGCAGCATTGTGGTACAACCAGGCGAAGGTCCGCCAGGACCGCGCTTAGGCCTAGCAATACGAGCATCAAACGCTCAGCGGCTGACAAGGCTCATCAAAAGGTCCGTCAGGCCTGTGTGAGATGTAGAATGAAAAAGACCAAGGTAAGTCCTGTAACTCCCAGTCATAGCGTGATGAACGCTTGCTCATAGACATCACAGTGCGATGGTCAGACCCCTTGCAAAAGGTGCAGGGACGGCCAAAAGATATGCACTACCAGCGCTCGGAAAGCCATTACCTTGAAAAAGACTCCCAGAGGGTAGGCGGTGTGCCTTTCGCAGCGTTTATGGTCAAATCACTGACAGTGGATGGAGGTACGCTGAGGTCCTGGAACAGTCTCAGTACATTTTGATAGAGACAGTCTGCAAGCTTTATTCCATGGTCAGAAACTCACAACCTTGGAAGTTGGATGAGCCTCAGCTCAATGAGCATGGCCAACCCGTTGCGCAACACATCGCAAAGCTTCTGGGCTGCGTACCACCAAACAGTGAGATCGACCTCCCAGTACAGTCCGTCTTCCCAGAAAATGAAAGTAGCATGGCGAAGCTGTATCGCGAGCTGGAAGAACACGAGAGATCTGAAGCTGCATCCACCCCGAGTCTTGCGAGAGACAAGGAATTGGCCTGCGACGAAACTGCGATATCGGAATCACAAGCCTTGGATTTGGAACTTCCCTATTACGTCGTCGACTGCGGAATACATGGTACCGTGAATCTACCGCTCCAGAATGGGAGTGATGATTTGGATCACGAGGTCGCTGAGGCCGCTAACATGTACGGAAACGCATTGTTTCCCGACACTCCTCTCTCACCTCGCACATGGTCCAGCTACAACGCCGGGTACAGCGACTTGGCATTGTGTCTTCAGCAAATGTATGGCGCAATGCAAAGTAATAGCATGCTGCACCAGAGTTTGAGATCCAGCTTTGGTGACGTTGAGCCGTACATACTCTGTAATGATCCAGGGATAAGATTTAGACAGACTCAATAAGCTATAGACAATTAGACATTTTTAAAGACATTAAGATTGAAATTTATAATTATATATTACTTTTAATAAGCTAAAAACACATTAACTATTACTTTTATATTATAAGTAAATAAGTATTATCTTGTGTAAAGATTTCAAGTTTTAGTCCTCCCGACCTACTAGAACATTATACATAAGGTTAACACTTAACCCTACATGGAATACCCAGAGCTTATCCTGAAAGACTGCACAACTCGAGGTATTGATTACCACCATATTTGCCACCAAAGTATCGCGTTCCCAGTACTGCCCATCGTATACACTATAGTACAGCCCATCCCCTTCACCCTTATTTATGTTTGATATTTGAGGAAATCAAGTTATTTTTAGGAGATGAGGCAGAGGTCAGAATTGCTGAGGAATAAGGCGATGAGAGACTGGAGGCTTAAGGCTCCATCCTAAAGGCACAACAGCGCCATGGTTTTCCTAGTTATATAGCTACAGGTACTTGCAGGCTATTTCTGAGCAGACAAATGAAGTGACTTTTACTCTAGCTAACCTTGAAAGTGTTAGGAAGAAGGAATCTCATTGCAGGCGCTGACTGCTTGTCACGAAATGAGAGAGATGGGTCGAGCGCTACGTATCCCAGTTCAAACAAGCAAGGCTTATTCACCTGGCCTATCCCGTGGTAGCGTCTCTGCTGATACTTGTGAAACTAAGGCTTTCTCATAAAGTAGTCCATGTTAATTATAACCTCCGTGCTTTTGCATTTGGACTTCGAATTCTCTAAGCTATTCTTTTTGCAATTGTTTCTTTCCAGGTCATAAAGAAAGAAATATATTGTATCATGGAAAAGTTGAAGGCTCTAAGCTATCGGCGATCTCGGGATATAAACTTTAAATAATCTTTACATGTCGTGATTGTATCCTCATGATCTGACGTTTTGTGGAGACTAACAACAGAATCGAGTAAGGTTTGGCAAGGCTGCTATAATAGCCATGAGAGTTTCGCGGAATTTTTGGCTATTTATGTCTGAGTATTTATGTCTTTGAACTCACAAATATCACCAGCTATCAACGTGATTGTCATCGTACGAGTTGTTTTGACGCAAATACTCAATCGCCGAACTAAGAAATCAGCGCTTGCCTCGGGGTTTAGTTTATACTGCGATTGATAAATTAAGAATCTAATAAAATCGCAGTAAAAGGTTATAATTCTGCTGATTAAAAGGCCCATAGTTCTCTCGCGAGTTCACAACTCCTAATCACATTACTATTTTCTCACAATGCCTCGAAGAATCATTATTGTCGGTGGCGTTGCGGGCGGTATGTCCGCGGCCACCCGTCTTCGACGTCTCGACGAATCAACCATCATCGCTGTGTTCGAACAGGGAGCTTATACCGGCTTCGCCAACTGCGGCATCCCCTACGCGCTGGGCAAGGTTATTGAGCATGACGAAGAGCTGATCCTCCGCACGCCAAATGACTTCAAGCAGCGATTCAATATTGATGTTCATCTTGGAGCTGAAGTCGTCATTATCGATCGTGCAAGACATTCAGTCAGTGTATGGACTGAAGGAGATGGCTGTATGCGTCAGTTTGGCTACGACAAGCTCATACTTGCCCAAGGTGCCGAGGCATTTCGGCCTCCATGTGCTGGGGCGGAATTGGACAACGTTGCCACAATGCAAACAATTACTGACCTCCAAAATGTACATGATTTGCTGTCAGATCGCGATGTAAAGTATGTGTGTGTAATTGGGGCCGGATTTATCGGTATTGAGGTGGCTGAGAACTTGCGCAGGCTTGGACTCGATGTTTCAATTGTCGAGTATGGATCGCATGTATTTCCGCCAATTGATAGCGAGATGGCTGAAGAACTTCACTCAGAACTCCGCGAAAACGGAATTTAGCTATCCTTGAATGAGTCGGCCCAGATGATCGATAAATCCCGAGTCATCCTATCTAGTGGACTCGCAATACCCGCCGACGTGGTGATTTTAGCTGCCGGAGTCAGGGCCAGAACACGTCTGGCAAAGCAGGCAGGTTTGGTGTTGGGCGCGACAGGAGTCAGCGTCAACACTCACATGCAAACATCTGACCCTGACATATATGCAGTCGGGGATATGGTTGAGACACAAAATAATGTCATGGAAAAGCCGGCAATGCTCGCCCTGGCTGGCCCCGCCAACAGACAAGGTCGAATGGCGGCTGACCATATCTGCGGCAAGACGGTGAATTATCGAGGAAATATTGGCACACCCGTCTGTCGGGTGTTTGGTCTGACGCTCGGCTTTGTCGGACTTTCGACTCAAGTGCTCCGTCAGCTTGGCCATGATCCTCTTTCGGTCACGGTGCACCCTCCAGATCATGCAGGATATTTTCCAGGCTCACAAACAATGACTATCAGACTTGCTTTCCGGAAGGAAACAGGGCACATTATGGGAGCGCAGATTATAGGCAAAAGTGGTGTTGACAAGCGAATCGACGTGCTGGCGACAGCAATGCAGTTTGGCAGCACGGTCTTTGATCTCGAGCATCTTGAGTTGGGATACGCGCCACCATATGGCTCGGCAAAAGACACAGTCAACATGGTTGGTTCTGTCGCATCTAATATTCTTCGCGGAGACTGCAAGATTGTCCAAGGTGAAGAGCTCATCAGAGAGAAACTCGACAAAATGCAAGTTGTAGATGTCCGCTCTCCCGAGGAGTTTGCTCGTGGTCATCTTTATCAGGCAGTCAACCTTCCGCTCAACAACCTGAGGCAACAGTTGGCCGCTCTGGATAGATCAAGATCAACTCTGGTATACTGTCAAGTTGGCTACCGCGGCTGTTTGGCTTACTGCATTCTCAAACAGTTCAAATTTGATGTCGTTAATCTGGATGGGGGCTTTATGACAGTAGTTCAAGGAGGATATCAATTATTACGTAGCCGAAGTCTGGCAAGTTAAATTTTCGAAGAGGGAGCGATTGATTCTTATAGATTCTGTATTTTACGCCTTGGAATGTAACTCTACGCACCAGTGATAAGAAGGCCATGGTTCTGAAGAGTCATAACCTTATCCGTGGCTCCTACATGCTGTTGTAATTACCGGTTATAGTGAAGAGATACAGAACCTATCAATATTGCCAAAACAGCGCCAATCCATTTACCTCCAGATTCTTAAACTAATTGATGAGATAACCGGGAAACATGCATTGGGCTCGCATTAGCACAAACACGCGCGAGTACTTTTGACAAGGCGGACGGCAATTTTGGCGCCAACGTTACACTACGATTACAGAGGAGCTTAGGTGTATGGGGGGTCACTGTCAATCTGACTGGCTGTGCCTGAGCAGGGGAGCCCACCCCCGGAGCACCGTGCCGCTCAACCACTATCAGGTGATTGCGGGGAGAAAAGGAGCATTAACCTCCGACACCCGCTTCTGGAAATAACGGATCTTGATACACATTGGGTAATTCAACAATTTTGGGTGAAGGGAGCGCATCGAAAAGAAGCTGACCGAAGATACGGTAGAAGTACGAGTACGGATATAAGCCACCGAACTCGAAATGCCATTTTGTAATCATTGGCAGATCTGATAGCTGATGCTCGCATCTCGCGCCATCCTCGCTCGTTCGGCACTTGTAAAATGAAGGACCACGAGTTTGTTTGGGGTAGAGAAATTTCCGTCGCAGATTAATGTTAAGCATAAAGATAATGTTGGAAACAAGGCCCGCGTCTCCGTTATCAACTGGGGAGAGGGATGAGCTTCGTTTCATCCGACAGAGATCCCTGCTAGGGCGCACCCTATTTTGCTTTCTTTCGGAGCGTCCACTGTAGCATCTAAATGCGGCATCGGTCCTTGGTCATATTGGACTGCGCTTTGGCTGATCATGTCTCTCATTGGTATATGAATGCGACTTCTGCCCTGTTTTTCGAAATCACGGTTCCGGAGAATCTATCCACGGCTTTCACCAATCGTCGACTGGGGATTCGTCATCATGGTTTCCTACCGCTCGCTATGGCTTCTGGCCCTTGCGCCTCGTGAGTCTGAATATATTCAGCTTCGGCATTTTTAGAGTGCTAATATTGACAAGTTGCCAATTATGTGTCTGCTCAACAATCAACGCCCGCATCCTACACCGACCCCGACACTGGGATCGTCTTTGACACATGGACTGCAGCCCGCATGACTTTCGGTTTCAGTTTTCCCGCCAATGGCCAGACCACAAACGCCGATGAGTTCATCGGATACCTCGTAAGGCACTACCGTATTCGATGTCGATGTCGTTCCTTTTCTGACCGTGAAAACAGAACTGCGCGACTCCCAGCGGGAAGGGCACTGGATGGTGCGGTCTCTCCTACGGCGGACCCATGACAAACTCGCTCTTACTCATGGCCTACCCTCACGATGGCGATATTCTTACGTCCTTCCTTTGGGCCAACGCCCAGGTCGAGCCTGTCCCGTACAAGGGTAAGGCTGTTCTGACCCAGATCTCTTCCAGCATCACTGCGGATGGCTTCACTCTTATCTACCGCTGCCAGGGCTGCACTTCCTGGTCACAAGACGGAAACTCGGGTCAATTGGCAACCACATCTTCGATTGCTGTTCTCGGTTGGGCTCATAGCACCACCAATGTGATCGACCCGGAGTGTCCCCGCGAGGCCAGTATGCTCCAGCACGACACCCAGAGTATCTTTGGTGGCCAACTTACTAGCAACGCCTTCAACAGCAAGTATGATACGTGGGCTAAGCTTGCCACCAAGGTTGTCGAGGGTGACTGTGGTAGTGGGCAGCCTACTTCTACCGCCACCAGTCAGCCTACCTCCACGGCTGCACCTAGCGGTACCCCCGTGCCAGACGAGACATACGATTACGTCGTTGTCGGCGGTGGCGCTGGTGGTATCCCCGTAGCCGACCGTCTCAGCGAGGCTGGTAAGAAGGTCCTTCTCATTGAGAAGGGGCCTCCATCCTCTGGTCGTTGGGGCGGTACCCGTAAACCAGACTGGCTCGCAGGCACCAACCTGACTCGTTTCGATGTTCCCGGTCTATGCAATGAGATTTGGGCTGACTCTTCCGGCATTGCCTGCCCTGACACCGATCAGATGGCCGGTTGTGTTCTCGGTGGAGGCACCGCCATCAACGCTGGTCTGTGGTGGCGACCCAACCCAACAGACTGGGACTTTAACTTTCCCGATGGCTGGAAGGCTAAAGATATGGCCACTTACGAACAGCGTGTCTTTGGCCGTATTCCAGGTACGCGTGTCCCGTCTATGGATGGTAAGCTATACCTCGACCAGGGCTACAAGATTGTTGCTGGAGCACTTGACAAGGCTGGCTGGAAGGAGGTAAACGCTCTTGAGCAGCCGGCCGCGAAGAACCGTACTTATACACATACACCCTACATGTTCTCCAATGGTGAGCGCGGTGGGCCTCTTGCTACGTATCTCGTTTCTGCAAAAGCGCGCAACAACTTCAAGTACTGGACCAACACCCAGGTCAGGCGTGTTATTCGCTCCGGTGGTCACGTTACCGCCCTTGAAGTCGAGCCCTTTTCTGGCGCTGGTTATGTCGGCACTGTCAAGCTGACTCCCGAGACTGGTCGCGTTGTTCTTGCAGCTGGCACTTTCGGCAGCGCTAAGATTCTCCTTCGCAGTGAGTCTTTTCTTATCCGCACGATGTTAGAGTTTGTTAGTTCTAATCATGGTTCATAGGTGGTATTGGCCCAGATGACCAGCTCAGTGTTGTGGCCAACTCTAGTCGCGATGGTAACTCGATGATCGCTAAAGAGCAGTGGATCAACCTCCCTGTCGGCTATAATCTCGAGGACCATACCAATGTAAGCACATATCATATACTCAGCACAGTCACCAGATTATCCGGCTAACAGTATGGTAGACCGACACAGTGATAAAGCACCCCGATGTCGTGTTCTACGACTTCTACGAGGCCTACGATGACCCCATCCCAACTGATAAGAAGAAGTACCTAGGTCAGTATTCACGGTGTTCTCCAACTCAACTATGTAGGCTGACTTGGATGTAGATGGGCGCTCCGGCATTCTCGCTCAAGCTGCCCCCAACATTGGCCCGATCATCTTTGACGAGATTCCTGGTGCTGATGGCCGAGCTAGATCAATGCAGTGGACCGCTCGTGTTGAGCCCAGTCTCGGCGAGACTAGCAACAGTAAGTAACCTTTGACAGCCGGTGCAATGGATCAGACTAGACCTAACTCGTGAACCAGAGTCCATCACCATTAGCCAGTACCTCGGCCGTGGGGCTAAGTCACGCGGTCGCATGACCATTACAAGTGCTCTCAACACCGTCGTCTCTGGTAACCCCTACCTCAATGATCCAGAAGACAAGAAGGCTGTTGTGACAGCCCTCGACAACCTTCGCAAAGCTCTTTCTGGTGTGCAGGGTCTGGAATGGCTCCAGCCCGCTCCTGGTGTCACCTCCCAGAAATATGTCGACGATGTAAGTGGTTCATTAATCTCTTCTGGCGTCCAAGGTAGTGTCTAATGGTGTATACAGATGGTCGTGTCGTGGAGCAACCGCCGTGCCAACCACTGGATTGGCACCAACAAGCTCGGCAAGGATGATGGTCGCCAAGGCGGTACTGCTGTCGTTGACCTCAACACCAAGGTCTATGGCACTGACAACCTCTTCGTTACCGACGCTTCTATCTTCCCGGGCATGGTCACCACCAACCCCAGTTCCTACATCGTCACCGTCGCAGAGAGGGCCAGTGCCGCTATCTTAGCCCTCCCCGTCTCCAAGGCCCAGGGACAGTATCAGCAGTGCGGTGGCAATGAGTGGACCGGGAACATGCAGTGTGGCAAGGGCTTCTACTGCAAGATTCTAAACCCATTCTACTCTCAGTGCTACCCTGATTCTAAGCGATGAGGCTAGGGAGTATAACAAGACTTGAACTGGGCTGCCACAAAGCTTCAATCTGAGGAACAGCCGAGTGCTCTTACACCGTGAGGGTGAGGTCGATAGGAACTACCCTTTATCAGGCAAAACACCCTTGTATAGACCCTCTTCATAGTTCTGCCATCTTAGTTAACAAGAACAAGCCCTAGACTTGTGGCACGGATTGAAGTCTTGGTAACGTTCGCTGTATTATTCGTGTGATTAGTCGGCATAGTCTGTGTGCATCGGTAGCCCCTTGGTAGGCGCAGGAGAAGGTGAGGGCACTATACAGCTGGGCCACGAGTTATTTTCCAGCCAACAGCGTGTAAGAAGGATTCTAAATGGATACTGCTTTAGACAGTACTTCTGCAATACAACTCATGATGAAAGGTGCATACTCCTCATAGGTGGGTAGTCGTACTCATAGCGGAGCCCCGGAGGCTGTTTGCCCGCGTTCGGGAGTCTCCTTTCGGCACCCCTCGGAGGCATGATCTTTATCGCTGATTACCAAAAACGGTTATCGTTTTGACTCGGATGCCATATTAACATGGCCAGACTTACAATCAACACCTTTGACTATTCACCCTGGCACGGTGCACATAATCGCATGAACGTTATTCCAGGACGAATAAGAAACACGACGCCATTTCAGCGTTCAGACTGTGAATTCTAGTAAGACGAATAATATACAACAGAAGTTAAGGCGGTTCGCAACCACAAATCTACCCAAATCTCCACCGGGTCTATTGTCTCTTATACAATCGAGCTTCCTTGTACCCTTCAACCCAATTACGTCCATTTTCGACCTTACTCTCCCTCCCCCCAGCTCCATTACTCCACACAAGAATGGCCTTTTGTGCTTCGAGAAGTCCAAGTACTACTGTGGTGAGGTCATTCCTCACTTCCTTCAGCAGTTCATCTCTTTCACCCTTCCCAGTTCACGGTAAATGTATGAACTAGACCAACTTGGGCCATGATCCGAAAAACTAAGCCATGGTACATCACTGGAGTAGCAACACCATCCCGACTATCACAACAACCATACGGCAGGACATGATCTGATGTCTGTGTGCTTCTGATGAGGGAACCATCGATGGAATAGATGAAGCCTCCCCAGGTTCCAAAGGACTATGGCTATGTGTCGACCCGGATGCCTCAGTGTCCTTAGTGGCTTCTACCTCGGTGGCGAACGTCGTTGAGATAGCTGGGCTATTCCCATGGCCAGATGCTTTATCAGAAGGACCAGTCTTAGTGCCAGGCTGAGGCGCTGGTACAACGCTTGCTTCTATTGTTAGGCCGCCTGAGGAAGGTTGCTGGTCCTGGGGACCGGACGAGAGCTTGGAAGGATTCAGAGCGTTAATAGATTGAGATGGTGAGGCAAACGGTCCGTTCTTAACATTGTGCTCTGGTGAAGGCTGTGTTGTAACATATGACTGATGGTTCTCGTCACCTTGTCGATCGGTGTTGTGCTGGCCTGATGCGGGCGAAGGGCCGGGTGACTCTTTGTTCTGTGCTTCATTTGCTGATCCACTGGCTCCGGCCTCAGTATCCAAGGGTCCATCTTTTGAATTCGGTCCGCCGCTGTGTTGTTGGCCTTGTGTTGGCAACGGATTGGCTGTCTGTTGGTTTTGTGCTTTGCCTTCTGATCCTTGAGTGGCGGCCCCAGTATTCAAGGGTCCATTAGCATACTCCGATTCGTTACCATTCTGTTGTCCTTGTGTAGACAGGGAGTTAACATGTTGGTTGCCTTGTTCTTCGTCTCCTGGTCCCTGGGTGGCGGCTGCAATATTTGATGGTCCGATCTCGTAGCCTGGTCCGTTGTCGTTCTGTTGTCCTTGTGTTGGTTGAGGTTGGGATCCGACATCTACTCCATGGCCAGGTTGAATCCGATGACCGTCATACCAGCCAGAAGATCCATGGTTCACACTACCAGTCTCACAAGCAGCGACTGGAACCACCATGGTGACGATATCTTGCCCCTGATAGCCACAGGCTTGGCAGGGCGAGATGATTGTAGTCATATCTACCGGTGGATACTCTTGGTGATCGCAACCGCAGGCAGTATATTGCAGGGTCAATGTTACGCAAGTAGTGGTAAGAGCTCCTGGCTGACTTGGATGGAGAGTAACATATGTGACAGTGGTTACTGTCGCTGCAATGATAATCTCTGTGACAGTCACACCCTTGGTGACGTGGATGGTTCGGATGGGGCCGGGAGTGATTGGAGATGGAGTGCCAGAAATTGAACTCAACTCAGAGATGACTGAAGATACTGTAGTCTTTCGAGAAGAGATTGAAGAGGAGGATACTGATAGAGTGTAGGTTGTCGCAGCATTTGACTTGGATGTTGATGACAAAGTCTGTGTTACTGAAGCTTGTGAAGATTGCGAAGGCGAGAAAGAGGAGGGAGAGGAGGAGGAGGAGGAGGAGGATGATGAAGAAGAAAAGAAGGAAGAAGAAGAGACTGCTTGGCGATAGATTGTCAAGAAACGATTAGACGGAATGGCACGGCGTCTGCCTGCACCACCAGTCGTGCCTCCACAAAATAGGCTAGGGTCACCAGGACACGGGAGGCTACAGCGCTCATCTTGTACAATTTCTGATCCGGCGAGGGAATCAGCCTTGTAGCAAGTCCTAGAAGGAGTTAGCATGAACACTCTTCAACGTCGAAACACTCACTGTTCATAGACACCGACGTAAATGCTCCCAGCAGCCAATTTGACACAGATCTCTGTGGTCATGTTGGCCTGGGTTGCCACCTCCGTAAAGGTTGGAAATCCCTCGTCGGATCGCAGACACGCGATGAAATCATAACCATTAAGAACGGGGATATTTCTTGGGCTTGTAGAAGGAGTTGATGAAGTCGTCAAGGAAGTCAAGGAAGGCGAAGTTGGAGATTCTGATGCTGAAACGCTTGTGACTGGCAAGGACTGTTGTTGGGTGGTTAGTACTGTGGACTCCGTGCTGGTCGTACTCTGACTGGTGCTGGTGACGCTTGCCCCTGGTGCTGTAGAACTGAAAGAGATAGTTGTTGCCTCGCTGGTTGATGTCTCTGAGCTTGTGCTTTGGGTACCGACAGAGGACACGATGGTGAACGTGGAGGTAGTCGGGGTTGTTGTACTGCTGAATGTAGAGGAGCGAAGAGAAGATCCTTCTGAGGTTGATGTTCCAGGCTCTGAAGTAGACTCTGATGCAATCTTTGATGTGGACAGAGACGTATACTGGGACTCAGACTGAGACTCAGACTGTGATGATTGTGACATGATTTGTGATGAGATGGGCTCTGATGATGTCGGTAAAACAGTAGAGGTTAATGAGGTTATTGATTGGGCAGATGTTGTAGATGTTGGTGAAGTAGTTATAGACAATGCAGCTGATGAAGACAAAGTTGTAAATAACGCAGACGTAGATATAGACGTAGACGTAAATATAGACGTAGACGTAGACGTAGACGACGTAGACGTAGACGACGTAGACGTAGACGACTTAGACATAGACGATGTAGGGGATGTAGACGATGTAGACGATGTAGACGATATAGACGTCAAAGATTCAGTTGTAGACGATGTAGACGATATAGACGATGTAGACGTCAAAGATTCAGTTGTAGACGATGTAGACGTTAAAGATTCAGTTGTAGACGATGTAAACGATATAGACGATGTAGATAATATAGACGATGTAGACGATATAGACGATGTAGACGTCAAAGATTCAGTTGTAGACCCTATTGTTGTCGATGACGTAGATGTTGAGGATGTCGATGTGGTTAAAATGGCTGACGATGCCGATGATGTTGATGAAGCTGTCGAAGAGGTTGAACCTGCTGAAGATGAAGATGTAGTAGATGTCAAGGATGTTGAAGACGTTAGATCGGCTGACGATGATGAGGTCGAATCAACTGAAGATGTTGAGGTTGATGAGACTGATGACGATGATGAAGGTATTGGGCCTATCTTGACAATGTATTCGGTGCCTGCTTGGAAGCCTGGGGAACTGGCACCAACATACGTAATGCAGGCGTGGAGTTTCTCCGAATAACTTGCAGCATTACATTGGCTGTCCGTATCGCATGCCTGTAAACATGCCTGAAAGGTAAATCCTAATCCCAGAGGGATTATACTGCCATAGGAATTAGGGAGTGCATCACATGTAACTGTAAACTGATTGATTGTGCCATCATAGGTACCAGCTTGGCAGGTTAAAGCAGCTAATATCGAGGATATTAGAGGCGCTGACGATGCTAAGGTTAATAAGACTGATAATAATAATAAAGGTATTAGGCCTATCTTTAAAATAAAATCAGTGCCTGTAGTTAAGTATATAGTTAAGATACCTGTATATATAGTGCAGTATATAAATTACTTATTATAAGTTATACTACTATATTAACTATTAGCATCGTAAGCCTGCAAGCATATTTGCAGGGTATATTTACTTCTAAGGCTAGATATTATATTATATGTATTTAGCAAGCTATTATATATAACTATAAACTGGTTAATTATACTATAATAGGTACCAGCTTGGCAGGTTAAAGTAGCTAATGTCGAGGATATTAGAGGCGCTAATAATGCTAAGGTTAATAAGACTAATAATAATAATAAAGGTATTAGGCCTATCTTTAAAATAAAATTAGTGCCTGTAGTTAAGTATATAGTTAAGATACCTATATATATAGTATAGTACGTAAATTACTTATTATAAGTTATATTACTACATTAACTATTAGCATTGCAAGCTTGCAAGCATATCTATAAGGTATATCCACTTCTAAGGCTAGATATTGTATTATATGTATTTAGCGAGCTATTACATGTAACTGTAAACTGGTTGATTGTGCCATAATAGGTACCAGCTTGGCAGGTTGGAGCAGCTGATGTTGAGGATGTTGGAGGCGCTGACGATGTTGAGTCGGCTGAAGATGTTGAGGATAATGAGGACGTTAGATCGACTGAAGATGATGATGAGGTCGAATCGGCTGACGATGCTGAAGTGGCTGATGAGCTTGAAGAGCTCAATGATGTTGTAGATGTTGATGATGATGACAAGGGTTGCCCTTTGACGATAAGATCAAACGTCGTGTCTGAAACTGGCGATCCTGATGTCGCGGAATACAAATTGCAATATGTATTTGAGGTCACAAAGGTTGCACCTTTACACTGACTATTGGCATCACATGCTTGTAAACATGACTGGAGGGTGTACCCAGGTCCAAGCAACGAGAGTGTTGTGAATGTGAGGAATCTTGCATCGCAATAAACCTCAAACTGATAATTCGTACCTAGTTGAGTGCCGCTCGTGCAGGTTGGAGCTGTTGATGTTGATGATGTAGATGGTGCAGACGAAGTGGTTGAAGACGGTCGCGACTGGACAATAGCTATGTCCTGTCCGCTGATGCCACCGCTTGTAACAGAAACTTGGCTGAACAGCGTACAATCATAAAATCTGCCATCCCACTGAGCTCCAACGCATTGCACATCGTTCGCGCATGCATCCCAGCAACTATCCTCAGACGAAACGCTGGGATATGAGTAGTACGTGCCCATCCAGGTTGTTGAGCATTGAACTGACAGTACCACATTGTTACCGCTAGTATAAGGGCCTGGTTGACAGGCTGCCATTGCGGTACTGGCCCAGAGGACCAAAAGTCCGATTTGAAGCTTCATGACGCGTGAGCTGGTAGTCAACGAGAGACAGAAGTAACTGATACACAATCGATGCAGTTCAAGGGAGCTTTTAGAGACCCTTTATCTTTAATCTTGTTTTTTTTCCTCTTCTGCATCAAAGGTTTATTCATCTCTCAGTTTAAGCCAAATCAGGCGTTAAGGTTCGATTACATTCCTCAAATTCCATGCTTAGGCCTGGGCCGATGTTGCAAAATACGAGTAATTAAGTTCAGCTTAGTACAAACTCGACAACCAGGTCAACAGCATTGCCTTGACTTTTCAATATAGACACCGATAATCACAACAAGATAATAAAGTCTGCAAACTCACTGTGCTTACAGTACAAAGTGCAGTTTTCTTTATTACAAATGTCCGCCACGTCTGTGAGCTCGGATACCGGCATGTCAATACACACGGAGGGGCTCCAAGTTCGAGACCCAGGCAGGTCGGATGGGTTCCGCATTTAGTTCTAACCGTTATCTCGACCGTTAATCTATTACGGTTTTTTTTAGGCTTGCACTAAAGAAGTTTACTGTGGGCCGCGAGAGCTTTCCCAAGACCATTCTTTAGTATGCCGAAAATCCGTGGAAGCGAGTGATTTTTCAGCGTCTCGAAGCGCCTTTTCTCTAATGACCTGCTGAATTCGCATAGCGTTTCGAGTGATGGCTTACACTATATCCACCAGATCAGCTCACACGGAGAATCAGTACTAGAATAGAAATACTCCATGCCTTTGATAAGAGTGTTATTTTGAGTTGATAGAAAGCGCCACTGATGCTTAGAGCACGCGCCTCACACACCAAGCCTATAATGGTACAATTTGGATCTACGTAATTGAAGCTGAAGCTGTGGATAAAAAGTCACATTGGCTACAGGACGGGCTATACGAAATTACAGGGATGTCCTACCAAGAACAAGCACTAGCTGATTCTGGACTTGACAGAATGCCAATAGCCTTACAGAGTACACTCGTATGTCTCGCCTAAGTAAACTGGAGGAATTAGTTGGTGGAATTGTCTCGCCGCTTAGACCCGGTGAGTTTCCTCCAGGAGTCTGGAACAAAATAGCTACAAAGTTTGTCTCGAACGCTCTTGTCAGCATTGTGCTGCCGGGCTCGCCATTTTGAGGTCATGTTGAAAGCTGAGCAAATTTTGGGGCCATACCTTGGCGATGGCTGATGGAAGCGTTCTCGGTTTTCTTTTTCCCAAGGCTATCATGCCGCCGTTCCGTCGTAGATTTAAGCGACGGATTCGGATCCTAGCTTGGCCAACCGGATTTTAGATACAATGTTCTTCTAATGCAACCCACCTTTTATCGCCTTACTTTACTGAACGGATTTCTGATTCCGGACACATACCTTAATGTAAAAACGTATATTTTCCCGAGGCTGCAGTATTTCCAACGACAAGATTTATACAGATATTTATTAGACAGACCTGCTGCTCAGTAGCTTCATCGTGTGCACAGCGTTTCTTATTGTCTGTCCCCATCTGGTACCTCGGGTTTATTATCATTGCGTTCTAGGGTAAATGCCAGGGTGCCAGGGGTTCGCGCCGAGCGGATAGTGGTTTATCCGCTCCGAGATCCTGGCAATGGCAATGAGGTCCAAGGAATGAGAACACTCACTACTCCGTATCTTATCTGGACCCCATAGAATGCCATTAGTCTTAAACTCAATACTTCGCTAAATGTCAGCATATCGCGTATGTCTCCTTTGAGTGTAGAGGAAAGCGGGGGGAGTTGTTGGTTAGAAGTGTCTAGCCGCTTGGAATTTGCAAACGTACATCCCTAGAAAAGATTAGCTGTAAAGTCTGTCCCGAGTGCGTTTCTCAGCAGCATACTGCCGGACTCTATTCAAGAGATTATTTTTAGAGCTAAAACAAGTTTTGGACCTGATGCAAGCTTTCTTGTTTCTCTTTTATTTCAGGCTATTGTGCGGCTGTTCCGTACATAGTTTGAGCACCAATTTCTCGGCCGAATACTTCCCAGCTTAGCCAATAATTAATGAATACTAAAATCTTGTAAGACCTCAACGAGACACATTAAGCCAACATCCCAAAACTTCCCACTATACTGTAACAGTTCTGAGGCCTTGAGATTCGAATGAACAATCTTAAGCATTATAGCCCTATACATGGCTTTTATATATTCTTCCACAGAACAACCTTGGCCGCACGCTTCCGCTGCAACCCTGCCTGAAAGGGAAATAAGTGCCTTACCACGACTGGTATTAATACAGAGACTGTTAAAAGTATTCTAGAGGTATTCAAAAGAGAATATCTAAGAGATCTAGTACTAAACGGAGTGTTTCTAAGAGTTATAGCCGGTATAGTAATGGGTTTTATATTCACCTTATTATCTGCTTTAGATAAAATATATTTTTCCAATATTACTACTATACATAAAGCGTCTAGTATAGATATCTATTATCTGTTAATTAAGAAAGTTACTTTTAAATTAACTGCAGACTGTAGTTAAATACACAGGCAAGAAACCAGTCAAGGGCGAACCTCTGGCCAGTTCTCGTGTGATCCAAGCCTAGTAAACTGCACTATAAGGACATAGCTGTGTTACATATTATGAGTAGCTTTCTCCCAAGGACAGAGGACGCGCTGGCTACAGTAGTGATAAGTTACGGGGGGCTTTTCAGAATACTCAAACATGCCAGAGCCTTACAGGAATAGAGCTTTCTATTAATGCAACACCATTACGAGTTGATCTAACTCTTCTGTCTGATCATGCATTTCAACTTCATTTCCGGGTGATTTATCCAAGTGTCAGGATCCCTCTTCCATTCTTCGGCTTGATCACCGGTAAGTTGCAATTCAAAACCCTCCACCAAATGAACCAGAATTACTTTCAACATCATATCCGCCACGTACTTTCCCATGCACTGCCGCGGCCCAAAGCCAAACCTCCAAAAGTTATACCTGAGTTTGACTGGACTGAGAGATAGAAAGCGCTCTGGGTGATATTCAAGACTGTTTTTTCCCCAGAACTGGTTCCGCTGATTCAAAGCGTATGCGTCGACGATGAAGTTGGTGCCAGCGGGAAAGAGATACCCACTGATGACACGGTCTGTTGGAATTGCCTGCGGAACGGAAAAGGCAGCGAGGGGCCGGAGCCGGGATGATTCCAATATGCATGCCGATAGGTAGGTGGTTGAATCAGTGAAGTAGTTGTTGAAGTCCCCTCCCTTTGGGCGTTGTTTCCATTCTCGTACTTCATCAAGAATACGCCGTTGGTTCTGAGGGTAGGCGGCTAAGAACACGAGGTTCCAAGAGATAGCCCCCAATGTAACGTCCAGATTGGCAAAGAGCGTCTCATCGAGGGTGTGCAAGAGATGCTCTTGGGTCATCGTGGCGGAAGTTACAGCATTATAGAGGTCCACGATTGGGGGTCGAGATCCAGCGTGGACAGCTCGATCAAAGGCATCCTGATTAAACTTAATCCACTGGTCTTTGAATGATTTAAGAGATTTGTTGGTTTGGGTAGGGAAAAATCGTGACCAGTTGAATCTCGACAAACCGCCTTCCATGACCTTGCGAAATATGTCTTCGCGCAGAGGTGCAAGTTCAGCAAGAGTCTTTTCCATTTTCCTTGACAAACTTCCATAGAGCACATCAGCAATGATCCAAAAAGGGAGCATCTTCAAGTCTGCTGCTGGATCGATGACTCCATTGGGTAAGTTGTCTCCGGCTTCAAGGGTCTTGAAGTGACGTATGGTTCGCTTCTGTATAGTTTCCAAGTATTTCGGTACCGTACTTGGTATGAATGCAACTTCTGAGACCTCTCTGACCCGTCTCCATTCATTCTGGCTCACGAGACCAACACATTTTCCAAGCAATTGCCCCAGGACGTACCCCGAGTTATTATTAACTGCTTTGATGTGTTTGTCTGAATCCTTGAAAACCTGCTGGACGTCTTCAGGCCTTGTGACAACACTATGATAGATTAGGCGACAATTATCTGATATTGCAGGGCGTACGTACACTTCAGGGTTTGAGCCTGACCATATACGGTAGATGGGTCCATACTCTGACTCCCATTTAATACTGTTCTCTTTGCCGTGGAGGAACTTGGCTGCGTCTCCTTGGCCACTGGGGAACCAGTATCTGTTTGACGGAAAGGGTTTTCCGGCCCCAACGTCCCGGACTTGATGACGCCTGGATAAGAACGCCTGTACAATGTAAGCAATTGGTGTGTAAAAAATGATCAGAGTGGCACACATCAATAATAGTTGACAGTAACCAGTTCACTGGTCGGTCAACTACCCTCAGACCAAGGAAAAATAGAACGAGAAACGGCCCTATGAAAGGACTCCAAGTTATAATCGTCAAGTCATGAAGTGCGTGGGTTTTAGGAAGTTCAATCATCTTGATGGATGGGTTCGGATTGAATGTGATTCATTAGTGGTCTGGTAATACAGGCGTCAATGGATGGATATCTAAACTTTGGCTCTGCTCTAGAGTAGAAAGTTGAAACCGTTTGGGCGGCTTACCGTTCGAGCCCCACCTTAAGACCGGAGGCTGGCTCGGTAGTGGCAGGCCTATTTCGGTGTCCGTTGCCACCTTTTCGGCCCATACCCTCGGCTACCAAGGTACAATTATTCACATCTACTATCACTGACACAAGCTTTCCACCAGATGAAACGTCGGTATTTGCTAGTCATGGCCGAATCGTGGCGCTCTCTCCAGAACGTCCTTCACAGCGGGCCGGTCCAGCATCCTTTGGGCCCACTCATCAACGGCCGGCCAATCCTTTATATCTACACCAAACAGATTAAACATCCAAGGCATGGCAAATGGAAGATAAGACAAGTCTGCCAATGTGGGACGGTCCTTTAAAGCGATATATCTCTGCCCGGGTTCCGAAAGGCGTTTGTTAAGAATATCCCATTGCTTCGTTGTGTTCTGGTGCAGTCTAAAGTACCGAGTGAGTAATTTATACACGATTGAGTACTGCGGTCCAGCAACTTACTTCTCGATTGTCCTTGGAAGCTGAACTGGCTCTTGTCTATTCGGGTACCCTTTCAAAAAGTAGAGCCAATACTTTGCCGTAGCCCTAGACCCTTCATTAGCAAGCATCCTCCCATGTCTCACGTCTCCAGTCGGCCTACCCCAGCCCAGCGGTCTGATAGGCCGTCCATGAAAGCACAGCTCCCTTCTCGGCCGCTGTTCTTCCTGTCCACTCTCCATTATTATCCGATCGGTCCGCGAGATACTGGAGACAGGCAGTGCCTTCAAAAACAATAACATCTTGTCCAGTTTCCGGATCGCGGTCCTTAAGAGATGGGACGTAGCGCTCCGGATGGATTTTGTAGAACCATTCGTCCTTGGTATCGATGATGGAAAGGACATAGGGAGTTCTTAGCTCTTCGGCTAGAATAATCGGTTTGATGTAGTTGATATACGATGTGGCATCAGCTACTTAGTCAGCTTCAAGGTCTAGAATGCCTGTATTTCGAGCTGTACCTTTGATGATGTAGAGGACCACCCTGCCATCGGCATCAAGGTCTCCTTTGACTATTTCACCACTCGCCATGATGACTCTTGAGATGTGATAGTATTTCTAAATTAGTGCTGTTTGAAGTTGATGCCTGTATCTAGATGAAATAAATAGCCAATTATCAAAAACAGCGGACCGAACACCATATCGGCATTTCATCTCTGCAAATACCTTTATGGCCTCAAGTCAATAGCCTGTACCCAAGCATTCCTCAACGGCCAGATCCTCTCGGTCCGCCATCCAGCTCTTTCAGCTAGTTCGTTCCATTTAGCTTCGGTCCTTTCTTGGCCATTGACAGTCATCATCATGTTGATGTCTCCGTACACCGAAAGCCTACCACTTTTAGTGTCGGACAAGACGGACTCCAACACCACCAAGCGGCTTGCTTCGGCGACAATGATAGCCTGCCGAATAGTCTTCAGAATCTTGACAACAGTATCATCATCCCAGTCATGAAGGCACCACTTCATTGTGTAAACCTCATACTGGGGTAATTTCTCGAGAAAGTTTCCAGATATGAGATTTCCGCGTGGTACGCGGCTTTCCAGGTCTTCAAAATGACCACCTTTAGTAAAGAAAGGACTGATGTGATCTATCACAGCCGGTCGGTCAAAGAGAGCCCCCGACATCCCGGGATTAGCTCGTAGGACCGAAGCTAGTAGAGCCCCGCTACCCCCTCCGATATCCATGATAGTTTTATCTCCAATCTCATGCCAAGGATAGTCTGCCAGAATTCCAGGGGCCATCGCGTTGGCACCTCCGCCAAGGGTCTTGTGTAGTTGCGGAACCCAGCCTTTGCTTTCAAAATAAGCAAACATATCCAAGTCAGTGTCGAAGTTGACCTGCGCGGCACATCGTGTAGAGCCTGCACGAACAGCTTCTGGGATGCCTCTTGCGATATCGAAGAATTGATTGCCGTATAGGGTCACCCAGTTATGCCACTGAGTTGTATGATCTTTGAGTAATAGTCTGGATACATGATTCAAAGCATACCTCCCCTTCGCAGGTTCATAGGAGAAAACTCCTTTGGTGTAGAGAGGACGAAGGATTTGGCCAAGCCTAAGTGGAGTTGCATTCGTCGCAGTAGCCAGCTCCTCCAACGTCTTTGAACCGGTGGCCAGATGACCAGGAACATCCAGATCTACCGCTGCAACGAGACATTTGGTATCAGTGTATCCTAAGTGCCTGGTTAGTCCATAAATAACTGAATAACGGATAGGTTTGGGAGTATATTACCGAAAAAGTGATCGGCGAGGATAAGATGGGCCGGTTCCAATATTGATTGCATTTCTCCCAGCTTGTCCACTACCGATGTAGCACGCTGCAAGGTGTCCTTGTCCGGCAAAGCTTGGTCATTGTGCAAAAGCTCTTGTAATTCTTTTTTGACCCCATCATTGGTCAGCACTGAGAGGAACGCTGTCAAAGATGCCTCAAGCTGGACAAGGGTTTGGATAAGCGACATAGTGAGTTGAGAGTGATAACAAAACAACAGTATTACTTCAGTGAAAGACTAGCTCTTGTACCGTTGTATATCGCTTAGCATTCCAGGAGTAGTAGTAAAATATATACCTACGTGACCAAATAGTGATTGGTTAGAGGACAACACAGAGCTCTATGTGGAATGGTCCGCATGTTCATTTCGGTCCAGATAACTGCAGGCAGCTAATAAGACTCCAGTTGTTTCGGTCCGTGTCAGAGAAACCTCGGAGTAGCAAAACTTTGTCGGCATTCGGCTTCATAGAACGTACACGAGAAAAATGCATACGGAAACTATCTGTCAAAGGCTAGAGTGTTCGCAAGTGTGATTTAGAGCGAGAAGAACCGTTTAAGCATTTAATTGGTTTATTGGGTCGGATCACATTTTGCGGGGGGATACCCTAGATTACTACCGACAGCTAAGACTCCATTCACGAGTAAGGCTATCAGATTGGCGTGAAGCAAGAGCTTCAGTCACACAAAGATTCAGGTAGGGTTGTGCAGACCAATACAGGAGGATTGCTTTAGAAAGTTCAAAACATACTCATTTCTGAAAAACAGCAGCGTGTTCATGTGAACATGTCCCATCTGGCATCAAGCTAGCTCAGCGCCAAGTTGAGCGGCCGCCGCACCAGCTGCCAGACAACCCATACCAATTGCTTGGGACACTGCCTTCATCATGGTAGCACAATCTCCCACTGCAAAAACCCCCTTGACTTGAGTCTCAAACATCTGACCCTCCGTCTTGATGTCGCCGGTCGGTGTAAGTTCAAGCCCAAGCTGCTCGGCAAATGGCCCATTAATCTGCCCCATCGGCCCGTGGGCCAAAAATCCCTCAACCACCTCAGAGCCATCCTCGAACTTGATCACAATGTCCGAGCTGTCTGTAGACTTCATTGAGATGCCCGCGATTTTGCGATTGTCTACTGTGATGCGACTCTTGGCCCCGTCTGTACCAGTGGCTGTGAGGTCTGACTTGATTTGTTCTCCAAGACTGTCTCCTCCGTTGGTATAGATTACAGCTTTGTCAGCCAGCCGAAGGACCATGCGAGCAAGATGGAGTGCCATAGGTGAGCTGCCACTGAAGTTCATACCCAGGACACCTGCAGATGGTTTGCCTCGATCCTCATACCCATGGCAGAAGAGGCAGTGAAAGCTGAGGGTGTTAGTGAACTCAGGGTTCCATCTTGGGGGTTCAAGAAACTCCGACACTCACATTCCTTTGGCCCAGCACTCAGGGTAACCGGGAATATCAGGGAAAAGATCCTTCCATCCTGTAGCAAGGAACAGCTTTCTGCCTGTCCAAGTAATGCCATCCGCATCAACAAGCTCAAAGCCAGAGTCAGTTTTCTTGGCAACGTCTACCTGCTTGTCTACAAACTGCACTAGGTTTGCATAACGGCCTAAGAGGTCTTGGCGAGCCTTGGAACGAAACTCGGCTGGTGACATGTGATCCCACGCAGCGAAGTTATGCATGTGGTTAGACGGGGCATTGCGGTAAACTCCAGAGTCGAAGACGGCTACTTTGTAGACCTGGCGCACGAGGCCGGTTGCTACTGACAGTCCAGCTGGACCGCCCCCTATAACAAGGGCGTCAAAAGTGGTGTTTGCGGTTGACATTGCAAGAATAATATGAGAGCGCATATATTAGCCTGGGTAAACAGATTGTTTTAGTTTCGGAAGGAGACAGATGGTTAAGTGTGAGATATTTTTAACCTTGTGAGGTGCTTTTCGGAGGATTAGACTCTTGACAACCGACGGGCCGAAGGAGTTATGCTATAGTTGTGCAGGACACCGATGGCCCGATGCAGCGCGTGACAGGTCAACCTCAATTTGGACTTGCAGCAGCGCTCCTGGTCGACTCATGGGAGTAATCACAAAAGGAGTGATCCCACTGGTATATTGAGGCGTTCTATGATCAGAGCACCTTGTAAAGGCCACAAGACTCTGCAGCAACACACTATCAACCATGGACAATGCGATGAATAACGATATGCTCAATACTGTGGCCCTAATCCTCAATGTTGCCGTCAAGGATCTGGACCTTGATTCAAGTTTCATTCAGAATGGAGGAGACTCGCTCAGAGCAACGTCTCTTGCAAACCATTTCCGTAAAAGAGGAATAACGGTCACACGAGAGACGATTCTCACGAGCACCTCACTTGAACATCTTTTCAGCCTCATCGAATACCCATCAATTGATCAATATGACGTCCAAGTCGATCCGGCCTCCCCAGACTCTTCAACTGTTCTGTCTGAGAGCGACTGGCAGACAGTCTCTCCCGCGGAAAGAGATCCTATGTCCAGCTTGAACGACTCTAGCTTTAGTACATCATGTTCCAGCATATGTTCCTCCGCGCCCACGTCAGGAAACATTGTGTCTCCTCCTGGAGAAAGTTTGCCGACCTATCGTTTCGACCCCATATCTACGGCACAAGGGGCCCAGCAGGCCACAGAGATGCAGCTGGCGCTAATCCACGGGACGCTCAAGCACAGCCGAATGAACATGATCCAGTTTACCATGGTGCATCGAAACGAAGACATCAATAAACTTCGGGAAGCGTGGAGGATTATTGTCGAACAAGCGGATATCTTTGATACGACTTGGGTAGCACCGTTGTCTGGTACCCAGCATTCACGATTTATATGGATCGAAAATCCATCAGAAGATGAAGCAACGACAACCTCCATCGGTTCCAGGCTCACCGTTTTGCCTCAAGATACAAACAACGGTAGCTCTCAAATTGTTTGGACAGTACACCATGCCCTGACCGATGGCATTTCAGCCCAGCTTCTTCTCCGCAACGTACTAAGAGTCGCCAACGGCCAAGTTCCAAGGACTATGCCATCCTTTTGGGAATGGGCGCAAGATTTAAAAACTTACCAAGACGATCACGCCAACCTTGCAAAGGACTTTTGGTCACGGCAGAAGCAGCTTCATCCTGAGGCCAAGGGCACACTACAGTTACCAAAGCCCGACACGAGCAAAGAGCCCAACGAGGCCAAAACTATCACGCTTCCTATAGGTGATTTGCGAGGTCGTCTGGCAGTGGCAGCAAAGCATTGCAATGTCACACTGGCTACTATGTTTTATGCTGCATGGGCGCTTGTCATGTCTAGCTTCTCCGACAGCAAGACTGTTGTTTTCGGTGCTCTCCTCAGTGGCAGAAATATACCCATTGCAAATTCAGACAAGATCATCGGTCCTCTTATCACTTCGCTCCCTTTATACATCTTTGTAGACCCAGATGTTACGGTCCAGGAATTCCTCGCTTCACTATTTAGGAGCCTTCTTGACCTTGAGCAGTTTTCCTGGACTTGCACGGACCATGGATTTAGTCGTGATTATGACTCGACGCTGTCTGTCGAGGCATGGCAGGATGACTGGTCGGAATTCGACATTCGACCAGTTGCGACGTACAAGTCTCAGCAGAGTGATGTTCCACTGGGCATAACTGTCAACACTGACAGCCTTGAGTTTCAGTACCACATGGACAAAATCCGTACGGTGGACGCTGAGAGAATCATGTATTTTTATCAACTTGCCCTTGAACAAATCACTCGAATACACACGCCCGTCATGGCGGCTATGGAGGCTCTCGTGTCAGCACCAAGCCGAGCTCTCTTAGCCAAGTTCGGCAACTGCATGTCAGGTCGAACCACAAGGACTTCTGTCAGCGATGATCTCGTCAGCTTGTTCAACAGATGTGTAGAGAAAAATCCAGATGGTATTGCCATCGATGATGGGGCTTTCCATGTAACATATCGTGACTTTGACATCATGACAAGTCGTGTTGCCATCGGAATTGCCTCGAAGATATCCAAAGGTGACATCGTTTGCGTTCACTCGGAAAAGTCGCTCAACTGGATCGTGGCAATCTTTGGTATCCTCAAGGCAGGCGGTGTATACTCATCACTAGACCCTATCCTTCCATCAGAATTGAGAGCAACCATGTTTCGGAATGCCAAAGCGAAGTTGTTCCTCACTCCGAAGTCATGCCAACTTTGCCAAACACCATCGACTTGTGCTTTAAGCGCCTCGATAGACTCACTTCTAGCAGATCCTCTTGTTATACCCCAGAAAATAGACATGACGCCCAAGCCATGGGCCAATGCCTATCTGTGCTTTACCTCTGGTTCTACTGGGACCCCTAAAGGTGTTATGTGTACCCACGAAGGGTTAGTTGCTTTCCAGAGCGATCTCGAGGTGAGACTCTTTGCCCAGCCTGGAGTACGCATTGCTCAGGTCATGTCGGTTGCATTTGATGGAAGCATTCATGAGATATTCTCCGCATTGACGCATGGTGCAACACTGGTTTTGCCGTCCAACGCCGATCCCTTGGGTGCTTTGGACACGGCTCACGCAGCGATTTTAACGCCTTCTATCGCTAGGGTACTGAATCCCGATGACTATCCTATGCTTAAATGGGTAAGAGTCGCTCCGTCCATGACTTTTCCTCTAGGGCTAACCCAATTTCAAGGTGTACCTTGTTGGCGAACCGGTTCCTCAGACAGTGTCAGATCGTTGGTCGTCCGTTAAAACGCTATACAATATGTATGGCCCTACTGAAGGTACTGGAGGAGCAACTATCAAGCGGTTGACACCAGGCGATCCAGTAACCATCGGAACGCCCAACCCAACGACAAGAATCTACATCTTGAACTCGCAGGCAAGACTCGCCCATCCCGGCATGATCGGTGAGATCTACATAGCAGGTGTCCAAGTCGCCCGAGGATACGTAGGCCTCGATGACCAAACGAAAGAGCGCTTTCTCCCGGACACCATCATGAGAAATGGAGAGACTATGTATCGGACAGGGGACCGAGGATACTGGAGCGAAACTGGCGAAATATGTTGTCTTGGTCGAAACGACCGTCAAATCAAGCTGCGCGGATATCGTCTAGATCTGAATGACTTGGAGGTTCGCATCTCGCGAGCAGCACCCGAACTTTCTGGAGTCGCACTCGCTCGAAAACAAGATGAGCTCGTGGCAGTTGTTCAACCAGAAGATGTCGACATTCAACGGCTGAAAGCCAAGATATCCACAGCTTTGCCCCGTTACGCCATCCCACATCACCTTGTGGCTCTGAACAAGATTCCCATGACGCCAGCTGGAAAGGTTGACTACCGCGCTGTTTCAGATGCCTGCCAAAGAGTTTCACAGAGCCAGACTGAGCCTTTGAGCGACATGCAGCGGTTGGTCTCATGTATTGTCTGCAAAGTCCTTGGAATTGAAGATTCGAAGCAAGTATCTCTCGACTCAGACTTTATCGCCTTGGGCGGACATTCCCTGAAACAGATACGCCTTGCTCAAATACTGGGTGAAACGTTCAAAACGCGAATTCCCCTTCAGCTGATCCTGTCCAACCCATCAGTACGCGGGCTTTCAGATAGCCTACAAGTCCTGCTCGGCCCAGACCAATCAAAGGCTCGAGCTGGACCTTGTGCACGGCTTGGTGACAGGGTTTCACCTATTGAGCACGAGTGGCTCGTCAAGTACCAATCTCCAAGAGGGACTGCTTCTTTCAACGTCTGTTTTGGTTCCACTTTCAATGAAACATCAGTCTGTAGAAACAGGTTGATCTATGCCTGGAATCAAGTTTTGCAGAGACACAAGATTCTATCGTCGCGATTCAGCCTTGATGGGGAGGCTTCAACGAGATACTGTGACCAAGTACCACCACGCGTTGAAGCCTTTTCTGATTTTGACTTTTGGAAACAAGCAAACCGTCCTTTCGATCTGACACTCGAAAGTCCCATACGTGTCATTGTGGCCAGGAACAAGCTCATGGTTGTCATCAGTCATGTTGTAGCAGACTACACTACCCTCAGCCTTCTTCTTCAGGATGCATCTCGACTTTATCATGGGCACCCTATACAAAAGAGGCCTTTTTACGCTGACTCTACGTCACTGGTAGATTCGTCTTCCGAATCTGCTATTGATTTCTGGAGGGATTATCTAGGGGATTTACCGCAAGCGCCAAAGCTGTTACGCGATTCACCGTTGAGAACCACCTATCAGGGGTGCTCTTTCACTATGCAGTTTGACCACCATCTTTCGACCTCTATCATGAAGCTATCTGCAACAAAAATGTGCAGTAATCAGCAGTTAGCTCTCGCAGTTGTTGCTGTTTGTCTTCACCAAGATGCGAGTGATATGGACATGGTTATCGGCGTGCCTTCAATGCACCGACAAACTGAAGATGAACTACAGACGATTGGGCTGTTTCTCCAACCGTTGCCTGTCAGACTAAAGTATTCCAAGGTCACTCAATGCTCGTCGTCTTTCCTTCAATCAACTCAATGTTCCATGCAAGCCGCAGTGGCACATGCGATTTGTTGGGATCGCATTGTGGATGCACTAGACGTTAACCGCCAATATCCCAATCATCCCGTTTTTGACATAATGGTCACGTTTCTAGATGGCAGAATGATGAGCCAACTAAAGCTGGATATCCCATCTTTTGAATCTCGCCATATATGGGCAAATGGTGCCAAGTTCAAGCTGATGTTTGAGTTTATGGAGGTTTCGGATGGTCGTTTGATGCTCAGGATAGAGTATGATGACTCATGTATCTCATTGCGTGAGGTGGAAGAATTTGCTTCCAGGGTCCAGGTTACTTTGGAGATGTTGATAGAGAATGAGTTTGATTTTGACCGGATTTTATGTTAAGCAGCAGGCTCACGCAGACTCAAATTACATTTCTTAATAAAACAAATTCTTTGACTTGCTGGACAGGCAATTTCATAGATTCCCTGGCTTTGGTGAGCAGAGCAATTCCTGATCTTGTCCTTTTACTGATCGATCCTAGATTATCTATCCTTTCCGTGAATATGATGCCAATTACCCCATATCGGAGGTCAAAATTAGCCCAAGCTCTGGAAAAACCACCATCCCTATTAAGGATGTCGCGAACCTTGAGGGATAGGCGAGACAAAATGCACAATTTTAGGCGGCCCGAAAGTTGCGGAGACATAGCGGTCGGAGACCCAGCGGTAGCCGGACGTATGCTTAACCTTTGAAGTGCAATGCCAGTTTGCCTCCGACGTAGAGATGTCAATCCGCAGATTCCATACAGAACAGGATAATTTACATCCATTTCAACCATTTCAGTCTACTAGTTACTTTGTGGATATCGTTCTATTACCCTCCCAGACCTAAATCATGAGATCGACTGAGATTCTTTCTCCTCGTATGAGAGATACTGTAGCAGCAATTTTGCCCACAGTTTCATCAACTCTGAACGACAGATCTTCTGATAAGATAGATCTTGCCACAGCCGAGAACTGGCTCATTCGACCTGAGCTTCAACGTCTCTACAAGGAAGCTATTCAAAGCCATTTGAAGGAAGAAGTAGGTGTGACCTCATGTAATCGTTTGCATTATAAGGCTCATCTCAACATTAGCATTTGTCCTACACTCATAGCTTTGGTGGCGATGCACTGCTGCTTGAATCGGCAGCAGACTTCTTCAACACTTACTTCAAGCCGCGTAGCCCTGTCCACCCAGAGCATATAGTAGCTACACCTGGCGCTACGTCGTGTCTTGATTCACTATTATTCAGCATTTGTGATGAAGGGGATGTTGTGCTAGTACCCGCCCCGTATTGGAGTTTGTGACTCATCCCATCATTGAGACAAGCACTAATCAGTACAGATGGTTTTGATTTTCATTTCAGACTCCGAGCCAAAGTAAAGATAGTGCCGGTCATCACAAAGTATGAAATACCTGTCGATGGGTGTAACTACGAGATACTTCACGGGTCCTTACTTTCATCCTTAAATGAAGCATATGAAAGTATCGCAGACAAAAGCCGCGTGCGAGCTCTTATCGTAACCAATCCCCATAATCCATTTGCCCAGTGCTACCATGAAGCAGATCTCAGAGAAGCAATTTTCTTTTGTCAAAAAAATGAATTGCACTATATCTCTGATGAGCTATACGCCATAAGTGACCTGCAAGGAAAGCGAGGGTTTGACGGTGATGCCGGAGCGCCTTTCGTCTCTGCGCTCAGGTTGACTTATGAGCACCCTGAGTTAGAGGATCAAAAGACTCAGCCCTTATCTCCAAATAAAATTCATATTATATGGAGCTTGAGTAAGGATTTTGGTTCAAGTGGTTTGCGTCTGGTAAGGCTGATTATCCTACAAATACTTCGATGACTAACATATTATAAAGGGTTTCCTCATAAACCAAGATGCGAGCTGCAAATCTTTGCTGGCTTCGGTCTACGTGCTATCAACCATTCATACGTCCTGTCTCTCCTCCATAGCAGCAACCCATCTTCTCAAATCAAAAGAGCTACCAGTTCTCATTGGACTAGCAGCAACACGTCTTGCAGAAGCTCACAAAACTGCTATGGCACGATTCCGCGAATGGGGAACTCCGTTTATATATCCGCATGCTGGCCCCTATGTCACGGTGAAATTATTAAAGCAGGCTGCGAATCTTGTAGAGGAAGACGAGGGACTTGAAAGGTTGAAACAAGCTGGGGTCGTGGTCTCAAGCCTTCGCGGCTTTGGAGGCTGGAAGGAATTTTCTGGCAACCTGAACCACTACGGCTGGGTAAGAATGACGGTTGCAGTTCCAGAGGCTAGATTACTTGATGCGTTGGATAGAATTGCGGATACTATGAAGTACTAGGAGAAAGAAGGCAGCATGCAAGTTCGATAATTCAGATGGTTATGGCTGAAGCCTACATTGCGGCAGCTAGCTGACATGCTTCATGCCATAATCCCAGTCCATTATAATATCTGTATCTCTTTTTGGCTTAATTAACTCATATGGATATTTATTCACTATTAAGTAGATCCGCTGTCTAGACCTTTTAGAAGGAGTTCACCCCTACTCAAAAACAAGGTGCACATCTGAGCAACGAGCCTTTTTTGCCCATCCGCTCCAGTTCCACGAACATCCTTAGAGAATTCGTGAACAATCTTCAAAGCTCGCTGCACCTCCTTATGTAGTATTCTTTTTGTCATCGAGACCTGCTCCTCAGGATCCAGCTCAAACACGCCAAACTGCAAAATTGGTGATGTCGTTGCTGAGTTTCGTTGATGACTCCATGCCTGGCCTTGAACCATGCCTTCAAATAGTACCAGTATGAGATCCAGCACTGAACATACAGTCATGTGACAGCTACGACAAGCTTTGTACTCCTCCTGGTCCATTATAGTGGCTAGGTCTGTCAAGCATGCTTTGTTAACGCGCAGAATTTCGTCAATGGAATGTGTTTTGGATCGGACGTGGTGTTCGAGTATGAGTATGATCTTGGATAGTGCGGCAACATGAGGAAATTGGCGACCATCGAACTGGATTTTTCTTGTAGCTGATGCCAAGGATGCAGCTACCGAAGAGCTCGAATATTCTGGGCTAGGAGGAAATTGTTGTGGTGGTCCTCCGCTGGCGTGTATTGTTGAATCGCCGTCCATGTCTATTATGTCGAGTGTCATGTGATCCATATTGAAGTCAAAGTTCAGACCTGATTGGAAATCATTTGACCTGTTGGATCCAAGAGTCGAATCGCCGTAGAGACCAGCATCAGCACCAGTGCCAGTGCCAGTGCTAAAGCAATCAAAAGCTTCAAAGGTTGCAGAATTGCTTGAAGGTGATGCCAGAGCAGACTGTGACAAGTCAACACTGGTAGAGCTATGCCGTGTTCTTTGCTGGTCCCCATTTTGATTCTGCTGTGAAGGCCCTTGGTTTCCTCCTGTCACTTGTGACAATTGTTTATTCTTGCGTGACATTCTTCCAACCATGGAGACTTTGTAGCAGCAGTTGAGTCCCGCTTGTCGACACCGAGCGCAGCCTGTCTTTTCCCCACTGCACCGAACCTGACGTGCGCGCTTGTCAGCCTTGTCGATCCGCAATCACATCACTGCAGCTTGTTGGTTCTGCCATACCTTGGCACTGTGGCATTCAGTGCACGCGGCTCTCAACCGAGCAGGCTTTTCCCTCTGATGCACCGTCATATCACCGTGACGCCAGGGTGGCTGAGAATAATGCAATTGAGACTACTCTTTATGTGTCCTTTCGAATACAGTCAACGAGAGTGCTATTGGCTGGGTCGTCAAGTTTATCCTACGTTAGTCAGTGCAGCCGTGGCAGAGTTGTGGATACTGGATCATGATCCAGCAAAGCCGTTGGCTACAAACTGCTAGCCATCAAGGTTACATCGACTAACTTGGCCCCCATGCGCCCATGTTCGCTAAACGATAGTCAGTCGGAAATCGCGCAGTGTGCACCGATTCGAATCATTCGTGGTGTCAATCAAGCTTAATAAATCTACGCGTATAGGGTGTCCAATAGGCTAGATTCTTCTACCAACACCCACTTCCCTAATGCCGTGTGTTCATCCATGAAACCCTTGTGGACTGTATCAATTCCTCATACTTCGGCTTGTGCCCAGTGTTCTACAAAGTGGCAAGAAAGCATGCATGCTTAGCCTTGTGCAGCAGTGTCTCACTCTTCTAATGGGTCCTCTACTTATCTTCCTTGTCTTCCTTCTGCCAAACAGCTAGCTTTCCTTCAATTTTCCACTTGCGAATATCTTTAACAGCGTTCTCACAAGCCCCTCTAGCCAGAGCTGTATAATTGACCTCTATGTCCTTAGCAGCCTGCGTCCCAGGCTCAACGCTGTCAAGTTTTAGTTCATACATGGCTGTCAGGAAGAGCTCAGGTCGCTCATTATCCTGTTTCTCTGCTGTGCCGTGGGATAGCAGGAATGTACTTTTGGCGCCTGTTGTGACGGTTTTTGCTTCAACCTAGATGGTGTGAGTTGAGTTGACACCAATCCCAGAATGTGGGGGCGGACTTACATGGAGTGGTGGGGCGATGATAACATCCTGGATCAGATCCTCACCGGCCGCTGTGTGGACTGCACCATCGGCAAGGGTAAGCTTACGACGGAACTCGTTCTTTGTGCCAGATATAACCTCACACGAGGCTACATATGGTGCAAAGTCGTGGGGGTTGCGGCCGCCTCGTCGAATCCCATACCAGAGTTCCGTCTCGTTGAGAACAATGGTCTGATCTGGCGGGTTCACGGATTGAGTGAAAGCAATATTGAAGCTGAACATGGACGGAGACATGATGTAACAGGGGCTCGTGAGCAAGTCTGAGCGACAATAAAAGAATACCAAATGAAGTAATTCGTATTAGTTGAGTGGAGTGGAGAACGGTTTGATGATCCCGCTTAACAGCCATGCAGAGCTTCCTCTGCTAACGCTATCTATATATCTTTCGTATTGAATCATATAGGTAACCATTGTTTTCGGGTTGGAATGCTTGCCGGCATCTGGGATGTGGATGGAACGCTTCGGCCCGCTTTGAGAAATCAACTCACAGTACTCCGAAAACCGAGAACCCTGGTGGCTTACTAGCGTCTAGGGTATCCGGTCGGAAGCCACTGACGATAGATTCACAAAGGAACTCTGCGGTTGGAGCTATCAAGGTTGCCGAACGAACTATTCACAAGTCGGAATGATTTTATTTTTAAGATATCGAATTCATATAAATAAAAAGAGGAATATTACAAAGTATTTCTACATACTAAACAACAATGGCCTAGGATATTGGGATGTTACCCGACACCCTAAACCGGGTACATCTTATCTTATCTGCATTCTTCTTATCTGATAAAACCCGCTGTGTACCATGTTAGCCTCTATCCGTACTCCGTACTCTTTTACATATCGCACTTTACACAGTTAAAATAATTACCTTAGATACACTTTAACGTAATTGATTTATTGCCATGTAATTAGATAGGCAAATCGTATACTCATTATGAATTTGTATTAAATATAGACGCCACTGGCTTAGTACTGGGGTAGCTAGCTTACTTTATTTCCGAGACTTGAACATGATCTCGGCCTGCGCATCAGGCAGAATAGCCAAACCATAATGGATCTGTCCTGGCTTGTTCGTACCTTTCTTAAGCTTGACATCGTAGTTCATAAGCAGATGTGCAAGGACCACCTTAATCTGAGCGCTAGCGAAGAAACGACCCGGACATGCCCAAATACCATGCCCGAAATTGATGTTGTCAAGACCTGTCGATGCATGCTGGTATTTAGTCTCGTTCCCTGGAACCTCACGAAGTGTAGAGAATCGGAATGGGTTGAACTTTTCGGGCTCGGGATATACTTTGGGGTCGTGATTGATGAAGTGGCTCATGATGGTCATACGTGTTCCCATGGGAAGGACGTCTCCGGTAGATGTCTTGAGTCCTTCTGGGCTCGTAACGATACGGGGAATATTTACTGTGCTGCGATTAGTACGGTGAAACATGAAGCGGGAGGATGTCTTTGTTTACCTAGTGATGGAGGACACAGGCGCTGAGACTCCTTGGCAAAGCTATCCAGCTTTTTTAACTTGGCCAATGAGTTCTTATCAATTACACCATCTTCTCCAAGAACTTGGAACAACTCCTTTCGCATCTCTTCTACTTCGTCGTCAGGAGTGGCAGCCAGATCAAAGGCAATGTAGGTCAAGGCGTTGGATAAATTGTAGATCGAAGCAAACGTTGCCAGGAGCTGATCTCTGCCAAGCTCCTGAACTGTTGGGGTCGTTTTGTACTGAGAAATGAACCAGTCGAGCAAATTTCCCCCAACGGGTTTCTCTTTGTTAGCCGAAGTAGGAGATGAGCTCTGCTTCTCCTCTAAAAGTGGTGCCAGTTTTGCCTCATTGTTCTTCCGTTGGCGCTTCAAGCTTCGTACCTGGGGGAGAAATGGAGCGACGAAGAACCGGATCGGCTGAGGTATCATCTTGAGAATCATCCAAGCCTTGGAGACATCAGCTGTATAATTGACATTGGCTTCGACCCAGTCTGGGTCGCGACTTAGTGGAAGTCCCACGAATGCCCTTCCAGACATGAGCGATGCGACTCGGCACATGGCCTTGCGAGCAACAACAGGCGTCCAGTCTTGACATGGGCCGATTGTGTTAGAAATTGCATATTCGACCTCCTCGGTGAAGGACTCGAGAACGGCCGGGGTGTTGCGGGTGAGAACGTTGCGCATTGCTGAGTCGAATTCGTCTGACTTGGTACCCATGTAGGTGTATTCTCCGAGAAAAACGTCGTAATGGTGCTTTCTGAATACTGTTAGGGGTTGAACAGACAGCTACTGTCGACTAACTTACTTAATTGACACAACTGACTCGGGGAGCCCACGAATTGTGTCTACATCGGCGGGCGGTAGAACAGCCATTTCCATCCCTGGCAATTCGAGCATAAAAGGCGAAGTCGGGTACTACAAAACCGAGTCAGCTCTGAAGGTGAGAATTGGGTCAGGAAATGAATGACCTGTTTGTACGCCTCGGTAAGAACAGCCAATACATTATTGTCTCGTAGTTTGAATACTGGTAATCTGTGCTTCGCTTTCGGTCGGACCATACGGTATATGCCAAAGGTCAGCGCCAGTAGCAAGGCAATACCGTAATAAAAGGGCACATGTTGCAGTTCTGCAGCTTGGCTAGTCAAATGCTGTACAAAACTCATCGTGAAGAAGTGGAGTCCAGTTGTAAAAGTTTGATGGATTTGCTGGGAAGGCTGCTGCTATCGAATGATTATGAGGAAGTGAAGAAAAGGACGCCATACAGTTCAAATGCAGTGCTCGCTGAGATGTTCCGATTAGTTGACCATACAGGCGGGCCGCATTATTCATCCTGTCAACCCTCCTTACAGTATATAGGAATCTACAATAGCGCCATTTCGGCAGCACTAATCATCTACATCTCCAAATCCCACATCCCAGCATTTCACAATGAAGGGCACCGACATGGTTTGGTACTTCGCTTACGGCTCCAACATGGCCAGCACAACGCTCAAAAAAAGGCGACTAAGCCCAAAAGACTCTCGGCCTGTCTTTGTGTCCACTCACGTCCTCTGCTTCGACGTGTTCGGTGTCCCGTACAAGGAACCCGCCATGGCCGGCATTCGAGAGAGGACTCCAGTCGACGATACGAAAGCGACGCCGCCGGTGCATGGGATGGCTTACTTGCTATCACGGGACGAATATCATCGGCTGATAGTCTCCGAAGGAGCGGGCGTCGCCTATGTCGAGATGGAGTTGATAGCCCGGACTTGTTCAACTGGGTTTACGGGCCGAGCGGCGACTTGTGAGGAGATTCCGGTGCGGACCTTGATGGCGAGATTTCCATTCCGGCCCGAAGCACTTCCGAGCATTCGGTACATGGTAGGCTTTGCGGACCCACGCTGCTACTATGATCTGACTATGGCAGGGGTTATTGATTCAGGGGTCCGAGGAATCCGGCATGCCTGCCTCGTACCAAGACTATCTACGCGGTTTACCTGCATATCACAAAAGTCTCTCCAAGTATGAAGAGTTCGGCGCGTCACTCTTTGTCGGCTTTTGGATGCCTGTGCTCAATGGTATAATGAAAAGAGTTAAGCGAAGACCAAATTCGGACGGTAATGTAGACCCCTGGGTCGGGCAGTTGGTTAGGTTAGTTTTTATTATCATGTGGCTCTACTACGATACCATACACAGCTGTATTTGGGGTCGGAACGGTGGAAGGATCTAGTTAGAACTACTTAAGTATGGCTCAGTGCTAGCTTTATTTTATCCTGGAAACCATTTACTTGATGAAGCATGGCTCCAATACCTGATGAATTCTTGACCCAGGCCCATGCCCTGCTGAAAAGGGTTCCATTGATCGGTTAGTGAAACTTTCACCATCATAATCCGTTACTCACGGTTAATAAAGATGGACACAATGACTTTCCTTACATGATTCGTGGATGGTTTCGAAACAACTTTAAGCTCTTTCATCCTGGGATTCAAGATATGCCTATCGGCCAAACAGATCTGACTCGACTAAGACAAGGCCTCATTGGTGGTCAATTCTGGAGTGCCTTTATACCAATGTTCGACTACTTCAAGTTCGAATTTTACCGTCACTGTTCTGATTCATCTTAGTCCAAAAACCAACGATAGACTCGGCAAGCTTGAGTGCCTGTTGAAGACTTTGCAGCAGATCGACACTATTCACTTACTTATTGAGAACTTTTCTGATTATTTTGGGGTGGTAAACTCATCCAAGGACATTGAAACGATCTTTAGATCAGGAAGGATTGCTAGTTTGATCGGTGTTGAAGGACTACATCAGATTGCTGACAGTGCTTCCGTTGTAAGGCTGTTTCATAAACTTGGTGTCAGATACATCACTCTTTGTCACGATGATGATAATCGATATGCTGATTCGTCGGTAAGTATTTGAGGTCGGCTGAAAGATTTGGCTAACAGTATGTCAGAACGGAAATAGTACAAATGGGGGTTTATCTAGCCATGGCCTGGATATGATACGTGAGATGAACCGTATCGGCATGTGAGTTGTCTCAAGTTCCTTTTGTGATAATACTGCTGGTACTGACCCTCACAGGATGATCGACTTATCGCACACAAACATGGACACTCAGATACAAGTACTAAGAGTATCTCAAGCCCCGGTCATATTCTCTCATTCCTCTTGGTAAGTCTTCAGCTACTTCACAACGAGGGAACCATGAATCTCACCAACTCAGTAATTCGCTACTACCCAGTCCTCGCAACGTCACAGATGAGGTCCTAGATCTTCTCAAGACAAATAAAGGCCTTGTAATGATATGTTTTCTCCCAAACCTTGTTAGCGTCGGCGGAGTTCAAGGGGCTGCGATCGATCATGTCATTGACCATATCCTATATGCAGGTCAAAGAATAGGCTTTGAGCATGTAGGCATTGGCTCTGACTTTGACGGTATGCTAGATGGGCCAAGAGATTTGGACGATGTATCCAAGTACCCGCTCCTTGTTGGAAAGCTTCTGGAGCGTGGACTCTCAGAGGATGTTATCGCACAAGTACTTGGCGGTAATGTAATTCGGGTTCTTGGTGAGGTGGAAACTGTGTCCAGGCATCTGGAAGGTCAGGTACCTGTGTTATCGGATCAAGTAGAGGAGGTATGGACACCAGAGCAGAAGGATATACTGATTAAGATGGGAACGTTGAGAAGCTCTCAGTCTCTGGGACTACATGAAGGCTTTGAATAGCAGAAATTATATATTAAATAGAACGGAATTTTGCAAGAGCCCATTGTCGGAACTTTCTATTTAAACCATTACCGATTATGGTGCACTTTGTAATTCCTATATAATCAGCAATAGTTTACATTACTACTGTAAAGCAAATACATGAATGTATCCGAGTACAAGCTTCACTAGCATGTAACCTTACTCATACTTTCTTTCAAACTTCTTACTGATATAATAGATCTACCTACAGAGAAAGAAACACCTAATCTTCAGGACGATTAGCCCATTATTCCCAATACACATCATCCCAACACCAAACTACATGATCAGGAAGGCTACAGAAACAGCAACTAGCCCGACCATTGCACCGTGGAGTGACATCCCCCGAGCTGCATCGCCTGTGGCTTCGGATGGAGTAGACGTGGGCACTGAAGAGGTTCCAGCAACTTTGTGCGTCTCATGTGCATGAGTTCCAGCAGCGGATGTCTTATCACCCGGCGTGGGAGTCGCGGTGGCCTCTGCGGCCTGGAGTTTTTCAGCTCCTCCGGTGATGATGGCGGGCATCAGGCGGGTCTTGGTGTTCATTTCATACTTCGATATGGACGTGGTAACCTTTTCGCCAGCCGAGTTCACGCTCTGGATCCAGATATGGCAGCTCGCTTCGGCGGTCTTGATCTTGCAGTTCAGATCCTCGGAGCTAAGCATGGAAGGTTAGTTTGGTTGACGAGAGGTTTCTTGATAAACTGGCTTACAAGTAAGAAACCTTGTCGTTTCCATCAAACGAGTAGTTGATGGACAAGGTTTCGGGTCCTACGACCACGGTCTGGGTCCCGATGATTTCGCATTGAACATTGTCGACTTTTTCACCGCAGTGAAGGGCGAACGTGGTGACTTGGGGACTGGCTGCCACTACGGAACCGTAGACTGACTTGATGCCCTCAACAGGAAAGAGGACATCGACAGTTGTTGTTTGCGCAGAGGCGATGGCACCCAATAATGGAATGAGGATAATGGGGGAAATCATGGTGATGTTGGATAATTGATTGACACCAGATCAGAAGATTCAGGGAGAGAAAGAAAGGGCAATGATCTACAGTAGCATTGGTCCTGAATAATGCTAAATGGAGCAATTCTTATTAGTTGTGTTATCTGCTGAGCCTTCGGTCCGGACACTTTTTCTGGCCCTCGGACACTTTGTCTCCCCCACGCGTAGGAAATGCCACGGGGGCGAGCACCTTGATGGGCTACGCCATCTCGTAACAAGGATAGTGGTAGGTAATGGTATGGACGCATGTCACAGATGGAAACTAAATGAGCCAATCGGCCTCCGAAAGTTGGTGTCACTCTACATTGACAGTTTGTGGCTGCATTGTGAGCTGGAGAGCTGAACTTTGGATTGCAATTACCATGTAGGATGACGGTCAGTTCATCTAGCTGGAAGCTAGTACGAATTCGAATTTTTCATTTTAATCCTCAATGTTATACCTTGATGGAACTTCGGTGGCCGAAGCTGGGACCCGAATTGATGATAGGGCATTCAGGCTGACCGAGATCATACAAGGTATATGTTTATGGACGCGCCAATGGCAGCATTCGTTGTTTATCTTATATGCAATGACTCTACCATAAGCAAAGTATCCACATATCCTAACAAACTGTTATTTCTCCCTCAATTTAATATTTATATACATCTTGAAGAAGGGTATTTAACACCTTCTGTACTTATCTCTAAAGAGTACTTGAAACTCTAGAATATCAAACCCTAGCAGCAGATTATAAGAAAAGCTTGGTTGTACGATTTTGACATGCTACTTGGCCGTGTTCGCCTTCTTAACACTCTTCCATTCCATACCGATAACTCCTGCAATAGACAGTGCAGCCAGGGCTACCGAGAGATACCAAGTCTCTGTCAGTGCATCGTTATATGCCTTCAACACTCTGTCATAAAACTTAGGATCAACGACATCCTTCAGATCCGTAGCTCCGACTTGTGTTATAAGATTTGAACTTTCTCCCACCGTTTGTGAAATCCTATGCCCAAGGAGATTACCAAAGATGCTCTGAGCTGCTGATATAGATATTGCACCGCCGAGCATCTGGGAGAGTGTGATAATGGCAGTTCCAATCGGAATATCAGCTTCCTCAAGAACAACCTGGGATGCAATGATACCCAGTTGGATACCACAACCAACTCCTGCCCCGAATAAGAATTGATATCCAATCCATTTGGGATGGCCAGTGTCCGTCTCAAAAGTTGTGATGAGGCCTGCCCCAATGGTGGTCAAGATACAGCTTGCATAAGCAAAGGGCACATAATGCCCGACGGTTGTAACTCCTCCACCTGCCACAAGCGAGAAAATGACCACTGACAGAATCATAGGGAGACACATAATTCCTGACTTGACAGCAGAAACGCCTTTGATAGCTTGGAACCATATAGGTATATAAAAGACGATCGTGAAATAGGCAGCACTGAGCAGGAGAGTAAAGATACTCGCAGACACAAGAGTCCTTTGGCGAAATATTCGAGGTGGTACCGTAGCCTTGTCTCCCTTCCACGCCTGGACAGCAACAAAGGCAGCGAGGAGGGCAACACCGAGGACAAGAGGACCTATGACCTTGCCGGAACTCCATGGAAACTTTGTTCCTCCCCACTGCAGAGCGAGCAATAGGCATACGACACCGGGAAGGAAGCAAAGGGTCCCCATGGGATCTAGATCATGTACATAGGATATCCAGGAGGAGCCTTGGGAAGGGCGCTTTTGCTTCGGGATACGAACGGTAAATATGGCGGTAATCAGAGCAACGGCACCTACGGGTAGGTTGATATAAAAACTTTGCTCAGTCAGCCTTCTTCTGTATTGTATTGTCTTGTGAATACAACTTACCACCAACGCCAAGTAACGTGGTCAACGAAGGCTCCCCCCAGCAATGGTCCAATAACAGACGCAACGCCATAAACAGATCCAAACATGCCATTGTCTGCAATTCATGGTTAGAATAATTTCACCGCTCAGTCAGAAATCACATACACATAGGCCTTTTCTCCAGGGGAACAGAATAAGCGATAATGATCATGGCACCTTGGAATATACCAGCAGATCCCAGTCCCGCAACGGCACGGCCGACAATGAGCGCCTCAGAGGTCGGGGCAGCTCCGCAAATTGCTGAGCCAACTTCAAAAAGAACCGTTGCAACAATGAAAACCCATTTTATGTCGAACAAGGTGTATAATTTCCCAAAGAGGAGTTGGAACGAGCATGTTGTTAGGAGGTAGGATGAGCCATACCATCCTATAACGTCGAGGGACTTGAAGTCATCGGAAATCCGAGGTATCGCAGTCGCAATGATTGTGTTATCCTGTATTCTATAGTTAGACACGGGAGGCATCTTAACTAGACCGCGATACTTACGAGAGCGACTAGAAGTACAGCGAGACAGAGCCCGACAATCAGAGAGGTGAGACGGAGGCCACTGGGATAATCTGTCCCTGGAGTGCTTGGAGAATTGTTTCCAAGAGTTGCGTCGCTTTCCTCTGGTGAAGAGCATTCTTTGGAAGCCGCACTTTGGTTCTTTTCGCTCTCAACTTCCACGGTCATCCTGGCTGTGGTAAAGATATTATCCGAGAGAATTGGATGCTTCGCCGAACAGGATTTTAAAATTGAATGGCGATGTTTTTTTGCAAGCGTTATGGGAATAGTACATGCTAATACCGTAATGCAATTTGTTCCGAGTTAGCCTACTTTAGATTAATGCCAGCAACGGCCCGAACCCTGGACTCTCTCGGCCACCGATTATACTGTAGGAGACATGTTACACCGACAGCTTTGAAACAAGTACCTTGCCATCTTTTCACAAGTTTGAATAATGTAAAGAAGGGCTAAGATGGCGCACCAGACTACCAATGACTATCCATTAAAGAGAAGTAACTGTCGTTATTAATATTTAGATGCGATAGACTACTTGGAAACAAAGCATCCAAACCCTCGTCATAATCATCAACGGCCGCCAATCACTATGTTTTTTCTCATAAGTCACCCAACTCCGAGCCTCTCTCTCGGCTCTTTCACAGCCGCTCACTTCCTTTGTACAGCTGCCCTAGGCTTCACAACCAAGGATCAAGCTTGGATTCGTCGAGTTGCTTGTATTTCGATATTTCTATTGACGTTCATTGGTGATCGCACCGCTTATGCCGTATCGGACAACGCTAGTATCCGATGCCTTCTTGTAACGTTTTCCTGGGTTCAAGCATTTAATGGCAACTCGCTGCTCTGTCTGTCAAAGACTGAGTATAGGACCTTGAAACAAGACATAAAGCAAAATACCGCGCCCAAGTCTGTTTTCGTGGGCGATGATGCTTATGGCGATGGATCATTCTTAAGCCGCCTCATATGGGCTCTCGCCATGCAGTGGAATCTGCGCCGCATCAAAACACCCAGACCAGCCCGAAACACACCTACGTTCTCCTCCAAAGACCCAAGTTATATTCCATCACGAGGTCGATTTTTATTGACCCGCATTGGTGTCATCTGCGCTTCCATCGCTTACATGGCCATCATTGGTCTCCAGCCTGAACCAACTCGCGAGGATCTTTCTGGTGACAGAGTTAGATTCTTCTCGCGATTAAACGAAGTAACACCGTACGAGCTTCTTCAGAGAGCTATTTCAACCGTTACTTGGCTTTCTGGAATTGGCACTACCAGCGAGATTTGCTACAACGTGATCGCTGTCGTGTTAGTGGGCTTGGGTCTGAGTGAGCCTGTCATGTGGCCTTCTTGGTTTGGCTCTTTTACAGAGGCTTATAGTATTCGCAGATGGTGGGGGTTAGTTTCTATTCCACTATTACTTTCATCCATCAGTACTGACTCTTTTTATAGCATTTCATGGCATCAAACCTGGAGATGCTTCCTGACAGATCATGCCGATTGGGTTGTATACGACATATTGAATCTCCCCAAGGCTTCGCCAATTACTCGCCACACCAAGAACTTGGTTGTATTCTACATATCTGGGTTAATCCACCTGGCGCCCGATCTTACCATTGGCATGCCTGTAAGCGAATCATCTGCTATAGTGTTCTTCACTTTTCAGGCAGTTGGTATTATGATTGAGGACCTTGTGCAAACCTTGAATGATAGGATTGGACTGGTCAAGAGTCCAATTATGGCGAGATGTATTGGATATGTTTGGCTTATGGCTTGGCTTGTTTGGACAATCCCGTGGTGGTCGTTCGTTTGCACAATGTATATGAAGGCTGGACAGGATGACTTGATTTCTCTGATATAAGGTAATAAATATAATAAA